TATCTGGGATAAGTCAGGTCTTAAGACTAGAGTATTTGCAGAAGATTTTCTTCATTGGTGGAGAGAATGATGATTCCACTCTGTGTGCCTGTCTGATTCTCCTTCTTGCTTGGAGAGAGCAGAAAGCTGGCTTTCTTCTATGTGTCTGCCTTTCAAAGTCTGTTCTGTTTCTCCATGAGTCTCTCTCAAAAGAGTCCTTTCTGAAAGCAGAAAGGAAGAAGAATTTTTCTTCTCCAGTTATTTCTTGACGGTCATCCTTTCCACCAATGAGGAAAGTTTTTTTAAGCATATACATCAGGCTTAAGACCTGATGAGATTTTCTGTCACATCCTGGGTATGATGCTACCAGAACACCAGCAGATGTCATTATTATTATCATCACATTATTATTATTATAATTGTTGTTGTTGTTGTTGTTGTTATTGTTGTTGTTGTTATATCAACAAATAACTGCCCCTTAGCAGAAAATCACCTTCTTCTGACTTTTATTAGTTAATTCTTTTCTAGAGAGCCCCAGTGGATTCACACTGCAATTCCTTAGAAAAGAGACAACTTCTTCTTCAGAATATCCAACTCATTGCTCTTTTGTAAGTGAGACAGTGTGATAGATTGGATGGAGAGCCGGCCTTGCAGTCAAGAAGATCTGAGTTCCAGTGCTGCTTCTGACACACTGTGTGACCTTGGGCAAATCACTTAATATCTCAGTACTCTAGGCAACTCTGTAAGATCATGAGCTGCTGAACTACAATGATAGAAAGATTTTCCTCACCTGAGAGTTCCCTATAACAATGAAATTGCAGGTCTAGATCCTATCCTCACTTTTTTTTTCACTTAGCTCCAAGTGTTCAGTGGTCCTCCTTTCCTTTTCCCCTTCAACCTCCTGACACAGGTCAGTATTCCACCTTCTCCTCATTAATATTGAAGTTCTTCCTTCCCACCTCTCTACCCCTCCCTTAAATATTTTTAATGGAACACTTTATTCTCCCTGGTATCCTGGAGAGCAGAGAGATGTTTCTCAAGCTTCTTTCTCTTCTAAAAAAGGTACCAGATTGCACTTTGTGCAGAGAAAAATTACTTGTCTATGGCAGAAATACAACCATCTTACACACTTTGGATTAGTTTCTATAAAAGCTAGTCTCCTAGCTTTCATTCTTGTCAAAAAATAAGCTTTCTTTTGGTCATTCTTGCAAATAGCTCGTCTATATTATTAGTCCTCAAATTTAAAATAATATATAGCAGTTAACCTTGGAAATAATATCAAAACATGGATATCCATGAAGAAACTCAAAGAAAACAAGAAATATCTATTAAGTATCTGTCACCATTCTTGGTAATAAAGAGAAAAGATTTGGGATACGATTCTGGAATAGCAGTCTTGAGACCAATAGGATGACTGGCTGAAAAAGAACTGTTTGGGACAATGCCCCTGGCTTGTATAGAAAACAAAGGCATTTATTCCAGCTGCAATTCAGACAAGTGGGCAGCTGTAAAGCTACAAACTGCATAGAAATAAATGACACCGAAATGATACTCCAAGATCTAATGACCAGTGGAAATCTAGGTTTGGAGGCGGTGAGGGTGACATTTAAAAAGGTCACTATGGAATGATTCATGATTGCACAACATCATTTGCATAGGAAAGCTGAGAGGTGGTGGCTGAGAGGTTTTATACCCTATTTTCTTTTATCTTGTATCCTTTATCTTGGGAAAGGACCCAAGAAAGCAGATGAATTTACCTGGAGGAAACACATAATAGAGGGGCACATTTGGACAGAGATCATGTAAATTACATGAAAATCAGGGTATTGTAATTATTCAGCAGGAAAAAGGATAATGGAAAAAGGGAAATGTACCACTATTTGTTAAATGTGAAGAATTAAAACTAGGAAAAATAAGAGAAACTATAGAAATACTGAAAATATCCTTAAGCTTATTATGCCTAAAATTGGTCATATTTTGCTTAATTCTACTACTTGATAACTTTTTTCTAACACATACTACATATGTGGATAAAAATGATTTGTATATAAAACTAGGGCTTCCATGACAGTGTTTTTACACTATTTCTTATTCAGTTTTGTAGAAAGAGCATGATATAATGGATTGAGTACTTTTTTAAAAAAAGTAAAACTTGAGGAAGCATACTGATATGGTGGAGAGTTCTCAATGTGCAATCAAAAAAACTGGGTTCGTAGTATAATTCTAACACTTTCTGTGACACTGAACAAAATCCCTTAGCCTCTCTAGGCCTTGATACTTTTTCTGTAAAATGAGAGATGATTTTTAAGGTCCTTTCTAGTTTTAAATCTATTATCCTATAATACAACCAGTGCCTTTCAGGCATTTCCATTAGATTTATTTATTAAGTCCCAAGTGGGTTGCCATATGCGTTATCATATGTATTATTGGGGAAGCTAGGTGGTGCAGTGGATAGAATGCCAAGCCTGGAGTTAGGAAGACCTGAGTCCCTAATCTAGCCTCAGACACTTAGCAGCTGTGTGACCCTGGACAACTCACTATGTATATCGAACATCTTACAAAGCTGTTTATGTGTTGTTTCCCCTGGTAGAACGTGAGCTCCTTGAAGGCAGGGATTGTGTTTTGCCTTTTTTGGTATCCTCAGCACTTAGAATAACACCTGGTATGTAGTAAGTACTTAAAGAATGTTTGTTGACTGACTTCTAGTTCTAATGTTCTATGATTCTGTAATTCTACATTAGTTCCCTTCTTCGCAATTTATTTCTAATTCTCAGTATTACTTTATTATTATTTATTGCACATCATGGGACTTCCATCTCCTTGATATTAGCAAGCGGCATTTTCAGCATGTTCCAGTTCTGTATTGTCCTTAAATTAAAACACACTAAACCACATGGCCAAGGCATAAAGGATACATCCTCTGGTTAAATGTCTGTCATTCACATCTCTTTCTGATGTAACTGAAGCCTCCCTGTAGCCATGCCCTTGCTGTCCATGCTGAGGGAATGCTACTGATGAAAGTGACAGAAGTCCTTATGAAATTTCCAATAGATAGACTTTCTTGGACAAGTTTCAAGATGGAGCCATACCAAGATGGTGCATACCAAAGTATGCACCAGGATGAGTCATTTAAGAGCTAGGCCCAAGTGTAGACACAGAATACATTCGAGGAGAGTGCTGAAAACAGACTACCAACGTGTTTTGGAAGAAATTGCTTTCGAGAATCTAGTGATTAGAAAAGCTAGGATAATGTAACTCGCCTCATATCTGTCCTTGCCCATGTATTCTCTTCTCACAGCACCCTCACCTTAAAGAAACTGATAGAGAGTTGGATATCTAGAAATCATGATGGACTAATTTATTTTAAAATTTTTATTCTGGGACTACAGACAGTAATAATAGCTAATATTTACATAGCACTTTAAGGTTAGCAAAGTGCTTTATGTGTTATCTTGTTTGGTTCTAAAAACAAGCCTGAGAGGTAGGTGTTATTATTATCCCCATTTTATAGGAAACTGAGAAATAAATGACTTGTCTAGGATGGATCACACAGCGAGTAAGTAACTAAGGGCAAGTGGGTAGTGAAGTGAGCCTGAACGAGGAAGATTTGACTTCAAATTTGGTCTCAGACACTAGCTGTGTGACAATGGGTAGATCATGTAACTTTTTTTGCCTCAGTTTTCTCTTCTGTAAAATGGGGATAATGGTAATACCTGGGTTGTTGTATCAAATAAGATAATATTTGTAAAGTGCTTAGTACAGTGCCTGGCACATAAGTGCTATGTAAATGCTAGCTACTATAATAATAATAATAATAATTAACAATAATTATTACTTTTAATTCAGGTTTTCCTGACTCCAGGCCCACCACTTTATTTACTGTGCCACAGAAAGAGCTGATTCTGATCAGCAGTAGGGTAGAGACAAAATCTGAGTGTTCATGTGACATTCTCCACTGATAGAGGGAGAACTCTTGGTTAAGAATAGATTTCCTCAGGGATTGCCAACATTTCTCAGAAATCTAAGATTACTCTTGAGTTCCATATGTGAAGTTAAATGCCATGACTAAAAGCTCTCTGATCCATTCACAACTCATGAGTTTTCTAAAGTCTCAAATACAATAATAGGTTTGCGAAGTGATTTACAAATATTTTATTTTATCCTCACAACAACCCTGGGAAGTAGGCATTATTATCATTCCCCTTTTACAGATGAGAAAACTGAGGCAGACAGAGGTTAAATCATTTACCTGTGGTCACGTACTTAGTACGTATTTGAGGCAAGATTTGAACTCAGGTCTATCTTGACTCCAGGTCTAGTGCAGTATCTACTAAATCACCTAGCTGCCTTCACTGGGAGCTGGTCACATGTCTAGGAGTGAGGAATAACTGATAGACAGAAGGCATGGAAGGCCCTCTGAATATTAGGCTCCTCCCCTGTGGTGGATGTCCATATGGAAGGACAAGATGTGTTGCAATCTCAATTATTGGTGAGAATAATCACGTTGATGAGAAATCACAGATGCACTAGAATATATACCCCCAAAATAAGTGGGAAATGGAAGCTAGAAAAGTTGTGTTTGAATATACTTACATAAATATAAATGAGCTCTAAAAATTAAAAGATTAAAGAGGACCATAGGTTTAGAATTGGAAGGTACCTTGGAAGTCTTATGGTCTAACCCTCTTATTTCACAGTTGAGGACCAAAGATATAAAGTGACTGGCCCAAGGTGGTAATTGGCAGAATAGGGGTCTGAACCCCAGCCCTCTAAAGTCTAGTACTGTTTATCATACCATGTGGCTTCTGGTACTTTGGGTAGATGCTTTAAGGAAGAAAATTTAAAGAAAGCTATACATAGGATTAGACAGTATAGAAGGTACGCATGTATACCCACACATACACAAACCTATGTTATCCAATTAATCAAACATATGACTTCAGAATGAATATTGAATCTTATCTTGTTTCTTGCTGCAAAACAGTTCTTTCGATAAACTACTCATACAGAAACCTCAGACCTTTTGATAGTTAATTCGTTTAAAATTTATTGATTTTCCTGTGCTCTTACAAATGTAACATTCTCATATATACAACATTCATTAAAGAGGCACAATTCCTATTTTGAGGTGGCACAATTTTAAACATTTTTGCAGCGAATAATTAGTCTTTTCTTAGGAAATTTCACTATGGGCTTTTTCCTTTTTTAAAAAAAGCTCCTTGAAATACCAGACCTCATTTAAGATTAGAATCCCATACCTCATTTTAAGATTGGCTCTGATTTTCCATCTCAGAATGACCATAAATACAAACCACCCGCCCATGATTATTGCCTTCCAGACATTTTGCACCCTAGTTGATAAGCTGAGTAACTTTGCAGTGGACCTGTTTCAGGTAAACTATTCTTCCACTATGCTCTCAGGGAAGTAGCCCACCTGGGTGAAGATCTGATGATGCAGCTTCTTTATGACGTTAACTATCAGTGACTGAAATAATTGTGAGTAGGCCTTCTTGCTCCATAGTTTCAGAGAAGGCCACCCTCCTTTCTGGGATTCCACTATAAATTCCTCCTATCATGATAGGAGAAATGCAGGAAAAAGAAACATTGCAGAGAAAGAAAGGGGAGGCTGGAATGCTACATACATGTAGCATTCTAGGAGGCTTATGATGGCCCATAGGAGCTCACTGTAGATTAGTGATCTGGGCCATCCTTTATCCAGAATTGAATACTACTGGGTTTTTTAGTTTTATCCTTTTCATCACTCCTCCATAAGCAACACTACTGATATTTGCTATGCAAGCATCCAGTGTCAAGTTTTTGCACCTGGATAGTACAGCCAGTGGGGAAATGAGCTAACCAGGAAGAAATGTTTTGATGCTTTTTGGGATGATGGGCTCTTCTACAACGGGTTTCTAGTTCCTGGAGGGGGCCTTAACTGGTTTTGTACAGTATTCTCAGCTTTGTACACATTGCTATTTAACAGGAAAACACTTCTGTATAATATTGACAATCAGTTGCCAGTTTTGCCCTAGAACCCTATGAAGTAATGGTAGGCAAAACGTGCCCCCTACCACTCTCCAATGCTCAGTGAACCAAAAATGGCTGAGCTTGGGACCAGGTGAGGATGAGTTGTGTCTATTAAGTAGTGTATCCCACCCTCTGCCACTGGTAAGCTCCACAGGCATTCCTTCTACATAATCTTTCCTTAGTTAATTTTTGACTTTTCATAGCTTTTGCTTGAGCTTTTCATACCCTATCTCTTCATTACTGGGTAATGTCAAGTATTTTTCATTTGGCTAGAGAACAGGGAGCTCCTGGAGGTGAGTATTATGTTTTTGATTAAATGACTGGAATTTGCCAGGAGGAGAGATCAGTGGAAACCCATGCTCTGGTGTTAGGAGGACTGCCCCAGGTTCATGCATTGCCAATAGTGCCCATTCCCAGCCAAAAATTAGTTTTAACCTCATTTCTTCCAGATGCAGAACAAATGCAGAAAATAGCAGAGACGGTACCACAAATCCCACTGAGAAGAGCAGAAGGCAAATATGTCTTGCAAGAAAAACAAACAGAAGTTTGAGAATGTAACCAAACATCTCGGTGGCATAGCCACTCTTCTGATAATCAGTACCAACACTGAAATCACAGATTCTCAAGAGCAAGAATTCTGGATTCATATTGCTCTTTCAGTGACTATTTCACTACAAGGGGACACTTAAAGACAACATTTAACATGCTTTCTTCAGCGCTGCAACCAGTTTGGATTCCAGAAGGATAGAATTTCATGGATGCGGTCATTTTTAAATAAAAGTTTGTTTATTCTCTAAGACTGTGAAATTTAAGATTTAGATAGCATATTGTTCAAGTTCTGTTGGGCCACCTTTGCTAGCACTGATTGCTATTTCTCCTACATATTGCTACTTCAGGCATGTGTGTGTGTGTGTGTGTGTGTGTGTGTGTGTGTGTGTGTTTGTAAGGGAGGTTTTGAAAGACACAGTGTGTTTATGCACACATAACAATGATCTTACACGAACTATGATGTAACCATCTTAAAATAATCGGCTTAATTTTTTTCCAGGACATTATTTTAATTATTGAAGATCTATGGGGATGAGAATATATAAAGTATAATCAAAGTGAAGAGAAGAAACCTATTGCAACAGAAGGAAGACTTAAAAAAAACAGTGCTGAGAAGTTCATCTGCTTATTATAGTGGCTAAAAATTAGGTGAATAGGCAGTATGCAAATTGGATTATACTCTCTTTTCTTGAGCTTCCACTTCCCTTTCCTTGCCCCATCCCCATACAAACATAGTAAATGGAAAATGATGGTGAGAGGGACAGAATGGAAAGATGAATATAAACATTTTTACATTACAGAAAACAAATCTGCAGAAAACAAGACATAAAACCCCACCAGGTGCTCTATATTTGAAAATATTGAGGTAACAAGTGCTCTATAACTGTACGGCATTGTTTTTAGCTCGTGAAGAGTCTGTGATAGTTACGGTGTTTTTTTAAACCTACAAGCATGCATAAATATTGCATATTTTACAAAAGTGGAATGCCATATCCCCCCAAAAAAAAGGTAAAACAAAGACACATAAATGCATTCCTGTCCCTTGAATGAGAGTTTAGGAATTGGAGGGAATACAAATCAATTCATTGTTTTGAAAGATAAAAGGATGTAGAATATTAAGGGGTAAGTGATTTTAGATACAAACCAAATTTAAACTGGCTTATTCATTCGGGTAGCATGTGCTTAAAATGTTGGATATATTGCATTTATCATACTGGCCTGAACAAGGCATTCTCCCTTTATACTAAGTCTATACTCAGGAAAGCCAATATCACCTTTTCTAGAAGTGATATATTTTGTCATTTCCTCTAAATGGACCTAAAGACAAAAAGTTTGGGGTCAAACAAGGCCTTGAAGTTCTACATCAGACATGGATGCTGTTATTACACTTACTCATCCAAGCTAGAGGTGAGCCAGAAATACTATAATATAGACTAAACTTGGGTGCAAGCACTCCATGGTGCTTGAAATGTAGGTTGAAAAATTACAAAAGGAATTTAATGAAAAGAATTACAAGGGTGAGATGCTAGCCTTCATTAGCAGTGCATCGCCTAAGCTATGGGGCTGTTCTGAAGAAAGTACTTTGGTCCAAGGGCAACCTTTTCAATGAGAAAATCACTAATGCATGAAAACAGATTCCAGGTTGTCTCATTAAGATGTTCTGAACACAGATGTGATTTTTTATAAAGCTTTAACATAATGGCTCTTTTGTGGAAACGACTCCACTTTTCTACACAGGCTGGACTATCTTAATAATCCATTTTTTATTTGAAACTCCAGTTTGTGCTGAGCCCTCACCCCATTACCATTTGTGATCCCTATCTGTGAGGGCAGGGGACTGGCAAAGAATGGAAAATTAAAATCCATATAGTGATGGCCACATCAACTGCCTTTTAGCTAGCAAAATACTGCTTCTCTTCCTAGCAGCTCTCCTTTTAACTGGTTTGCTAAACAGAAGGAACTTAGGTTAGTTTTTGTCTTGATTTCTCCTAACCATTTCTTGGTGGAGGAGCTAACAATTTAGTGAAATATCTAAGAGACAGGAAGAAGCTAGAAGAATGATGAGCAAAATATGTCTGATAATTCAAGAAATGGATAATTACTCTTTAGGCCAAAGGTTTCTTGGTTGGGAGTGAAAAAGTCATTTTTAATAGGAGAATAGGAGAAATAAAACAACTCTCAGTGATAGGTTGGAAGATAGCTTAAGTGATGGTTAATGGGTTTTGGGAGAGAAAGCTTTTTATAGTTATGAGCACATATAATTTTAAAGTGCTATTTTAAGTTATTATGTTTATAAAAAATCAGAGTTTGATTAAAGAAGATGCATTAGCATTGGCCTTGCCACTGTACTAAGGATTACTGGGCTTTTCCATTTGCCCTCCTCTATGTGTTATTTATCTCTAATTGGATGTGAACTCCTTGTGATTGGAGACTATCTTACTTCCCTATTTGTATACCCAATGCATTGCACCACTATAAATTTTTAATAATGCCTTTTCTTTCACTTATTCATAATTTTTATGGAAATTATAATGAGGAATATATTTTTCAACCCCTGGAAATAAACTCCTTTTAATGAAAAAATGTCATCTTTAAAAGAACTGGATTATTAGAGAGCCACTTCATATGCTAGGCAGTAATAAACTTGTTTCTGCTGCTGCCTCTTTGCTGGGCTATACCAGTGACCCATTTTACATATCCACAGCCCCGGCTACAGAGTCATAATCATTTGTTGCTGCTCTCCTTAATGGCTAGAAATAATGAAAGGAGAGGTGGTGAACAAATGTTTGGGAAAACACAACATTATTGGTAAAGTCTTTTGTGGGCAGAGGTCTTAATAACAAAATAGGCGTATAGAGTGTTAATGACTCCATTTAGGTTTTTATCAAAACAACTAACTGATATTACTCTTCATTTCTGCTGTTAGATATAGTTTCAATTAAACCACTTCATAAAAAAAAATCTAAAGATCATAAATTTCACAATCATTTAAGCACTGCATGAATAATATATGAAATATGAACCACTAGGAAGTGAAATGCACACATCAATTCTAGCATTTATAGTATTCAATGTAATGTTTTCTAAAAACTTTGCTGAACATTTTCAAATGATAGTCTGATCAAGTCTAAAACTCAAAAGATTAAGAAATATAGGTTTTTGGGTGACTTTTTTCAAGGGCATGAGGGAGCATCCAGACCTGCGATTTCATCAGTATAGAATATCCAATATGGAAACTCCCTCCACTGATACAAACTGTAAATTATCTTAGAGAATTGTATGGGGCATTGAGATGTTAAATAACTTCTTCATGGTCATATAATTTGTATGTGTCAGAGGCCTTTTGGGTTTGGAAACTCTAAAATGGTATGGTTAGCTGATTATGTATGTGTGTGTGTGTGTATGTATGTATATATATTCCTCATATCCTCAGTTTCAACTGGAGAGCATCAGGTTAGCTTCTGCCTGCTGTGAAATTAAAACTTACTTCCTAACAAATGATCTCTTTTACCCATCTTAGAATCCACATCCTCAGTAGAAGTGTTATTCTTTCCAATTCAAATTTACAATATGGCAAGCTTCTATTTATCTTTCTTAGCCTTCTCAAACTGCCTCTCTGCTCCTCAAGCAATCCCCTATGTTACTTTTCTACAGCTGTGCCCTTAATAATCCCGTATCTCGTATAATACTCCCCCTATGTTTGGACTGTGTTATGAGCTACTTCAAGGAAGCACTCCTAAGGGCAGAAAAGGGAAGCTTCAAACACTAATTACAGCAGGTCAGCAGCTGTTTTCATGAGAAGAGGTCAGGAGGATTCTTTTGAAAGCTTACGCCTTAGGAAGTTGTATGGACAGACAGAGGAGTGGGCTGAGCATGGAAGAAGGCATGTAATCCCATGGGTGGAACCGCCCACAGATGTGGAATGGGGTTAACTGGAAAAGTGGGAAGGAGACAAATTCGTGTGGTTTAAAGGAGATGCCAAAAATCTGATTATTTGCTAATTTAATATGGTCTGCGTCCCTTATGCAAACCAATGCAAAATTTTACCCCTTCCATTTGCATTCCTATCAGATTAAACCGGAAGCCTGAATATGTGCCCTGTCTTATTGACCAAACTGGTTAGCCTATGAAAGATTCTATCCCTTTTACCCAAGCTTTCATTAGAATTTTCCCTTTTTATTCCTGATACAGGTGTTATCTAAAGAATGGAATATACATTTTTACTTAAAGCCTTGGCTTTTTTGTTGGGGGTGATAAATACTAGAATCACTATGTGTGATTAAACAAGTAAAATTTCAATGATCTTGTTATCAGTTTAAGATAACAGTTGCAGCCCAGTTATATGGCTCTAACTAAGAATAAATATATGAGTGTATATGTAGGCATTCTGTAAGAAAATCTCTTGAGATCTTCATACAGGCGTTAATTTTGCCATTTACATGCAAAACAAACAGTGAATACTGATGCAAGTTGCCTGTATAACCCTCCCATGTGGCAGTGGAAAAACAGGCCCTAAATTATGCAAAATACAGGTATGGCCACTTTTGGGGTAAGCGATGAATTCCTCATCCATTTTTCTTCCATTGCTGAAAAAAACCCAAAACCTTAAGTGCTTGATAAATAAATGGCCATCTACCAACAAAAATCTTGTTTCCTCCCTGAAAAAACTCAGACTCCCTTAATGGAAAACATAAAACATAGTTTTGCATAGGACTCATTTAGACAACACAAATAATCAGTCATCAGTGCTAATAGGTAGTGTTCCTCTTCCTGTCCCTACTGAAAATTATCTAGGGATCCTGGGTGAGGGAGTCAGGAGGTTGGCAAGCAATATGATGACAAATCCCAGCTCTAAATCTATGTAATTAAATCTCCTCTGTGCCTTACATAAAAATGACAGTTAAGATTATAGTACTATCGAGCCCAGAAGGGCTCTTCACGTCCTGCAGGTTCTCCTTCAAAGGTTTCTTAACACTGACGCAAAGTAAGCAAATTAGATTTTGTCCACTAAATGGGCTCACTGTGATTTCAAGACCAGCAGGGATTATTTCTCAGTGAAGGGTATTTTAGGAATAGGAACTTCTTAACTAGCAACCTGGATGCAGCCTTCGATTTCTCTTCTGATGGATCCCAACCCTAGCATCCATCTCATCAAAGCCAATTGTGCAGCTTCTCCTTGCCATGTGATCACCTGTTTATGCTCCTCTATGGGGTTGCTTTGACCCCCAGAATGGGAATCATATCATGCTTCAAAAAGATCCATTCTTCACACCAGCCTAAGAGCACACATCTTAAAATGATTTATTTTATATCTTCACATTTCTTAAGGCATGAACAATGGCGTATGGATGGAACAGGTTTCCCAAAGCATCATGTTTTGTTGTTGTTGTTGTCATTGTTGTTTAACAAGGCCAGCACAAGCATGTCACATCAAAGGACAGACAAACGTCAAGCCTGAACTGACCCACACCTGTGACCCAGGAGTTTATAGTATATAATCATGGCTCTTCCAAGCAAATGACCAAATTCATGTTTTATACATTTGTACATATTATTTTGAACTCTCGAGGTTGGCTTTAAGCACCAGGTACAGTTTTTTTTCCCTTTACAAACTCTTCAGACTTTGGATTACTTTTATCTGCTCCCTTTATTCTGTGTTTCGAGGGTGAGGACGTTTTAAGGAGTATGGCTGCAGCAAAACAGAAAGGATCCCAAAGTGGTCAGGGGCCTGGTCTAATGCACTTTTGAAAGTCCATTATAAAGATGAATAGAAAAGCAAATGGTAAGTTTTCTGTAGACCCACAAACCACGCTTAGCTATAAGAAACATCATTGTGCATAGTTATTTATTCATTCAAAGTGTGATATGTGTACTCAGATCTACAGTCTCGGGTTACCAGAGTACAGGGCTTTCTACTTTGCTAAAACCAGGGTCCTTTCGAAGCTCCCAGTAGGTGTCATTAGAAACCCAGGCTTCTCTTTGATTGGCATCAATGACTTTTCTGTGAAAACATAAAAAAAAAAATTCATATCAGATTCAATGAAACTCAATTTCAAACATTTTTTAAGTGCCTGACATGCTGTCAGACAGTGAAACAGACCTTGATTCTCTTTTGTTGCCATGAAACTTACTAAAAATGATGTTATTGGTTATATGTTACCTTACACAGCTTAGGCAGTTAGAGTAGTCTTGGCTAATTATACTTTGCAAAGTTATGGCCACTACTGATTCATATGTATTAGCATATCCCCACTGTAATTGGCCTCATAGCCATGTCAAAGGAAAAATAATTAATGTGGGAAACCATCTGGCTAATACTTCAAAGTGGATTTTTAAATTCCCATTCTCCATTGGATTCCAGCTGGGTCCCAATATAATTCCAATATGTTAATGGTTTATGATCTTATCAATATGGCCATTCCCTCCAATGATGTAGATTGCAGCCTAACCATGCCTGGTGATCTTATTCTACTTTGGTTCATGACCTCCCACAAATTTGCAACAGGGGGTCCAGATGATGGGTGGGTGGACTTCCCTGGAGTCTTTTAAAACCACAGGATGTAAGTATTATCAAAATTCCACAAATATGTTAGGGCCTTCTGTACTATACGAATTACTACTCTTCCTCACTAATTTAGACTAATCTGGAGTGGCAAAGACAGATTGAGTTCATGATCCAGCTGAATCTGAAAATATTTTTTTAAACCATAGGAGTACTGAGGCTGAAAGGGAAGACAAGTCAATAAGCCCAATAATTTATTAAACTCCTGTTATGCGTTAGACACTGTGCTAAGTCTTTGGGACACACACAAAAAAAGAGTTTTAAAAAAACAGTTTCTGCTCTCAAGGAGCTCACAGTCTAATGGGAGAGACAGACAAGATACATACAGGGGAAACTGGGGATAGTCTTAGAATGAAGGAACCAGAATTAAGGAAGATTGAGAATTGGTTCTTACATAAGGTAAGGTTTTAGCTGGGACTTCAAGGAAGCCAGGAAAACGAGGTGATGGAGATAAGGAAAGAGAGCATTTCAGGTTTGGGTGATAGCCAGGGAAAATGCCCTGAGTTGGGAAATGGAACATCTTGTGTGTGGAAGAACAAGGAAGACAAGTTGGAAACTATCTAGTCAGAAGGTAACATTTTATAGATGAGGCCAACGATGCCCAGAGAGATGATGAGATCTGCCCAAGGTTGCCAACCTATTAAGTACAAATTTAAAATGAAAGGCATTTAAACTGAGATTTTATCCTCTTTACGACATCTTTCTTTTTGGGTGTGGGGGAGGGAAGGGGAGAGGGGAGAGATAGGGAAGAAGGGAAAGAAGTTATTTCTGAGCCCATGATCTTATTCCTGAGTTTTTCCTGATGAGAAGAAAGGAAAACATACTCCCTGAAATTTAAAGGACTTAGCTTTAAAGGGAAGCTTGTACAGGATTTGCAAGTTATGTATGTAGTAATGGAGTAAAAGGAAACCAGCTGTGAACTCATCTTCAGATTCAGTCCAGTTACCAATAAACATGGAAGGAGTGCTAAGGGAAGACCTAGGCAGGAAAGGACTATGATTTTTGATGCACATTTGAAGACCAAATTCTTGCTGAGGATTTAGGCAAAGATGAGCATACTGAAAAACCAAATCTAAGTAAAAAAGGAGATAAAATTTTTTTTCCCTCACTTAGGTAATTTTTTCACAGTACATATAGGAATTCAAAGAGGCCTATGAATTATGAAAATAATTACACACACACACACACATACATACATACGTGTATTTTTTTTTTTTTGGTGAGGCAATTGGGATGAAATGACTTGCCCAGGGTCACACAGTAAGTGTCAAGTGTCTGAAGCCAGATTTGAACTCAGGTCCTTCTTATAAATTATATTTTGATTTAAAAAACCACATCCAATCATTGTCCTTCTGGGTATATTTCAATTTCAGAAATTTGAAAATCATTGTAAAGGATCTGATGTCATAATATGAAAGAAAAATAGAACAAACAATAACTGCTTATAGTCTAGATGAGCGGTCAATTAGTTAATTAGGTTTTGACATCTTTTTCACTCACTAATTCTCTTTTATATTCTGAAGCAAAAGAGGTCCAGAGAAAGGAGTAGTGGGGAGGGAGTATCAATTTAAGTCTAATAAGAATGGAATCAAAATAAAAGGAAAATGTGATTTTAATTTGATTTGGTATCTAATTAATGCCTCAAAGAAATTTTTTAAAAACATCCTAATTTTGATAACACAATCAACCAGCCAACATTTTTAAGTTTCTACCACATGGTAGACACTGTTGTCAAATGTTTTTCTTTAGTTATTAAATATTTCAAATAAAGAGGATCATAGAATTTAAAATTAGAATAAAATTATTTATTTAGAACTAGAAGGATGTTACAGTGCACTGAACCCAATTCCCTCATTTTGCTGATAAGGAAACTGAAACGTTGATAGGGCAAGAGAGCTGGTCATAACATCAGAAGAACTAAATGTGAATCCCAGATCTCCCACATAGGAGCAGTGTAATCTTGTTTAAATCACTTAATTTCTTGAATCTCAGTTTTCTCATTTGAATACCAGGAATGAGAACAGTCATATCAACTATATGAGGAGATGTAGGTGAGAAAAAGGCTTTAGCAAAAAGACTTTTATGCAAATATAAATGGTTACTATTATTATTATTGTTATTTAAAAACACATCTATAAAGAATGAGGAACTTTGAACACATCCATTAGAGGCTGAAATGTTTTAAAGCAAATAGCCATGAAATAACAACCCTAATGTCTATATGACGTAGTGTGAGACACAAGGTCTTTGACCCTTCAGACTAATTACTGTATCTACAGTGATTTCTCTTGAAAAGGACATACAACAACTGTCAATTTATGTGACAAACAGAGAAGCCCAGCAGTAACGATCATCCTATCATTGTTTAATAATCATTGGCATCACAATGCAATGGATTTCAAAGACAGGTATTCACAAAATCCATTAACACTGGAATTCAAAGGGCCATGAACAAGAATGCCCATCATAAGCAATGACAGATGGTCATCCAGTCTTTCCTTGAAGACGTCTAATACAGGGGAAATCCCCTGCCTACTTGGGGAGCCCATTCCACTTCTGAATGGTTCTAAAAGTGAAATGGGCTGCATATTCATAATTCAAATATCAGGTGATGGTGCCTTTCTCTTGTTGAAAGCAGAATAGTCACAAATTTCTTAGCAAAGATGGGTGAAGGGTGATACTTTCTCTACAGAGTCTCTGATCACTAAACAAGACATCCTGGTAATATCTCATTTTCCTTGATTTTGCAAGGAAGACATCAGCATCTTCCATAGGCAGAGTAAAGAAGGAGAAGAGAATGAGACTGGATTTTTCAGGACTAGTGAGTCCAAAGTATCCATGAACACCAAGATTTTCTCAGTGCTTCCCGAGCAGAAAGCAACATTTACTCTCTTAATGGAATCCATTCCTTTGCCTTTTTACATTCTCCTATTACCAGTGTTCTGATCTTTATTCACTAGTAATTATATTTTATAACACTTTTTCCCCCTTAAAAATATAAGAAGCTGGTTACAGAAATGGACTGACTTACTTAAAAAATTTTGGTATATGTTCCAGGTGATTTTCTTCCATGTATCGCCTTCTGGATCTTTGGAGCTCTTCTACTCTTTGCTTCTCAGCAGCTGCTGCTTCTAAATTTCCTTCTTCCAAAAACCTAAGCACAAAATAGTTCATCTTTCAGAAGATATATCACGTTAGGTAGGATTAAAATAATTTAATCCATAGTGCAAAAGTAGTTATCCTGGTTACTACGAGTGGAAAACATTGCAATATTTTAATTTATTATTACACCTTTTGTGGTTGTTGTTGTTCAGTCATTTTTCAGTTATGTCTGACTCTTCATGACCCCATTTGCGTTTTTCTTGGCAAAGATACTGGAATGGTTTGCCATATCCTTCTCCAGCTCATTTTATAGATAAAGAACAGAGGCAAACAGGGTTAAGTGACTTGCCCAGGGTCACACAGCTATGTCTGAAGACAGATTTGAACTCAGGATGATGAGTCTTCCTGACTTCACCCCCAGTGGTGGATACACTGCACCCATCATACCCTTCAGTCTTTATAAGTTCCTCATTGCTATTAATTTAGATATTGTATGATGTATGATATTGCACACATATATATGCACAGGGATGCGCACGTGCGCACACGCGCGCACACACACACACACACACAACACACAACACACACCACACACACGATTAATGCTACTGGGAACTTTTTTAATGGGTCTTGTCTCATCAACTCCACACTAAGGGATAAAAAAATAGAACCCTCACAGGTGATGCAAATTCAGCCCTGCAAAGCTCAGCATTCCTTGGTAATGTCTCAAAACTCCTGAAATATAAGCTAAATAAGCAATTCTTTCCTGTGTAATCTGAATCCCACCCACTAAAAATTTTCCTTCTCTATCCCTGTTCTACCCGAGACCAGGAAAGAGCAATGTAGAAGAGCAAAATGAAGATTAAATTTGGTTTTGAAGGATCTGGGTTCAAATCCTACCTCTGACACTATCTGTGCGACCTTGGGGTGGTTGGACTAGGTGACCTGAAGTCTCCCATATAACTCTAAATATATCATTCCATAATCTGTCTTAACTAGTAAACGAGCAATTAAATTATCAATCTATTCTTCCCCATCTCCATTAATTAAGGCCATTTCACCCACATAAAAATCTAAACAAGATAGACAATTATTTACACTACAAATATAATCTTGTTTCACAAAAATAATCACCACAAGGCTTCTTTGGACAACCAGTTTCCCTGTGCACTTGTAATTGTTTTTGGATCAATTAACGGAAGTTAGGGGAAAAAAGCCCTAAAGCCAATTAAAAGGTAATTAGAAATAAAGATAAAGTATCTCAAAGTAAAATAAATTTGGCTAATTATCTGTAAGGTCATGGCATCAGGTGATTTGACTTCTCAAAACTGGACTTTCCCATAATTTTCCAGGAATACTTCTACTACGAAATACAAAATCCACCCGAGCAGAAGCACATTAAGCGTAGGAATCAGGAATGATTTGGCCCTTAACAGGCTCTTCTGCCTGTTTTAGGATTGAAGAACTTAAAAAAGGTAGGAAATTTAGCTTGCCTAACGGAAAAAAAAGAAAAAAAAACTCTGTTAAGAAACATTTTTAAAAAAATGATCTCGTGAACATTTTTGGAGGATACAAAGTCAAAAGGCAGTCTTCTCTTTGTTCTTATCAAAGTGCACTTGTTATACATGAGGTTGTGCCGTGCATCCACAAGTGCCATTATAGGGCAAGACAGCCAGCTGTTCTCCATCTCCGCTGAGGCCTGACCAAGGGGAAATGAGCTTAAAGTGCATCAGGAGATATTTCCGTGACAAAGTGAAGATATGGATAACTCCAAAGGTTTTTAGACATATAGTGTATTAATAAGGAATAACAAAGAATTGGTTATTAAAAAAAAAAGGATGGCAACCTTCTACCCATTGATATCATTGCAAAGAAATCCTATTGCATCTCTTTGATTTTGATTAAATTTATGTGGAAAAAAAGAATTGATACAAGCTGGGACACTTTTTCCCTACATTAAGAATATATGGAAAAAGAGTAAGTCCTGCAAAAAAGAAAGGGTATCAGGAAACATGATAAAAACTCTCAATGAAGAATTTTTTAAATTATAGAATGATGGGCAAAACAAGGCAAAGTATATATGAATAAATGAGAAGAAAAAATACAGGCACAAAATTGAGAGAATGAATAAAAATTCTATTGGAGATATTAAAATGTCAAAAATGAGGGCAAAGTATAAGTACATAATATGATATTTTGTAAAGGAAGTTACTGATAAATGTTGATATCAGGCTTAGGGAAGCAATTACTAATGTGGAGACAAATGACATTGCCAGAAGGAATCTAGAAGGAATGGTCAAGTATTATGAAACCTCCTCCAAGAGAACAAAGATATTAGTGGCACCCAGTGGTTTAACTGCTGCAGCTGATTGAAGGCAAGGACTTCAGAAAAGAAAGGAAGATTTGAGAAGAGCTGTGAAGATGGTGTCTGATAATGGATTGAGATTTCTGTACTAGAGCTTCACATATCAGAATGACAGGCTCCTGACTAGGGATGGCGCCAATCTAAGCTGTTGCAAATGCACTTTCCAGGAGTCTTGAAAATCTAATTAAATGGGTTTATATCAAAAGAGAATGGGGAGGAGAAAAACTGCCTTTGCATAGCCACTAAGCTATAAAGAGTTAGCTGTAAAATAGGGACAATAGCCATGGCATACCCAAAAATTCACATGAGTGAAGAAATGAGCAAGTAATGAAACCATGGCTTCATGAATCTATATACTGGTGCACAAAACATAGGTAACAAGTAAGGGGAAGTAGAAAGCCTAACAAAAAGAGGCAAATTTGAATTTAAAGGGACCATTGAGATATGATGGTCTGGGACTCATGATGAGGAATATTCCTGGGGAAGGATACACTTTTACTCAAAAGGAATGGTATAGATAAAAGGGGTGCAGAGTAGCATAGATATTGAGATATATTCATGTGAGGAAATACAGAAAAAAAGGTGGTAATCATAGTGGAGAACATTTGGGCATGAACATTTCGGCAAAGATGAATAGAAGCAAAAACAAGCAATATTGTCAGCAGTGTATACACATCTAATCACTGGAGAAGCAAAAACATAAATGAGGCATTTGGAAAATAAATTATAAGCATTGCATGGATGTGTGTTATAGCAGATATGTGACCTACAGTAAGTCACTTAATGCTGTTTGCCTCAGTTTCCTCACCTGTAAAATGAGCTGGAGTAGGAAATGGCAAACCACTCCAGTGGGTTGTAACAAAGACCCAAACAGGTTCTCAAAGAGTTGGATAAGACTGAAAAATGACTAAATAACAAATATTTAAGGGTAGCTAGGCAGTACAATGGATAGAGGCTCTTTCTGAGTTCAAACTCAGCTTCAGACACTAGCTGTGTGATGTTGGACAAGTCACTTAACTTTGTTTGCCTCATATCTTCACCTGCAAAATGAGTTGGAGAAGGAAATGGCAAACCACTCATTATCTCTGCCAAGAAAAACCCAAATGGGGTCCTGAAGAGTCAGACACGACTGAAAAATGACTCAAGAACAAAAATGATATAGTGTTGAAGGGAGACTTTGGTTAGTCAGAGCACTTTCTCTACAAAAAGTAAAACAGCTAATTATTTCTTGAATTGACTTGATACCAATTTCATCCTTCAAGGAGTAAAGACACTATTGAGAGGGAGGACTTTCTGTTTTAGAGCTAGTTCTCAGTATCAAGGAAGAAATGACAGCAGAGGTGGAAATGATGGGAACTTCAAGAGGAAGTGACTAGAGTACCCTCAAATTTGAGACAGAGAAGGAGAGGGAAGCAGGGAACAGATTAACACTCATCCTAGATTAGGGGAGAATAGATTTCAAGGAGTTTAGAGAAAGGACTGTAGGATTGTATGTCCCAAGACTCTAAAGGGGAAATTAGAGTTGGATGAATGAGAGGTTCTTATAAATGATAGTCTGAAGAAACATTTTTCATGAGGAAGAAAAGAAAGGTAGAAGGAAACAAGCATTTATGAAATGTCTACTAGGTGGTAGACATTGTGCTAAGTGTTTTACAAGTGCTGCATTACCTTACTTGATCCTGTAAGGTTAAGCGCTATTTTATCATCCCTATTTTACAACTGAAGAAACTGAGGCAAACAGTTTAAATGACTGGCTAATTAGTGTCTGGGGTTGGATTTGAACCCAGGTCTTTGTGACTCTAGGCCCAGCACTCTGTCCCCTGTTAAAAGACATTGATGTGGCTGCCCAGGGAACTCATCACTCAACTTCGATACTAAAAATACATGTATAGGAAACGGGCAGAAAGGCAGGTCGTAGAGAATAAAACTGGCACAGTCCTCTAAAGATAGTGGCTGGAGTAGTAAAACTTACAGGGAATGAGGTTGTGTTAAAAGCTAATGACAACAGAAGGGGTTTGGTTTTTTTTTTAAGCTACATTGGTAAAAAGAGAATGATTAAGAAGGGCTAGGTAGTACTACTCATCTGAGTGATGTGAATGTGACTATGGAGGACAGGCACAGCCGATTAACTTTATTTCACTTATATTTTTCCATCAAGGAGAATGTTATTTGGACTAAAAGGGACTGAAGAAAAACAGCTAATAGGGAATTTGATAACCAAGATAAGTTTGGAGATAATAATAGCTATCATTTATATAGCACTTACTAGCTGCCAGGTACTGTGATAAGCACTTTTTGATTATTATCTCATTTGATTCTCACTACAACCCATAGAGGGAGGGAGGTGCTATTATTACCCCTATTTTACTGATAAGGAAAATAAGGCAAAGAACAGATTAAGTGGCTTGCCCAGAGTCACCCAGCTAGTGTCTGAGGCTGGAAAAGGGTACTTATCTTTGAAGAGTTCAAGTCGTCAGACCAAAATGAACCCCAATGTAGGGTCTACAGAATCTTTAGATATAATGTCTGAGCTACTGTGAATAATAATGGAAATATAATGAAGAATGAAAGAGGTACTGAAGAATTGGGGAAGGGCAAGGTCATGATTTCCAAAAAAGAAAGAAGAGGAGGAGGGGGAGGAGGAAGAGAACCTATAAATTATCAGACAGTAAGCTTGCCTTCATTTCATAGTAAAATTCTCTAACACAGTATTGAAAAGATGGTTAGTGAACAAATAGAAAAGGGAGCAGTGATCATAAGGAGTCACTCAATTCTTGGCTTCATCAAGAACAGGTTATGTTAGAATGATGTAATTTTCCCCTGACCCTTTTTTGAACAAAGTTACTAGACTTGCAGATAAGGGGATGGTGTAGACATAGTTTACCTAAAGTCTAGCAAAGCATTTGACAGAGTTTCTGATGTTTTTCTTAAGGATAAGTTGGAAATACACGGACTAGATCATAATACAGTTTGGTGGATGCAGAACTGATTGAATTAGTGAACTGGGATGGCAATTCCTAGGGGAGTAGCACAGGGATCTATCCTTGGTACTAAGCTGCTGCACATATTAATCAGTGACTTAGATAAAGGAATAGATGCTGTGCTTACCACATTTACAGAAGACACAAAGCTGGGAGGGACAGTTAATCACTGGATGACAGAGTCAGCATCCAAAAAGTTCCTGACAAGCTAGAGCACTGAACTGAATTTAACAAGATAATATTTAATATTTAATCAACTCTTAGATTTGGGTTCAAAAATCTCAACTTCACAAGTATAATATAAGGGGAGGTTTGACTAACCAATGACTCAACAGAAAAAAGATCTGATGGTCTTAGTGATTGCAAGCTTGATATAAGCCAGAGTGGGATAGCAGTCAAAAATGCAAACATGATCTTAGGATCGCAGAGGTTACGTAACTGTCCTGCACTACTATGTCCTGATCAAGCTGCTTCTGTAGTACTGTCTTCAGTCTTGGGTACTACATTGTATGAAAGACATTGTTAAGTTGGAGGGTAACTCAGAGGATGGCAATTAACACACAGAAGAGCCATGAGATCACTTCATATGGACATTAGTCATGGAAACTAGACACGTTCAACTTGGAGAAGGGAACTACCTTCAAGTATTTAGAAGTGGAACACTGTTGTTCTGCTAAAGGCAGAAGAACAATTAGAGCTATCCCAAAGTGCAATGAAATGCCTGCAGAGTTCCTGGCTTCTCCCTCATGTTAGGTCTTTGGGAAAGGCTCAGTGACTATTTATCAGGACATGATAGAGGGGAACTTTTGATGGACTTAGATTTGATGTCCTTTCTCTGATTCTGTGACTCCAAATTCCAGGTCCTTTCCATTTTACTATGCTTCTCTCTTTGTTTATTTTTTCTTATGATTAAAAAAATACAAAAAAACCAAAAAAAAGAGAAGCAAGGAAGCTCCAGTGGATATTTTTGTAAGTTAGATAAACCAGAATGTAGCATATTACAAGAGAGAACATTCTGTTTTGATTAATTTGCATATTGTCTTGCATATAGGAAGCATTCAAAATACATTTGCTGAGATCAGTCAAGGGGTGAGAATGGTTTGGTAGCCTCTGGAGATCCTGCAACGCATTTAAAAATTTTAAAACTCTTACCTTTGATCAGGCCGGAATCGGGCATCTGTTGGAGGAAGGAGTTCTTTCAGGACAGGATCTAATTCATTGAGCTCAATAGCAAACCTTGTAAAGCCATAGTAGAGTTCATAATTGGTTGGCATGGAACCTGAAAGAAATAAAATAAAATATTGCTGAGATACATTAAGGAAAATAAAACCCAAACAAAAAAAAATTAAGGTGCCCATGTGATTCATTACTATAAACAGTTGCTACTGAGTAATGTAGTCTCTTCACATAACCATGAACATATTAGATTGATGTCACTGAGTTGGAAGAGATTGGATCCTATGTCTGAAGTTCCTCAATAAGGGATAAGCAGCCTCTGATTGGACTCCCACTAGCACCCCAATTCAGCCAATTTCATTTCTGTACCATTAATTTTTCCATACATAGAGACAAAATTTGTGTCTCTATGACTTCTATCCTTTGTTCCTACTTCTGTTCTTTGGAAGCAAGTGGAATACACTGAATTCCTCTTTCATAGGGGAGCTTTTCAAATAATTAAATTCAGCTATAATGGTCTTCCTAAATCTTCCCTTCTCCAAGTCAAATATCCCCTGCCTTCAACTAATCCTTGTATAAAATAATTTTCAGTCCCCTCACTATTTTATTAGCATTGCTTAGGATAAACTCCAGTTCATTAAAGTCCTTCCTAAAATATGGTACCCAGTACCACATCACACCTATCAGATTGGCTAACATGACAAAACAGGAAAACAATAAATGTTGAAAATGTGGGAAAATTGGAACACTAATGCATTGTTGGTGTAGTTGTGAACTGATCCAGCCATTCTGGAGAGCAGTTTGGAACTATGCACAAAGGTCTATAAAAATGTGCATACCCTTTGACCCACCAATAGCACTTCTAGAGCTATATCCCAAAGAGATCATAAAAATGGGAAAAGGACCCACATGTACAAAAAATATTTATAGCAGCTTTTTCTATGGTGGCTAACAATTGGAAATTGAGAGGATGCCATCAACTGCAGAATGGCTAAAGAAGTTGTGGCATATGAATGTAATGGAATACTATTGTGCTATAAGAAATGATGAGCAGGCGGACTTCAGAAAAACCTGGAAAGAACTGTATGGATTGATGCTGAGTGAAGTGAGCAGAACCAGGAGAATGTTGTACACAGTAACATACAATTAAATTAACACAGTAACATAAATTAACACAGTGACATAATTAAATTAAATTAAAAAACAAACATAATTAAATTAAATTTTAAAAATTAATTTTAAAAAATAAATAATGAGCAGATAAGACTTCAGAAAAACTTGCAAAGACTTGCATGAACTGATGCTGAGTGAAATGAGCAGAACCAGCAGAACACTGTACATAGTAACATACACATTGTGTGATGACCGACTTTGATAGACTTAGCTCTTCTCAGCAATGCAAGGAGCTAAGACAACTCCAAAAGACTCATGATGAAAAATGCTATCTACATGCAGAGAAAGAACTATGGAGTCTGAATGCAGATCAAAGTATACTATTTGCTCTCTGGTTTCGGTTCTTTTTGTTTTGTTTTGTTCCTTCTTTCTCTTGGTTCTTCTCATTGGTTCTAATTCTTCTTTACAACATGCCGAATGTGAAAATATGCTTAATATGGATGTATATGTAGAGCCTATATCAGACTGCACACCGTCTTGGGAAGGGTGATGAGGAGGGAGGGGGGAGAAGATTTAAAACTCAAAATCTTATGCAGGTGAATATTGGGGAAAAAAAGAAAGAAATATGGTACCCAGAACTAAACACCAAACTCCAATGTAGTCTAATCCAGGTGAAATGTGAGTCCCCTTCAATGTTAGGGCTTTCCTGATTTGATTACTCTGTATCTTCTATTGACTTAGTTGTTTGCATGTTGTTTCCCCCACTGGACTGAGCTCCTTGAGGGCAGGAACTCTTTTTGACTTTGTATTCTCAGCAGTTAGCACAGGGGCTGGCACACTGCATGTGCTTGATAAACACTTGTTAACTTGACTTGACAGACCTTATTCTGGACACTAAGCTTAGTGATTAATTCAATTAAGACATGTGAGACTGTGAGTTTCTTAAAATCCACTCAGGGGACTCTTATTTTTCATAGTGATTATCATAAAGTTAAAATTTTTAAAATAAATTATTAGTAGACTGACAAAAATCTAGATTTCCTTATACACCATTTTAGAACGCACTGGTTAAACAATGTCATCATGTTTCTTTTAAAATTCAATGTGTTTACAAAAAATGCCAATATAATTAGCTTTATTTAAAAAAAAGGCTTGCTTGGCAGTGTTATGGAGAAGCAAAAAACATGGCAATCTGTAATAGCTTTGTGTTGACACTTTAACTACTTTACCAACAGGAAATGTAAAGCTTACTAATGACTCTTGGGAAACTCCACTGTCAATTTCAAAATTACTCAAATTGGTATGCAAACCCATAAAGTTACGGATCTACTGTGACAAAATAAGTAACAAACACAGATTCATTATTTTTTTTACTGGTACTTGATATCAGCACCATACAACTGAGTTACTCAGATTCTACAACAACAATGAAGCTGTTTATAGTAATTAAATTTAACAGAACTATCTATTACTAGAGTTGAAATGATTTAGTAAATTAGCACTGAGTGTCAATTAGAGCAGCATGATTTTTGCTGCATTCTTGAAATGCAAATACCTTTTATCATAAGAGCTTACATTGATATAGTGCCTGAAGGATTACAGAACATTTTATATACATTATCTCATCTGATGCTCACCACAACCCTGTGGGGTAGGTGCTAGCATTATTTCCATTTTATAGATCAGAAACTGAGGCTTTGGGAGATTAAGTGACTTGCCCTACACAGCTAGGTGATTAGAGTCAAGAATGTGTAAATTCAGGGGCAGCTAGGTGGCGCAGTGGATAGAACACTGGCCCTGGGGTCAGGAGGACATGAGTTCAAATCCAGCTTCAGACACATAACACTTACCAGCTGTGACCCTGGGCAGGTCACTTAACCCATTGCCAAACAAAAACAAAAACAAACAAAAAAAGATGTAAATTCAAATCCAGCCTCATACACTTAATAGTTGTATGATCTTGAGCAAGTCATTTAACTTGTCTGCCTTAGTTTCCACAACTGTAAAATTGCATACAATAACACTATCTCCCAGAGTTATTGTGAAGATCAAATGATAGAATATTTATAAAGTGCTTAACACAATCCCTAGCATATAGATGACACTTCATAAATACTTGTTTTCTTCCTTCCAATGATTATGCCAAAAATAAGTGAATGAGACACAAGTATTTCTAACTCCAAATCTAGCACTCTATCAATTATGTCCTACTACCTCTCATTTTATAAAACCAAAATACATGATAAAGGTTTTAGGGTAATATATATTTTAGTCATACTTTAAAAATTGAACCACAAAAAGGAGCAAATTTACAAGAAGCTATATTAACTTTGATCACATTCTAGAAATGTCAATCAATGGAAGCTTAGGGTGGGGAAGGAAGAAAAAACTATTCTGAAGTTTGCTGGTAAATTATTAATTTGACTGTTATATAGTCAATAAAAGAATGCCTTCTCTAACTGCATGCGGCCTGCTGGTGGGAGTCACACAGCTGTGCTCACTAGGTCTACCACTATAGTTTTATTACCAATTTCTAGCTGAGGAGCACAGCAACCTTTTTACTATTCCCTGGTTCACTCCTTATCATGATCTCCACACAATGTTTCAGATCTTTTCTTGACTCAAATCACCTACACCACTCCCTTTTAGAATAGCCTTATTTTCCTTATGGTATACAAAAAACAAACAAAAGACTGAGGCCATTCATCATAAAGTCTCTTTTCTTCCCTTCTCCATATCTCAAAACCCTTCAACAGTATCATCTATTCTCTAATCCTCTGTTCCAGTGTTAGAGGAAAAGACAGTCTGTGTCCTTCCAAGGCCAAACTCTTCTCTTTGTACTCTTGATATCATTCCTTCCCATCTTCTGTTAGAGTCTGTCTCTTCAATTATCCTCTTTCTAATCTCCAATCTAACATGCTCATATCTTCTCTAACCTTCATTTGACCTTGTCATCCGCTCAAGCAATGATTTAATATTTCTCCTCCTTTTCACAGCCAAACTCCCTGAAAATTCTAGCTACCTTCTATATCCAAATAACGTATATATGCCGCTTCCACTTTTTCACCTCACTTTTCAATCGCTTTTAGGGGACAGAGCATCATTATTTATCAAGAAGATATATATTCATTCAAGACCACCCAGGAGTGACAGGGGAAAAGAAACAGGGTAGAAAGTATTTGGCTGACGAGTAACAGAGTTAAAAACAAAAGAGATTTTGATACCAGAGTTTATTAGTGACTAACTTGACAGATGAAATGGACAAGGATTATGAAGTCTGACATGGACACAGTCATCTGTTACTTCAATTATTTGGACATCTACTGGAACTTTCTCTGTGCCCCCAGTGGAATAGCTAAGGATAGCTCCATCTGGCTTAAAATGATCACTTCATCCTTCAAAATGCAGATGAATCAATGAAGGCAATATCTATTTAGGACTTGGTTCTTACCAACAAGGAAAAAACTAGTCAACTAGGCAGAAATGGTGGGAACCACCAGAAAAAGATCACAGTCTCATTTTAGAACTTTTGTTAGAGAAGGAAAGGAAAGTTAGATGTAGTCAGACCTTCATTCACAATTTAGAGATAACAGATTTTTTTTTTAAGTTTTATTGGGTTTTTTTTGGGGGGTGTTGTGTGTGTGTGTGCGCATGTGTGTAATTTCTCAAACTATCCTATTCTTCTGGATTAAATCTATTCTTGTAAGAAAGAAAAGAAGTAAAGTAGGAACACCCAACACAGTGACCAACTCTGACAATGCCTATAACATTCTGCTCTAGTAGTCTCTTTCCCTTGCACTTTTACTATTTCACAGAGGTATAATGAGGAAATCAGCTTGTAAACTTGATAAATAAATGTGGACAATTATTATTACTTTTATTATTTGTGTGTTTGGCTTAAGAAAATTTAGGATTTCTCTATTAGATCTAAAAACTTCTTTGCTCTCCCCATTTTCTCCTTCCCTTTCACTCCTTCCCCTGTATCCCATTTATTTGAGCACTAATATACTATAAAATTCATCACTTCCAAAATCTACAAAGGCTTGGAATTTACAAGACTAGTTCCGCTGAACAATTTGTAAAGCTCCCTTAAAGAACTTAAAATGTTATGCAAATTTAAGTTAGTAAGTATTATGATTTACTGGAAGCACTTAGTAATAGAGAAAAATGTATTTTTTATGTGACTAAAATAAGCCTTTGGTATAATTATTAGGTGTTTTCAGTTAGAATTCAGAAATAAGTAGCTAAATTCACAACAGAAAATAATTTTTATCCTAATGTATCAAGGACTTCCAATTACATAATAATTTCCTGGGCCATTTTGGTCCTGTGTTAGGTTCCATTGCATTTTCCTTCCCTCCCCCTTCCTTTTTCCCCTCTCTTAGACCCTAATGGTTCTAACCACTGGTTAGTTCTTACTGGTTCACCCACATTTTAGCCTGTTGTTGCCCCCCATCCAAAATGCTTCTAGTTAAGATTATTATTATCCTAGTACAGGCTAGGGAACAATACAGTAGCCAACCAAACCCCTACTTTGATGTCTCTAAACCTATCAGAATTAAGAGATGGTAAAGATTTCCAGGGATTGATAGCAACAATAAGGAAACAGGGCAGTCTGAGGTAGGGGAAAATGCGAGAGCTGGAGTCATGGGAACCCAGGTCCATGCCCTATAGCTGACTTTACTAGCCACATGGGCATGGATAACTCATTTTATATCTCAAAGCCTCAGTTCTCTCATCTGCAAAATGGAAAGAATAATTGCTATGGAACTTATCTCTCAAGATTGTTCTGAGGATTAAATCAGATAATACAAGTGTCTCACAAAAAGTTAACAGGTCTGAAAATGTTAGTAACTGTTAACAAAAGGAAGCTGGGCAGTCTCTTAACTTCTATACTCTTTACTATCCCCATGTATAAAATGGAAATAATAATTTCTGTCATTTATCAAGAACTTTAAGATTTGCTGACCACTTTTCAGACACTCTCTCATTTGATTTCCAAGTCCCACAACAACCCTATGAGGGAACATACATATTATCACCCTCCTATTACAGATGAAGAAACTGAGGCTCAGAAAATTAAGTGACTTGCCCCAAATCACACAGCTATTAAGTGTTGAGGGTGGGATTCAAACACAGTTCTATCAGATTCCAAGTCTGGTACCCTCGTATTTGCACTCGCTATTTCACAGAGTTTGCTGTAAGGAAACACCAAGTAAATGTGAGTTGTTGTTACTATATAGTTACTATATATAGTTACTATAAAAACTTACAAAGTCACCTAAATATGTAACTGCATTTACTTTTGATTAGTTAACATTTTTAGACCTCTCCATTAACAGAGAAAATAGTTAAGGAGAAGTATATTTGTCATGTGACAACATTATTTCATCAAATTATATTTCACTGTTAAAGTAGAATTCTTGACCTCTCCTTTAGGTACTATGCAAAGGAGTATGCACAGTAAGGTCTCACCTGGCCTCCATATGCACTTTGCTGATGGTGGTATGCCACAGTACAGTCCTTCATGCCACTTTCCAAAGAGACGGTGAACCACCTTCCCTCCTGATCCATGACAACCCCTTGGACTTCATTTACGTTAGAATTCCAATAATTTACCTAGAAATAACAACAACCCCCTCTCAATATGTCATTGTGCTAGTTTCATTATACAGCGATATTAAAGCCAGAAGGCTCCTTTATCAAAAAACATTCCATTCTAACAAAAGGTAAAGAAATTTACTCAGCTGAAAAATTCAAATCCTAGACCACCGCAAGAGATTATAAAGAAATGCTTGATGCATCATTACACCATTCATTCCAAATGTTTGATGAATTGGAATGTGAAGGAGAAAAGAGGTAAGCCATTAGCTAAACATACAGTTTACCACTAGTTCTTAATATATTTTTCTAAACACTTGAACATGGCTTCATTCTAGAATAGAATAGAGTTTTGGAGCTAGAAAAACCTTAGAGAACTTCTAATACACTCTCCCCTATTTTAGGATTCCTGATAGAGCTAGAAAGGACTTCAGGGTTATCTAGTTTAACCATTTCATTTAGTAGATGAGGAAAATGAGGTTCAGTGAGGCTGTCAATTAAGGAAATTAATTAAAGAAGTATGACTTGCCCAGTAAAATTTCAGCTCTTTGAGGGTAGGTACTGTTTTAATTTGTCTTAAAATCTAGATAGTACCTGGCATATAGTAGGTGCTTAATTGAACTGTCCATGACCACCCAGTAGGATAATAACCTAGGTTCCAATTGGCGCAACATGTTATTTTACTCATTCAATCACAATTTATTGATCATCCTTTAGGCAGAATAAGGTTATGAAACAAACGATATAGTTCTTATCTTAAAGAAATTAAGATATTATGTTAATGACCAATTAATTATTCCTTATAGTCAAATACTTCCTCTATATTTAGTAACTTAAGTTAATTTCAGTATTTGAAACATAAAAAGGAGAAATGGATCCAGAAGCCATTTTCAAAGTATTTTGGTAAATACCTGAATTGTATTAGTAATAATAATCCCTCTATCTAGGACACACCAAGTGTCCACACCCATTCACACAACAATGGATTAGGAGTCAAGATAATTGGGTTCTGCCACTAAACTTCCCGTGTGGTCTTAAAGATAAATCATCTGTATTTCTGGGCCTTAGCTGTCTCCTCTGTAAAGTGAGAGAACTGAGCTAAAGGCCCCTTTAAAATCTAACAATCTGGGCCTTTGAACTGGTCGTCCCTATATCTGGGAATGCTTTTCCTCCTCATTTGCCACTCCTAGAGTCCTTAGTTTCCCCTATGACTCAATTCAAGTGATACTTTCAGCAGGAGAACTTTCCTGTTCCCCAGAGCTGCCCCTGCCTTCCCATCTAAGACAATTTTTATGTGTAAGGTGCTGTCTTCCTTATTCAAATGTCAGGTCCTTGAAAGCAGGAACTGCTTCCCTTGTTTTTGTATTGCTAGAGCCCAGCACAATGTTTAGCACACAGAAGGTGCTTAATAAATACTTCTGGATTGACAGAGTTTCTATTTGCAAAGTGTCAGTTAACACTACTAAGTTAAAACAGCCTTGTTCTTTAGCTCTGTGTCCCCCACCAAACAGGAGAATAAGTAGTTATTTCAGAAAGAGTTATCTTAAGATAAAGACAAGGTACATAAAATGAAAGGAAACCCTCATTTAGAGCTTGGGGCAAGGGGCTGAGAAAAACATGACCTAAAATTAAGCCGGCATTTGTTTGCCATATTGGAATCAGCCCAATAATTGCAAAATGCTGAAACAAATGAAAGGCATATTCTTTGTATCAGGCTACTGTATTTAGTCTATGCATAGAGAAATACAACATGTAACTGTGTTGCCCCAACCAGTATTTCCAATTCAGACAGAAAAAAGGGAAGAATGCCTTTGTGAGTGTTTGGGTACCTCATGCATTTGTCATTTTAATAACTTACCTTCCTGAGGCCAAAGGTCTTTTTTTCTGTTGATCAATTTTCCATGTGGGTCATAATAATTGGGATAAACTGATAGCAAGATATTGGCAACTAGCACGTACTTTATTGCTACATTTAAGTGTCCTCAGAAACTGATAATGACTTCATAAACTTCATAAATACAATCAACTGAAAATGGATACTAGGAGAAAATAAGTACCTGAAAAGGCTATTTTTAAAAACAATTCAACCTAATCAAAACATTTGAGCTTGCTGTTTCTTAGTATTAAATGTTCTGTCTCTTCCCTTAGGACATATTTTATGCTATTTTCCTTGACCATATTATTTACCTTGATAAATGTGAGTTTGCAGATACAAATACTGCTCTTTGTATTTCTAATAGTGATTTCTCCATAATGCTCTATCCATCTCCTCCCACTGAGAATGTTATGGATGCATGTTGTGACTTTGTTCCATACGTAGTAATCTCCATACCTAGAGAAAAAGTGTGTTACTACTAAAACAAGGAAACACACAGACATCTCTACTTATGCACTGAAGGTAAACCTAAAATTAGTCATCCAAAGCTCCTCTTCCCTTATTTTAATTCTTGCTACCTCCTTGGAGATTTTTAAGTAGTCAGTGATTTTTCTGATAGCAGATTCTAAGTTTCTGATCCTGACCCACAAATACATGAGATAAGAGTAATTATTTGGAAAGAAGTAATGGCCTTTCTCAGATAATTCCACAAAGCTGTTACAAATTCAGTGGACTAATGACAGGTTATCAGCTTTTTTCCCCAAGAAATATATGTGGAAGTATGCTTTCATAGCTCTTTGAATTCATCGCACACATGAATTTGCATATATTTACATAATCTAGTTAAAAATCAACAATTCCAAATTAAAAAAATGAATTAGCATAGTCTAATGCACACAATGTGCCAATGCATAGGCTATGTACCACCATATACTACATTACACACTCTTGCTTTATATATTTACATCTATACAAAGTATTTCTATTTCAATGTATAAAATTAGCTACATAGGCATATGTACACAAGTATATATATACACATGAATTTTTATCTATATATTAGCTATGCAGACATATACATATGTATATTTACATATATACAAGTTTTCTATTTATACATCTACAGTTAACTATATAAATGCCAACATACATAAATATACATCTACATGTACCCACATACGTATGTGTGATTACACTGGTGTGGAAATTCCCTCCTTGATGGACACTAGTAACACACGTGTAACTTACTTAGCGTCTCAGAGACGCTAAGTGACTTACCCATGGTGACACAATTAGGATGCACCAGGTGCAAAATTTGAAGCCAGGATGTTCTGATTTTGACACTGGCCCTATGCATACTACATTATCCTGTCTCTCATACAAATAAATGACACATACGATGGAGAAGGTAGAAATAATGGAGGAGAGGAAAGAGAGACAGTGTGCAAAGCTATAGAAATGAATTATTCAAAGCCACTAGAAGAGGTAGTGCTGACAGGCATCTGTGGAAGCAGCTTGGTTTCACTAGGCTGACTTCCAAAATAAGAAACAGTTCCTCAGAACTGTCCCCAGTGCTTTTAGGGACAAGGTGGTCAAAGCAGGACACATTCTTGGAGAAATGGGATTGATAGTAGGTTAGACTGGACACATTTCAGTGCTACACAGTATATATTAACTTTTCTTTGGTAAATCTGGATATATACGGTCACCTTTACCATGGAACACAAATTGTTCAGGATAGAAAGTTTTAATCCATGTGCTTGTGGAGCCTTGGATTTCCAAAGTTCCCATAGTTCATTTACAAATATTTCTAAAGCACAGACCTGATCATGTCACTTCCTTGCTCAAAAATCTCCAGTGGCTCCCTTTATATTCAAATGCAGACTCTTCTCCTTGGCATTTAAAGCCCTTCACAATCTGGCTCCTACTTATCTTATCCGTATTATTTCACATCACTCACTGCACTCACAGGGTCCACATTCCAGCCAAACAGCCCTATTTACTCTTTGCTCCATGTATGTGACATTCCAACTTTTATCTGTGCATCTTTGCTCAGGCTTTTCCCCACGCTCTTCCCAACTCAACCTCCTACACCATGTCTTTTCTGAATGCTCCATGTTGTGTTCAAAATTATTTTCTGTTTACACTGTATACTTTGTCTTTCTTACCTACAAACATGTTATTTTCCTAGAGTTTAATGAAACCTCAGAAGCACAGAATTTGAGAGTTGGAAGGGATCTGAGCAGCCACTGACCCCAATCCATCCATGGAAGGACTCCCCATTATAACATACTTGATCAGCTCTTGAAAGCAGGCATTGTAGTAATTTTGTGTTTTTGTATCCATAGCATATTAGACATAATTAGCACTTAATAAATACTTTTTTGAATTAAATTGACCCTTCAAAATCAACTTAGATTTACATCATCATCATCATCATCATCATCATCATCATAACACTTATATAGCCCTTTAAGATTCTGTAAAGTGCTTCCCCCCCCCCCAATGGATAGGGCTTGGATCTATGATTTTATTTGTATATGGAATTCCCAGATGAGGAAAGTCCTTCTACTAGTGGAGGTTGGTACCTTCTATGTAACTTAAGAATTTTGGAGATCCCCAGAGCAGTAAGAAGTTAAGTGATTTGCCCAGGGTCACACAGCCAGTATGTGAATTCCCGTCTTCCTTCATAACCTGGTCCCTGCCTATTTTTCCAGTTGTCTTACACCATACTTGTCTCTACATACTCTACAATCTAGTGACACTGAACTCCTTGCTGTGCCTTGAACACAACATAACCTCTCTACTCTGGGCATTTTCACTGGCTGGCTGTTTCCTGTGCCTGAACTACTCTTCTTCTTCCTCTCCAACTCCTGCTTTCACTGGCTTCCTTCAAGTCTCAGCTAAAATCTTACCTTGCACAAGAAGCCTTTCCCAGTCCTTCTTAATCTCGGTGTCTTCCCTCTAAGTAAACCTCCAATTTACCCTGTCTATATCTTGACCAACTCCCCATCCACTACACCATGCTCTCTTTCATACTCAATAACATCAGTAGAAGTTCCACATTAAAAGAAAGGTCTCTTTGACCCCAATAATGTTTAAAAGTACTGTTCTTTAGAAAAAAGGGAACCTACTTTGGAAGTGTCACATTCAGTGTTCCCACAGGTAGGATTTCCATGGATTTCCCCCAGAACTTGTTTTTCCATCTTATATCTGAAAGAAAAGGTGGAGGACAAAAGAGAAATAGATTTCAATTTCAAGAATTTATTCTCTAGCTATTCTATGTGGTTAGATATGCGATGGGGATCCTGGAATGGTAGATGTCAGGTTAGGAAACAATGAAAAAGTTACTTCTGATAAAGTCAAAGGTGTCAGACATTAAGGCAATGAGTCTTCTGAAGATTACCTGAGCATGAAGAGATCAGATATGACTCTGAAAGATATAAATGACACCTCTCTACAATGGACGCCTCATATTTCTGCCCAAATAATAAAATGAAATAAAGCTGTAGGCTATGAACAAGCAAATGTCAAGTGTTTTGAAGTAGACAGGGGGCATAAATGATAACTATAAGGTGGAAAGAGTGAATAGGCCATATATCAGTAGTATGTTCATAATGCTGCAATGCCATGTATTATCATTTATATTTATGAAATATATTCCTGAAGGAAGTGAGAATATAAATTTGACACTATAGGTGCTAAAAGCTTATGAAGAAATGGAGTCAGCTACATCCCAACAGATTAAGTGATATTCAGAGTAATCAGGTAATATCTGGATGATGATTCTCTCCACCCTAAGGAAACGGGTTATATGCCTATTGGTAATTATTTCCCTCTTCTATTTGGATAAAATAAAGAGACATTAGATTTTTAATCACAGAACTTTAGCACCTTTGATGAATGGTAAATATTCTCTGAAAGACATTTTGTAAATGCCCTGTGTTTTTTTTTATTGCAGGCATATTACTAAAATGCACACATATAGTCTGTCTCTTTCTCTCTCTCTCCTCCCCTGTACTTTTCTTTCTACCTCTATCTATAGATATACATGTCTCTCCCTCTTCTTACCGTGCCCCTCACTGAACCGTTCCTTGTAACAACCCCCCCCTCCCCAAACAAACAGTTAAGCAACTCAGCCTCTCAGGTACCCTACAGATGTACTAAGAGGAGGGCAAGTGTATTCCATCATCTCTTACACAGGACTCACTGCTTTATTTTCTTTGTTGAAAATGTATTTTGAAGTGAGAGTTTATGTTTTCTGCACTAAGGTCTGGGTCTGAAAATGCTTCAGGTCTGGGTGGTTCATATGAGCAATGCAACATTCTTTAGGACATCATAAATCATCTATTATATACAGGTGGCTTTATTCACAGGTACTGGCCTAATTTGTATATTGTCTTCACCAGAATTTCTATAGGTTTTATGGTTCTGCCTGAAACTTGCTAAATGGGTCCAGATTAACCCTAATTAATCAGACATATTAATGCTTTGACACTTCACTTCTAGATCTGACCTCTCTTTAAAGGCAAACAGGTGGCACAGTGGATAGAGAACAGGGCCTGATGTCAGGGAGAACTGAGTTCAGACCTGACCTCAGATACTTACTAGCTATGTGACCCTGGACAAGTCACTTAGACCTCTGTCTGCCTCAGTTTCCTCAACTGTAAAAATGGGTATAATAACAGCACCTACCTCCCAGGGTGTTTAGCCCAGTGCCTGGCACACCCTATATAAATGCTTCTGTCCTTCCCTTCCATTTATAACATGTCATTTTGTATTACAGTTATCTAGGGATGTTCCATATACCTCACTATAGATACCATGAAGGCAGGGATTGTTGGTCTCTTATCTAGATTTTTTATTCCCTCTAGGACTGGCCTGTACAACCTCTATATTTTCACAGGCCACCCAAAATCCTTTGGCGGGCTGCAGGTTGGGCAGGCCTGCTTCTAGAGTATTGTGCTCTTCACACAGTAGGTGATTAATGAATGTTTGTTTGACGTTTGATGAGTGACTTCACAGGTAAATTTAAACTGTTCTTACAAATACTGAAAATATAATCATCATGTTTATGCAAACAAGTAAAACAGCATTTAGAAAGGATGTTGTAGAGTCTTTCCTTTAAGATTACAAAATCTTTGTGAACATTTTATCATTAATCTTCAGAGAAGGGGAGCAGATTTAATGGTCTTCATTTTTAAGGATGTAAGTAGCAGGGATATAAAATGACTGCCCAAAGTCACAGTATGAACAGTGATGCCTCAGTTGAGGGTACAGCTACCTACTAGCCTGATTTTTTCCTAATTTAAAGTTGCAAATTCAATTACTTAAAACTGAACTCAACAGCAATTAGTAACATCCTCTGAGATCATGAGTTGGAACTCTACATAGAATACATTTGGAGATGAGAAACTTTTTCAATTGCTCATCAATGTGACCTTTAAGTTATAAAAAATAGTACAAACCTTGCCAAAACACAAAATTCTTTGATTCACAATGGCAGGCAGAAATGGGTGGATGATGGCTAACCTGGTTAAAAAAAAGGAAGAAAAAGAATGACACAGAGTGTCTAGAAATTAAGACAAAAATGCCTCCTTTTTTTGCATTATATGCAATGTGAACATTCTTTTTAAATGACATTTTAAGAGATATTCAGCTCAGCTATATGTTAATGAAACAATCTTAAAATGCTTCTCTGAATTAAAGGAGATTTGCACAAATAGTTTTGGGCAATAATAAGCAATATTTAAATGTACTTTAATTTGGGGGAGGTTTCTTCCTACATTACTCCTGGAAGCTTTCTGGTTAAAGGACTTCTATTCCATAACAGATTTACCTACCTGTACAGAAAAGAATTGAATAAAAATAGATTTACCTGCTCTGAGAAAAAACGGAATCCCTTGTCTTCTCGAATGCACTCATATGTCTCACCAAGCACAGGGTTGAATGGCTTACTTCCTGCTCTGAAGTAGGTAGAGCAGTATCCTGAAACTGCAAATGCAGCAATGAGAACCTGTTAAAACATTTGAGAAAGAAAAATAATGTAGGTGAGGTGTAGCCTGACACTCTAAATGTCATGCAAAGCATCTCATTTTATTTTGTTTTCCTGTTACTTATTTACAGAATCGTTTCCCATGATGTAAGTCCTCAAAAGAAAAAAAGGTCTACTTTGAGAATTACCTTAGAACTGAATGACCAAGACTAGCTCTTACTTGGAACAAGGCCCCCATGATTACAGCATTATGCTCAGGTCGGGAGGGCCAGGGCACCTCTTGGCTGGGGGGTAGCCTTAGGCAAATGGTGGGGATTGTTTTCAATCGTAGACTGGAGTAAAGTCTAGGCCAAGGAGAAAATGAATTACTTGACTGAACCAGGCCTAAAATCCTTATGGTGTGGGCCAAGAACATTTCTTGGTTTTCAGAAGAAGCAGATAAAAAGGGTTGCTAGGCATATCTTTAAACTACATGGGACACAACTCCTTTATATACTAAGTTAAGGAAACTTCTAAGTTGGAGTAAAATTTTTATGGAGTAAATCCCTTCTCAAAAGGATGTGAACCTACTTGGCCTTAATTTACTCAGGTAGTAGGGAAGCCCTTAGGTGGAATGGCCTCCTTTTACTTGAAGGACATAATTTCTATCTTAATCATAGAGGGAGCGTGTCTATATCTTAAAAAAAGGCAAACTACACTAATAATAATAACAATGATGATGATGATAGCTAGCATTTATTTTATGTGTTAAATGTGAAAAATTATATCATTTGAGCCTCACAACAATCTTGTGAGGCAGGTATTATTATTATCCCCATTTTACAGAAAAGAAACTGAGGCTGAGAAAGGTTAAATGACTTGCTCACAGTCTCAAAGCTAGTAAATTGCTGAAGCAAAATCTGAATTCAGGTCTTCCCAACTCTACAACTCAGTACTGTCTCCACTGCACCACCTAGCTGTCTAGGTGCTAATGATTTTAAAAAACAAACACAGCCAACAAGGCTAAGTATTCTGGCCTAGCTGAGTCCTGTTTTGAAGGTAGCTTGCAGGGTTTTTTTGTTTTGTTTTGTTTTGTGTTGAGGGGCACTGCCTTGTGGCACCAAACATTACCATGCGCTCATATGGGTCATCAGTTTCTGAGGCCTTGTCCAAGAGCTCACTGTATTCTACTTCCTCACAGAGATGCTGCAGAGTGTTGAGGGGCTCATTCAATTCCACAGGCATAGAGACCTTAGACAGATCTTTGCCAATGTTGTTTCTCAAAATATTCCACAGATTAATGTTGCTAGTATCAGGACATGGAGCTGGGAGACAAGTTCGACGTCCATTTCGGAACGCGCCTCCTGTAAGCTCTCCATTAAGGACTGGAAGAGAAAGACAAGTATCATAGACTGGAAGATATTTTGTTTTTACTTTTTTCAAAGTCAGGCCCAGACGAGTCATGTTTTTAAAAAAATAATAATAAATTATGCATAGGCTGTACTTATTAAGCCTTCATTATAATATACTTTCTTAAGTACATTTAAGTAAACTGCATTATATTAACACATGGCTATTCATTAATGCACAAACAATAATGGGAGTATAATTTACTTACCAGATGTTAAATATATGCAAATAACATTAAAACAGACTTTCAAGAAGCAAATTAAGTGGGTGGGGAAAAGAACCAGAACTATGCCATTTTTAGTCATTGAAAACTTTTTACAGTAAAAGTATTGAGTGGTAAGAGTTATTAAGTTATAAGTTATAAGAACTTGAAGAGGGGTCATATTGAAAAAGAATTAAATTGGCTTTCAGTTTGGTTTTAAGTTATAAGTTACAAGAAGTTATAAGAACTTGAAGAGGAGTCATACTTAAGAAGAATTAAATTGGCTTTCAGTTTGGTGCCAGAGATGGCAGTACCAGGAGCAAAGTGTAGTCACTGCAAAAAAACAAATTCAGCCTTGAAGAAAACTTTTTAACAATTAAAGCTATCCAAAGGTTAGGTTCTCTCTCATTGGAGGTCCACAGGAGGAGGCCGTATGGACTCTTTCTCAGGTTGTGGTAAGGATGAGGCATGGGTTGGACTACATGGCTACTAAGTTGTTTTCCAAATTAAAAATTCTGTGGTTCAGTAACAAGCAGTTTACTCTTTGGACCAGCTACATAAACAGAACATAAAAATTAGAAATCAATTGGGGAATCAGCACCGGAAAGATAACTATAGAGAAAAACAATGTTTATACAGCTGGAAAATCATTATAGTAGCAAAGGCAAATATGTAGGTTATACAAATGTAGAGTCCACAATACTACATACTTTGCCGAGAAATGTTGTCTGCAACACTGGTATTGTCTTCAGATATGTTATCACTCACATCACTGATATAAGACTCATCATCTGAAGCCTGAAAAGGAAAGGAAATGGAATTCAGAAAGTGGAAATAATTAAGCCTTTAAAAAGAACAGTCAAAACAATTGGAAGATGGGTATACATTGCTGAGAGAATCTAAATCACTATTTTTAAAGGAAATGTAGTTAAGTCAATCGTTCCTTCTCTTTTCAAGAAAGAAAATGGATTAATATGAAATGGGTATCACCAGAAAAACACTAACAATGGTCATCTGTCACAAGTTGCATTTTCTCCCAAACTCTGTACCTTAAATCCTCTTAATACCATCCTCCCAAATCGCTGTTTGTGTCCTTGATTCCCATTCTTTATGGTCTCTTTCTGGAGCTTGCCCCTTTAATCACCCCATCTCCTTCCTAATTTCTGATGTGTCTTTATTGGCTCTTTTTTTTGTTATGTACAAGCATGTCCAGATTTTCTCTATCCTTATAAAAAGACCCTCACTTGACTGCCCTATCCACTTAACCTAGGGACTTCTATTTCCTCTCCCTTTTACAGTCAACCTCATAGAAAAAGCTGCCTCTAATTATTGTGTCCACTTTTATACCTCCAATTCACTTCTCAATTTCTTGTAATTTGGCTTCCACCATTTGGCTAAAACTGCTCTTTCCAAAGTCACCAATGTTCTCTTTATTGCTAAATCAATTGCCTCTTCCTAGTCTTCATTCTTTTTTGACTTTTCCAGTATTTGACATTACTGACCACCTCCATTTGTACACTCTATCCTCCTTAGGCATTTGTGATACTGTTCTCTTAGTTTTCCTCCTACCTCTCTAACTGATCCTTCTTTATCTCTTTGCAGACTCACAAAGTCCCTTTGCATGTCTCACCTCCTATTTCAGGGTATTTGCCTGGAATCTGAACTGACTTCCTCTCCTCTATCTATATCTGGTTCATTTATCTCATCAGCGTCCATATTTGCAGCTATCAACTATGCAGATTACCGCCCCCATCCAAATCTACTTATTTGGCCCTCATCTCTTTCCTGAATTCTACTCAGATACCTCCAACTATGCTAGATAGCTTCACTAAATGTCCCATCACAAAGTCAGCCTGTTCAAAAGCCAACTTATAATTTTCCTCTTCTCCTAACTTTTCTATTTCAAAGGTACCACCACCCCTATTGGCCAGGTTTATAACGCTGGAGCAATCCTAGACTCATCTTTCTCTGCTACCCCTATATCTAACCAGTTGCAAGTCTTTCCAATTTTATCACCACAATACCTCTCATATCTGTCTCCTTTCTTGACTCACATCACAACTATCCCAATTTAGGTCCTCGGCACAGCTTTGCATAGACTACAAGTCTCTCTGACTCAAGTTTCTCCCCTCTCCAATCCATTTTTTAAACAGCTGCCAAAGTGACTTCTCTAAAATACAGATCGTTCCTAAAATACTGTGTCAACCCTCTAGGCAGTAAATTCCAGTAGCTCTAGATTACCTCCAGGATCAAATATAAACTCCTCTGTTTGGCCTTTCAAGTTCTTACTACATGGACCAGGCTTCTTATGCATTACTCCACTGTGTATCCTCCTTGTTTCAGCCATTCTGGCCTATTTGCAGTTCTTAAATACATGATGCTTCATGTCCTACCTAACAGCCTTCTATGTCTAAAAGTTACTAGCAGCTCATCTCTATCACTTACAAAACTCATCTCAGCATGACAATTACATAAGGGTTTTCCTAATCCCCTAAAATGCTACTGTTTACACAGTAATGATCTTATATTTCTTTATACATATTCACGTATGCATTCGCACACATGTGTGTATACATATACAACTGCATATATGCATTTGGACAGAGATGTGTGTGTGTGTGACACACACACACACACACACACACACACACACACATGCTGTCTGTACCAAGTCAGAATGTAAGCTCCCTGCTGGCAGGGACTGTGTCATTTTTGGTCTTTGTATTCCCAGAACCTAGCACAGTGTGAGGCACTTAGCAGATACTTAATGTATGTAGCCTGGACTGAATTTACTTGTTGAGACCCCATGGTCCAAGAAAATTAGCTGTTTTCCAAAAAGGTTTAGGGTTCTGGCATACAGAAGATTGTGAATACATATGGATATAAGTATATAAGGATCAATGAAAGAAGTAAAATATCCTTTGATAATTCAAAGATTTTTAACCTATTTGGGGAAAAATATTTTGGTCACAGAGAGCCTAAAATGGAAAAAAAAGTGATATTATATATTTCTGTTTATGTATCATTAACTCTTTGTGTGACCTTGGGCACACTTCAATCTCTGGGTCTCAGTTTCCTGACCTAGAAAGTTAGACCAGATGTTATCTAAACTCCCTCACAGCCCTCCCATTCTAGGACTCCATGTCAGATAGATAGATAGTTAGATAGATAGATAGATAGATAGATAGATAGATAGATAGATAGATAGATAGATAGATAGATAGATATGGATAAAATTGATGGATGAAGCAAAGAAGGAAGAGAGAAAGAAAAGAATATTTATAGTGCCTACCATGTGTCAGGCACTGTGCTAAGTGCTTTCCATATATTATTTCATTCAACTTAAGAAAGACAAAAAAAAGGAATTTTCTCTTACCTAATTACCTACCTACCTACCTCCAGAAAAAATGCTGCTCTATATAAGTGTGTGGGATTTATATGAGTGCAGGAAAAGTTTCTTTCCTAAACAAGAGAACCATGGAATATAGCGTACAAAATATAAGAATATATAAATTCCATAAGCACTCAAATCTCTGTGGCCACAGTTGCTTATCATAGAGGCAGCAACAGCAGTAGTAGTTGCTGATAAGAATCAGATACACATGCATATAATACACATAAATATATACAATCCCGGCCAAAAAACAAACCAATATGCTTAAGCCATTTGTTTTAGGTTTATCCAACTTGTCACTAAACATATCTTAAAGGACTCTGTAATGACTGACACATTAAATTCCAAGGGCACAGAGACAAGTTTAGTTGGAATGAGTGGGAGGAACAATGAAAATGACATCGAGAAAACATTGCATTTTCTACTTATGAACAGGGAACATGCAGTTTTATAATCTTAAATGTCAAAACTTATTCATTCCCTCACTCAAAAACACTTATGAAGCACATACTATATGTAGCCTACTGTGTTAGGCACTAGAGCAGATACAGAGTTTAGACCAGTCCTTATTCTTCTTGAGGTTGCCCCCTGGGCTTCTACCTGCTCCAGCTCTTCATCCTGAAGCTCACTCTAAGTACTCTTTGTAGCCTCTCCCTTGGATTGGAGGGCTCCACCCAGAACCTCCTTTTAAGGAGGGTAGCCAGACTAGCCTTGTCTCCCTTCCCCTTCGTGCTACACTCTGGACTCTCTTTCCTTCTTTCTTTCTTCTTTCTTCTTCTTTCTTTCTTTCTTTCTTTCTTTCTTTTTCTTCTTTTTGGTGAGGCGATTGGGGTTAAGCTACTTGTTCAGGGTCACATAGCTAGTGAGTGTTATGTGTCTGAGGCTGGATTTGAACTCAGGTCCTCCTGACTCCTGGGCTGCTGCTCTATCCACTGTGCCACCTAGTTGCCCCTGGACTTTTTCTAACATTTCACCTCACTCCTCACGGGGTAAGCTTAGTTTCAACACCACCAACCCCACCCTGTCCATGCCCCAACCCTACCCTTTTCAGTGCCTTTTATGGTTGTCTTCCCTCATTAGAATATAAGCTCTGTGAGGGTAGGGACAATGTTTCCATTTCAATTTGTATTCCCAGCACAATGTAAACACTTAATAAATGCTTGTTGACTAAATATTGACTGTGATAAAACACAGCCTCTGTCTTCACAGGGCTTATAGTACAGTAGAAGTGGGGGGAAGCAAAACATACAGTGATAATATATAGTAATGTGGCTAATATAGTAGCTTACACCACCTCCTTGTCTATACAGAAACATGTTTAATTGGAATGTATGAGAGAAACAAAAACAATTATTGTAAGAAAGTACTAAATTTTCTATTTGGATGAATGAGGAATGGTAGAACTTGCAAAAGTTTGTGCCCCATTGGCAGAATGTTTGAGAGCCCAGGATCACCTCTATCTCTAAAAGAGGCATCAGAATGACTTTGTAAAGTTTTGAAATTACACATGACAAAACTCATTCATTTATTCACACAAACATTTTATTGAACAGCTCTGACATGCAGAACACTATCTAGGCACTGGATTAACAACAGTTTAGAGAAGACAGAGTTTGCCTCTACGGTCCTTATAATTTAGTGTGCTAAGTAAAGATGCATACAAAGATAATAATATACAAAAATATACATGCACATGAAAAATACTTAAAATACACCCCCTAAAAAAATCAAAGAAAAATGGAAATGATCCATATGTAGAAACCTTTATAGCAACTCCCTTTTTTGGGGGGAGGTGCTAGGCAGTGGGGTTAAGTGACTGGGCCAGGTTCCCACAGCTAGTAAGTGGCAAGTGTCTGAGGCTGGATTGAACTCCTGACTCCAGGACTGGTGCTCTATCCACTGTGCCACCAAGCTTCCCCATAGCAGCTCTTTTAATAATAGCAAAGAACTGGAAACTAAGAGACTGGACATTAATTGGAGAACAAGTTAACAAGGTATGGTATATGAATGTAATGGGAAATTATTGTTCCATAAGAAATTATGACAGGGGAGGTTTTGGAGAAGCCACAGGATTCCTGCCTTAACTGATGCAGAGTGAAGTTAGCTGAACAGGGATCACAATTTATATACTAATAACACCACTGTAAAGAAAAATAATTTTAAAAGACTTAAAAAACATTGATCAATGAAATGGCCAACAATGAAATGACCAACCACAATTCCAGAGTACCATTGATGAAACATGGTACACATTCCCTCAAAGAGAAGTGACAGCCTTAAGATGCAGGATGAAGCATACAATATTTTCCCACATGGCCAATGTGGGAAATTACTTCATTTCACTATGAATTATTTGCTACAATGGGTTTGTTTTTCTTTTTTCTTCCCCAATAAAGAAGTAGAGATGAGAGAAAGGTTTAGAAATAAGGTCCTTGGCTCCCTTCCTGCTCTCCCCCACTCCAAATAAGGAAGATTAGAAGTAATATAAGTTCATTGAGAGTAGAGATTGTCTCATTTTTTGTACTCATACCCTTAGTGTCTAGTACCCAGGTGCCTGGTACACAGTAGGTAATTAATAAATACTTGTTTGTAGATTGATTGATTGAAGGATTCACAGTTAAGTAGGGCAGCTTTGAAAATTATATGTTGAATGTATCATATACTTTAAAAAAACTCAAAGCTCCCCATATAGACATTTGTAGTCTCATGTATAAGTTTCTTCTATTCTACAATGTATATGGAAATGCACATTTTATTTGGGTTTGTTAAGTTAAAAACAATACAAAGAAAAAAGGAATCAGAAAGTTGCAAGAACAAAGTGTCATTCAAATCGATGGGAAAGAATTTGACCTGTTTTAAAGAAACTCAAATGTTACTTCACTAGGACCTCTACCACCTACTTAATGATGAAATGGATTATTTCTAAGAACTAGCCATAACCACTTAGCATAAAGATTGATTTGGTTTACTGTATGCTGGTGGGTGGTGATTTAAAGCAAAAAACAAAACAAACAAACAAAAAAACCCCAAACCCAACCCATCTTATATTATCCAACAATGCAAAATGGATGTCAAATATCACAGTCCTCTGTCAGCAGATTCAGTGCCAGTACACAATGGGGACATAGGGCAAAGCATGGTCTCATGTGTTCTAGCTGTTCACCAACAACCTACCTGGGGTGGGGAAGTAGACTAAAGTGATAATAAAGTGCCGAGGCGAGGGGGGGCACATTTAGGACCAGTTTGGTGGAATTTAGGAAATAATCTAATCATAGAAGGGGAAGAGTTTTCTAATACCTGACTGATTTACTTGGTTGAACCAAGTGCTAAGTTCAGTGGGGTCCTCACAAACATCCAAATATGACTGAAGTAAAAGCACCCTCAACTTGACCCCAACATCCCAGGGAGGCATGATAGGACTCATGATACAAAGAGGAGTGAATATAGGACTACCCTAGATATGGAATTGATTCAATAAACATAAATTCAGGACCCACAATGAAAAGAGTCAGAGGACCTAGGTTTAAATCTTGCTTTTATTAGCTGTGCAACCTTGGGCAAGTCAGTTAAGTTGTCTAGGCTTTGTTTATTTGTAAAATGAGGTAACTGGACTACATTGTGTTTAGAGGTGCCTTCCAGCTTGAGACATATGACACGAAGATCCTACTATGTGCTGCAGATATAAAAATGAAGAGTGATACAGGGGGCGGCGGCTAGGTGGTGGACAGAGCACCAGCCCTGGAGTTAGGGGGACCTGAGTTCAAATCCAGCCTCAGACACTTGACACTTACTAGCTGTGTGACCTTGGGCAAGTCATTTAAACCCATTGCCTAGCCAAAAAACCCCCCCAAAACCGTGATACAGCCCTGGCTTTCAAGGATCTTCAAATCTTTTTTTTAAAAGAATTCAGTTTTATTTCTGGCTCCAAATTCTTTCTGCTCCCCTCCTGTCCTGTGTATTAAGAAAGCAAAAACAAACAAAAAAGCAAACAAAAACCAAACATTACAAACATGTCAAGCAAGACAGATTTAGGCATTAGCAGCTAAGGATCTTAAAAATCTAACAGGGAGGGTAAAAAAGGAACAAAAATAAACATGACACAAGAGAATATGAGAGTCCAGCTGGGAGATGTTGAGGTCCTTTAACTATTATGGTGGAGATAAGGCGGCATCACATGATGGGATGATATTGCAAAAGTAAAACCAAACAGTATTACCAACTAATTGGCTATCAGGGGTTAGAGAGAATGAAAAAGCAAGGGTCTTTGAAGTTTGAGCCTAAGCTGGTCCTCAGAAGGGAGCAGGAGACATATGAAGGCAGCCTGAGAAGAAGATGTTTGTTGACAGAGGGCAAGGAGGCAATGGCGTGGAACAGACTGAAGATGAAAGAAGAAGAGAGGGAATGATGGATGCAACAAGGTCACAAGGAAGCTGGGAGGGAAAGGGACTAAGGACATAAGTAAAACATTTAGCTTTGTCAAGAGGAGGTTGCCTACTTTTTCTGTGACTGGAGGCAAGGAAGAAAGACAGAATACGAAGAGCAGAGAGTAGTTCTGATTAGAGAATATTACAAAGGCCTGAAGCAAAGATAGAAAGAAACCACCTTTCTCTTTCTCACCTCTTCTTCCTTCTACCCCATCCTCCTCAGAGAAGAGTTTATAAACAGGACACACACCATTGGAATGGGAAAGGCAATTCCCAAATTTAATCAAATGAATTAGGAAACACTTTATTCCTCCTCTATTCCTACTCCATTTTCCTCGGAAGTACAAGCAAACTCCCTCCTCCTCATCTTCCTCCATTCCCTTCCCACTCTCTGCCTCTCCCTCTCTTTCCTCCCCCCTCAGGTAACACATGAAGGGATGGCTGCCAGTGGGAGAACTGAATGGATCATAAAGCTACAAAACAAAGGTGAACCTTAAAGATATATTCTCTTGTTTGCTCATTTGTGCTCAGAGATCTTTGGGACTAGAGAGTTTTAAGTCTTCAGGATGCTGGAATTGAAAGGCTCATGAGTCTCCTTAAAAGCACTAGCCTTAGAGTCAAGAGACTCAGACTCATCCTGACATTTACTCGATAGTGACCTTGGATGATAAAAAATAACAATAGCTGATGTACTTTAAGGTTTATGAAGCACTTGCCTGTGGTTGTTTCTAAGAACTGCCAAAAGACACTGTGCAAAAGAGCAATCTGGCTTATAATGTGGTGATAGGTGGTAGATTGATCATATAACAGCTGCATGAAGTAGGTGCTGCAGGCACCATTACCCCTATTTTACAAATGAGGAAACTGAGGTTCAGAAAAGTTACAATATGTCCAAGGTCACATCTATCAGACACTGGATAAAAACCCACATCAAAATATGTGTTATCTGGTGATATATCAGTCACTATTTAGTCCCCTGATCTTGGTCACACTTCACTTTTCTAAGCTTCATCTGTGAAATAATGGGCATTTTACTAAATGTCTCCTAATGTGACTTGTAGCTTGACTTTTCTGTAATTCTTACTTGGAATTTCTTAATCTTTTCTCTTTCTTCACTTTACTTGACCAGGAATTTAAATGAACTCCAAATTCCAGAAATGGTCCATCAGGGACTTAGGAAGATATATACCCTACCTATCTCCATTTTGTGTGTGTGTGTGTGTGTGTGCTTGGGAATTATTGTTAGAATTTTGTAGAACTAAGTTCTTCATGCAAAGAACTTGTCTGATAGATCACTATAATTGTCTTTGAGCTAAAATTTCCCTTACGTAAGCAATGTAAATTTGAATTCTATATTCTAGGAAATACAGCCCTATTTTCTGGAAGAAACCTTTGCATGAATTACTGGTTTTCCCTGTCAAGGTCAAAAGATCCCAAGATCCCAAGTTCACCAGAAAGTATATATATAATACATATTTACAGAAGGAATCTTGTTCATATGGAATAAACAGGTCTGAAATTCCTCACTGAGAGAGATACATGGCACACATATTGGTCTCACTAATTACCCCAAATTTTAATGAACCCTAAGAATAACTTTACCCAGATGTTTTCTGCAAAATAATTTATCAAAAGCACTTACGGTGTGCAAAACACTGTGGTGAGTACTAAGGATACAAGTAGTAGTAGCATACCAGCCATCCTAATGGATGTCACAGATAAGTGGTAGCCAGGGAGAGATATTTTGGTTTTGAAAAATATTTGTGCTTTCAACAGAGGTACAACAGCAGCTCTAATTTGAAAGGGGAAAAAAATGTCCATATTTGGTGTTTTTTTCTCCAACTCAAGTTGGTAACCTCCGGTAGGAAAGACTACAAAAAGGTAATAGCCTCATCACTTACCTCATTTTCTGACGAGCTAGCTGAGAGAAGTACCTCCTGGGCATCAAAGAACTCCGAGACAGATTCAGACATAGAGAGCCGGCTCTCATTAGCAGCTTGCTGTGATAGAGGGAGACTGACATGGATTTGCTCCCCAGGCTACAAAGAAACAAAATGCAAGGGTGTCATCTGTTACAGTACTTCAGTATTCGAACAACATTTCATTCAGGTAGAAGCGGCGAATAACTGACTGCATGTTTCTAGAAGAAGAAAAAAAATCTACTGTGGCAAACAGGCTGTATGATTGTTGCCTGTGAACTGGAGACGTCCAGGAAAACATACCAGGATGTTGGAGTCTGAATTCTAGTCCTGAAATCTAGCTCTCCCACACATTATCTCTGTGGACTTGGGCAGGTCATCTTAACCACTCAGGGTCTTGGGTCTTTCATTTGCAAAGAGGAGCTGGAGATTATCTAATCCAAGGTCTCTAAATCCCATAGTGCTATTTCAACCTAGTCAAGTACAGAAAGGCTTATCAGCAGAAGACTGGTTACCAGTCCAATGAATTTATCTGGCCACAGAAACTCCTGAATAAAGCTACTAAGGCTTAGAAGGTTTATAGTCTATATCAGTGGGTGGAGTACATAAACCATCGAAATCACAGATCCTTGAAGAATGGAAATATAACTTAACAGAGTCCTGAACCAGAGCTCTCCTCATCTTTATTGCTAAGGTACTATGTTTTACCAGTTTTAATACTGGAAACATTTCTTTCCTTTTAACCTCAAGTATTCAAAAGTGTTTGGCAAACTTCAGGTGGGAAGTGAATTGATTTTCAACTTCTAGTCAAGTAAGATGGGAATGAAATTTTGTTATAGGAGCAGATGAAAGTTGCTTACACAAAACCCCCCTAAATTCTAATACTCAGTTCTGTCACCACTGAAGTTATGCCTGCTAGGCTACATCCAAGAGAGAGGAAATTCACTCTATCAATGCAGACCTGCACTTGCTATATGACTTAAGAGTCTTAATGAGTTGCCTGGTTTAAGGTTAAGTGACTTACCCAGGATCACACAGACAGTATATGTCAGAGGTAAGGCTAGGTAATCCAGGCTTCTAAGCTAGCTATGTACTCTGCCATACTGCCTACTCCTTCACATTGAAGAGTTATAGTGTTAAATTACTCAAATTCAAAGACTGTGGGCAGACAGGACAAAATATGATAATAAAGGGCATGAGGAGACATAGAGTGAAAAAAATCTGCAGGCCAGTGGTGTGAAGACAGAACGGCCCACTAAAAGAGAGGACAGCTTTACTTGTTAAGCAATATTTGTTAAGCAACTAATTGGTAAGGCAGGTATCTCTACTTGCTCAGTTTTCTAAGAAAGTAAAAGCCTTTGAATTAACTGAAACAATCTCACTGCGATCACATGCACATGACTTTTCTTATTTTTATTTTTGGGGAAGGGAAATCAGGCAATGCACATTATGGGTATGAAATCACAGGAAACATCATTAAGAACTGAAAATTTTAGATTTGTGCTAAATATTCTCCTCCTTTCTCCTGTCTTCATTTCATGTCATCACAAAGTAGACCAGGAAAACATTTAAGGCACTATGATTATGGAAATTTAATCTGAATCTTCAAATTAAAATGCCTGGTGAACACTTTAAAGAAAGGGTTACTGTGATAGATACAAAAAAAAATTTCACAATTTAGGACAGAAATAAGACAACAAAAAGGCTGATCACATTATCCAAACATCAATAAAGCAGACTTAGACAAAAGACAAAGGCTCCATAAGATGTCAAACTCCAAGACTGTTCTTTCACTCTAAAGAAAACAAAATTGTCTGCTGCACAAATATTCAGATAAGTCATATTTTACCAACAGTAAAAGAACTGTTAAAAAAAGAAAAAGAAAAAAAAATTAAGCCATGGATCTCAATACGCTAAATACTGTATAAAGCCATCAAAGACCAAAGGCTTACCTCATCAGGGCTAGGAATAATATTTACACTGACAACTTGATCACAAATAACAGACTCTGAATGTATCCGGTTTAAGCGACTCCGCAGCTCGGCATTCTGGTTAAGTGCCTTAAAACAACAAAAATTACACATGTAATTTCAAATTAGTAAGCAGGCATACAATAGAGCAGACACACAGGTGTGGCATAGACTAACTTCTCAAAAAAGCAAGAGCAGCAAATTATATCACACTCTTCTCTCAAAAGCATGCTAGGCCAAAGCCTAGTGGTGAGAAGGAAATAAATGGCCTAATAAAGACATATTCATTCTTACATGATATGAGGAAATCCGTTTAGTACTTAATGCCATTTAGTAAATGTCATCTTGCCACCTGAAAGAATTCCTATATCTCCAAAGAACAAACCATTTAATTCCTTTTCACCAGAAGATCTAGGTCTGCTATTTTTAGGCCTATGCTACCACCACATATATATTATTTTTTTCCAGCCTCTTTCATGAATGAAGAACATTAGAATGATCTACTGGCAGAGAAAGTTGGCTCCTTCAATTTCCGTGCTATTTTCCAAAACTCAGAAATTATTTGAGTGAAAGATGAACATCTTGGAACTGACTTTGGAATGAAATGAATAAAGAAATTGCTTCCATTTACTGAGGTGAGTTTCAGTCTATTTTTAATGAGATGGGCAATGTTTCAGTAACATGAGAAACTACAGCACCAGGTTCACAATTAGAATATGAATGGTTATGGAATCATTGAAGATTAGTCTGCAAGTAATAAGCTATCTCATGTAAATACACAGATATACCAGAAGATCAAAAGTTGCCTCCTTATTGAACACCAAAAATGCAGACAGCTGCTACAAAGAACATAACACAAAAATCTCAGTTGCCTTAATCTCACATGACTTAGAGTACTAAACCAAAAGGGACCTTAGAGATCATTTAATATAAATGATTATGACAAACATAAATGAGGAAAACGGGGCCCAGAAATTAAGTGACTTGCCCGAGGTCACACAGAGGGACCAAGTATAGTATAGACCAAGGTGTGGAAAGCAGGTAACCAGACTCCCAGGATAGATGAGGGTGGGGAAGGGGAATAAACATTTACATAGCACATACTATGTGCCAGGCATTGTGCTAAGCACTTTACAAATACTATCTCATTAATCTTCATGACAACCCTGTGAAGTAGGTGCTGTTATTATCCCCATTTTACTCAGTTAAAGAAACTGAGGCAAGCAGAGGTTAATCATTTGCCCAGGGTCATGCATCTAGGAAAGGTCTCAGGCTGGATAGATAGAAGGAATGAAGGAAGGGAAAAAGAAAGGAAGGAAGGGCAAGCACTTATTAAGTGCACTATGTACCAGGAACTGTGCTAAGTACTGGAGACACTACCTCACGGAGCTTATAATCTAAGTGGAAAGATCTTTCTATAATACACTATGCAACTTTTCTTCCAGTGTGTAACTTTCAGTGCTTTGGGACTTCCTCATAAAACTACCTGCTATTACATGGAGTTTGGTGTAAAGTGGGACCCTCTTTGGACCCTAACTAGAACTGGAATTCCAGGAGCCCTAGAGGATCCCTATAGAATGGGCCCCAAAGAGAGTTCCAAGCATTTTACAATAACATTGATATAGTTAGACACACATTTTCTATTATAGGGAGATAGTTAATTAGGCTTTGTACTCTGGTTATCTGACTTTACTCCTTTGCCCTAGAAATGTGGGAAAGAGTTGACACAAAACTATAAGTGGCCAGGTTGGGGGCATAAGGGTAGTAGTGCAGTCAGGTAAAAGAATATGACAGAGGAAGTGTGTTCCCTACTTTGAGAAAACAGATAACTACTTGGATGAAAACAAAGTGGCTTGCTAAAATAAAGGAAAATAAACCACTAGATTAATTTCCTGCACTTAGAAGAAAAGGTGCCTGCTTTCCATATTCTTGGAACTTTGGCAAGTAAAAAAAAATCATTGTTATTCCTTAATTCAAGATAAAAATAAATTTTCAGAAGAATTTTAATAGTACACTTCCCCAAAGTGCCTTTGGCCATTTATCCTGGGAAGGAATCCCAGTTAGTAGGGACTTTAAAATATTCCCCATTGTCTCCGTGACTTCTGTAATACCTATGAATAAGCTTGGATGTTCTTAACTCCATCATAGTCTGAAATATACTGAAGTTGCTCTGTGTATCAAGATCTTTGTAGCCACCAACTATACAAACATACACACATATCTACAGAAACATACACATAGAAAGATAGCCAATAAAATATAGATATGTTGCCTACGTGTGCTTGTATACTTATATATACATACAGTTATCTGCTCCCAAGGCAGGGCTCAAGTGTGCCTCTAACACATAATAGCTATGCGATCACTGAGAAAAGTCACTTAATCTCTCAGTGACCCAGGCAACTCAGTAAAACTACAAGTTACAGATACCAACCAGTGAAGAGTTTCTCCATTGGGAGGTACACACACACACACACACACACACACACACACACACACACACACACCCCCCAACTATGTGTGACTGTTGTTGGGTGGCTATGAACTGAGCCACCACGTGTAGTGTAATTAAAATCAATCTCCAGCCACCTCTTATCCAAATGGATGATCAGCTCTACTGAAACAATATGGCTAGCAGCTGCATGATAGATTAAGATTTGAAACATAAGGGAAAATTTCCTGACAGTGAGAATCTAAAAACAATACCAATATTAAAGCAAATTACAGAATCCTCTTTTTTAGAAGCTTTGAAGAATCTAATGGGTTAGACTCTTATCTGCCCTCAGGAGTTTAAATAAGGTCTTGCCCCAAAGACAGAGGAGAATATTAGATAATCTCTCAAGGTCTCTTCCAGTAGCTAATGACTTGGATTTTGGAAAGTAACAACAATGTGCAAAATATTGTTATTGATAACATATATGCAGCGGTAGAAGAACTGTTGTTTTCAGATAGCATAGAACACAGAAATAAACATACAGTCACAGGGGAGGGCAATCTCAAGAGCAGTCATCCCAGCATGCAAACAGCCCCGTTCTCAGCCATTCTTAGATTGTTACCTTATTTTATCCTGATCACTTACCTCACAGAGAGCTATGAGGCTCACTGATATCAAGTACTAAATGAAATGCTGTAAGCCTCATTTTACAGCTAACCTCCAGCACAAACTGTTATTATCACTCATTTAGATAATGCCTACAGTTTCACTAACATTTTTTCTTCTTACTACTGGTTCCCATGACTCACTTTCAGAACTCTATCGTCTCCCTCTGTAATATCTGAGAGACTGGTATTCTCAGAGAAGTGCTGCCTTAATGAATAGCTATCAAAACAAATCAAGAGAATGGGGTCCAGTAAATGAATGGAATGATGGAGAAGCTGACACCAAAAGTATGGTGTTAAACTATACCGCTGGAAGTGGGGCGGGGGGGGAAGGAAACTGCCTAATGTAACATAACACACTGGCAAGTAAGGAAAAGCTATGGTGATGTCTTGGCCAATAGGACTGCTTTAAGAGATATGTAATGTTTAGGCTCATCATCTGATCCCGCAGCACACCATTTACAAAGAAATAACCCTTTATTCAGCCCAAATCATGACAGGTATACTACAAACAGTCAAATGCTGGCCTGATGAATACAAATTCATTCAAACTATTAGGTTTGGTTTTGGTTTGCCTCTCCATCAAGCATGCTCACAAACTCCCTCTTCTTAGGGCAGTCTGAACACAATCACATCTTGCCTACGTAAACTTTGCATGACCCATTAATTTTTCCATGGCCCTTCTCCTGAGGGTACAAACATAGTCACAACTGCTTCCTTGTCCTTAAAAATGTTCTGCTCTGAAAGCCCTGGAACAAACACAAATGCCTGAAGTCAGAAAGACTGAACCAGCGATCCCAGATTCTGTCCAGTCCCCCCCTGCCCATATTGCTGGCATATTTGCACACTTTCCATCACTGGGGGAAGAACTACCATACCCACATTTTACTCAATAAAACTTGGTTTCTAAAAGGAACAGTTTAGTTAATGTAAGTCAGATGAGAGAGAGAGTATAATAAAATGAGTTTAGGGCAAAGTTTGTAAACTGAAACCTTTTGGATAAGAATATATTAAGCTCTGGTTCAAAGAAAGTACCTGAAGTGAAAGCATGAACTTGAGACCTCTAAAAGTGAGCTATGACAAGCCATTTGCAGTTATTTTATTTTTTTGTAAATACATAGGACATCTAATGAAGAATAGGACTCATGAAACTTGACTAAGTTCCAGGAAAATGGTACTTCTATGTGACCATGCTAGGAAATGATGATATCTGGAATGGCTTTTTCAAACTCAAAAATGTGCTATAGGTACATTGACTTTGATGAAAAAAATGGGTACTCATCATATGACTGACATTTTTTTTTTTAGGGTGCAGCAGGCACTCGGGGTTAAGTGACTTGCCCACATAGCTAGAAAGCGTCTGAGGCTGGATGACTGACATTTTAATAATACTACTATAAATGCTGAGTCAGTTTTTAACTCTTACATTCTCATGCAGAACTCCTATTGCTGTGCATGAGTTTTGTAGTCAAAGATAAAACTAACTACAGAGATCAAGATCAATTTATTGAAGAGAGGGGCTAACATCAAGTGGAATGAATTAATAGTTATACTAATCCAGTTATACTAATTCATACTAAGAATGCTTAAATCTTTTACAGAAGGTTTGATTTTAAACAGAACATGCAATATGACTGATTTGGAATTTAGTCATTTATAAAGAGACACCAATATAAAATGTCCTCTTCTCTAGGCATAAATCCAGAACCTAATATAATATCAGCCAACATTTCTGTCTCCACACACATAAGCCAATTTTAAAGTTTCAAGAGTGTAAGCAGCAGCAGTGTTTATGATAAATGTACAAATATGCATAAATGTGGGCATATATACAAACACAAACAATGAGTCTGTAGTCTTTAGCACATAGTAGGTATGTAGGAAGAATCTACAGAATGAATCCATTAAATACACATACTACGAGCTGTAGAAAAAAATCTTTTATAAAGAGATACTACCACAAAATACCCTGTTTGATGAGTGTAAATCCAAAATCTACTTTAATATTAAATAACATTTCTGATTCTCAAAATGCAAGCCAAGTTCAGAAGCATAAATAATAGGTATGTATGTACACATAAATACACTGCGTGCATTTGTGTGTGTGTGTGTGTGTGTGTGTGTGTTGTATGTGCGCATGTGAATCCACACATACAGGACCTAGTGTAGTGTCTTACACATAGTAGATGGTCAACAAAATCTTTTAAAATGAGCTTATTTAAGTTATATTAGGAAAGGAATGCTTCTTAAAGTACATCCTTAGAGTGACCAAGGTTATAAACAACTACTTGGACATGGCAGGTAACATTTTTGCTAAATATATAATGAAGAGCATTACATGTTCTTTACATGCTACATGCTTTATACACTGATCATGAAGTTTGCTAAACTGGTACCACTACTAGTGCTACTACTATTACTACTATTACAACAACAACAACAACTACTACTACTACTACCACCAGTACTACTACTACTATCATGTTTTGTAAAGTACTTTCCTCACACAACTCATGAAATAGGTAATGCAGGATTTTTTTTTTCCATTTTATAGGAGACTGAAGCTCAGGGAAGTTAAGTGATCTGTCCACAGTCACATTGCTAATAAGAGGTAGGACTCAAAACCCAGGTCTTCTTATTCTAAGACCAATGGTTCTTCCATTATATCATGTCAAGAGACCTTTGAAATATTCGCATGCTTTGATAATCTGAAAATATATACCCATATAATTTTAATAAAATATGCAGTTAAAAAAACTCAGCAGGGTTTAAATAAATTGCAGAGTACAGGATAGGAAAGATGGGGCCTGAATAATTTAAGGAAAAAAGATCTAAGACTATTAACTTAATATGAACCAATGGCATGATAAGTCTGCCTTAAAAGAAAAGCCATAAACCCAATGAATCTTAGACTGTATTAATGAAGGATAACGTCTAACTGCCAAGAAAGTTTTTCCTGCCATACTCTGCTGTGTTGAAAAAACACAAAAACCATTATGATCATTTCCTGGTGCTACATACACTTTTAAGAGCTACAATAACAAACTAGGGTTATCACAATCCTAATCATAGTAAGATTTTATAATTAGTATAGGTCAAAAGATGTATTAACAAGATTTTATTCTTTCATTATATCTTTATCCATCAAGGATGGATAACTAAGATATTCAAGAAGGTCTGAGGTGAAAAAAAAAACTGAGGAATTATGCCTGAAGATGAAAGACTAAACAGAGAAATAGCTATCCTCAAGTCGGTCTAGAAGGGTTGTCCAGAAGAAGGAAAAGACCCATTCCAGAAGGTAGAACTAGAACAGATAGGTGAAAGTCGAAAGGAGATAGATTTAGGCTTAACATAAGAAAGGCTTTTCTAAAATCTACAACTGTTTAATAATATTGTGAGGTATCTTCTGCAGAAGTGATTTCCTTGTTACTGAATTTAAGCAGTACCTCAATAATCATTTGTCACTAATATTGTAAAACATCCCATTATTTATGGTAGGAAAATGGATGAGACAACCTCTAAGATCCTTGTAAATTCCAAGAACCTATGATAACTGCTCTTTGGGTCATTCCAGTAGTAATTATCATATGGTCTTAGAATTCTCAAAGGTGTAACTATGTACTACACAGACTTTATTTGAACACTTATTATCAAGGCTTCTGGAAGGATTATTTCCATTTCAAAATGGTAAAATGTAGCATTAGAATTCACAAATGGAGTGTTTTAATCTTGGGATCATTCAACTACATCCCTCAATAGTTTCTCAATTCTTTGAGGGTAAGGTGAATATAATTGTTGATATTTTAAAAAGGAGTTTCCCAAACATGGGAAAATTTTTGTGAAACTAACATGGTCAATGAAGAATTTGGCCTGAAAAAGGGTCACATAAATAGAATAATGCTATATTACTTTTGCAGCTTTTTAAAAAAATGTTATTTGGAAAGATAAGCAATGCCATGGGAAAAGGGCTAGAGTCTGACAATGAATTTTTATTAATATTTCTTGCCAGAATAACTTAAGAGTCCAGTCTTATGAGAATTTACAATAACTATATCTGAAAGAGCACCTTGATCCTGCTCATACTATCTCAATTAATGCACTTGATATAATCATCTTTGTTTAAAAAGAATGTTCTTACTGGCTCACTATTTCTCTCAATCATTGCTGTTGAGAAAAATTACCCTTAACTCTTTATCAGATTTCTTTTATGTATCCCTCCTTTTAGTAACAATCACTATCCATACTACTTTCGTTCCACCAGTGGAAGAGAGAGCTGTGATATTTCCAGGGGCAGCAAAATGAAAATTTTCACTTGTTTCCAAGACGATTACTTGTCCTATCTTTCATACTCACTCTACAATCAAAACAGTCATCCTGACCATCAATTAAATACTGCCTGAGTGTTTAGTGGCTATTTGCCTGTGAGCATTCTGGGAGAAACAACAACAAATTAATACTTGTAAAAAGGGTTATTCTGCAGATGGAAAGTTGGCCACTTTTACTGATCAAGCTATGGAAGATCATTTGAATTTGAGGCTTAAAGCAGCATGTGTAAATTAATTGACCATAATTTTGTCCTATGTGCAGGAACAATAAAAGACAGCCATAACCAAACCTACAAAATAAACGATACTGCAGTGGCACCAAATATAATGATGTTTGTCCAAGTCTAAGTTTTACGGACCAAGGGGAAATATTCAAGCAGAATCTGATACGTACAGGAAGCCACTTACCCAGGATTTGTTTGCTCCATCGCTCTGATCCAAGGCACCAAGAAGTGAACAATATTTTACATAAACACTGAGTTCTCAACATAAAGTTGCATAACATTGAGTTCTCACAAGACTTTAAGACTTTAAGAGGGTAGATGGATAGGTCAAATGAAGAGAAAGGTAAATATGGGTATTCAGATGAAGTACTTCTGCATGGGGTAGAAAAGCTCAAAGTACAGACAGTCTAAAGAATTTCTGGCAGGACTTTTAAATTTAATATGCACAATAATTTGATATAAGCAAATTTCATTACATAATGCATTTTGTTATTCACTCATGCCCAACTCTTCATGACCCCATTTGGGGTTTTCTTGGCAAAGATACTGGAGTGGTTTGCCATTTCCTTCTCCAGATCATTTTACAGATGAGGAACTAAGGCAATCAGGGTTAAGTGACTTGCCCTGGGTCACACAGCTTAGTAAGTGTCGGAGGCTAGATTTGATGAGTCTTCCTGACTCCAGGTTGGCACTTTATCCACTGCGCCACCTAGCTGCCCCTATGTATAATTCATATTTATCATATAACAAAAATAAAGTTGAGTCAGGATGTCGGGGATGTTTTTCTAAGTGGAAGGGAAAGAAATTCTAAGAGAACAATTACAACTGGTTGATCAAGCAGAAAGAAAGAAAAGAATGATAGTTACTTTCAAGATTTTTCAATGCATTAAAAATATATTAGCTGGGATAGGGGTAGAATCTACAAATGAACACTGCATTACTGTTAATTATTTATTTTTACTTAATTAATTACTTACACATTAAAAGTAGCAACTTTAGATCACACTAAAAGTAGGAGTTACTCTAAATAACCTTAAGAAGGCAGGTAGGTACCAGGGTCGAAAAGGGCAAAAAAATAATAACAGTATACTACCAAGTAAGGTTTTATTTTTATGAAAACTTAGAGCTTGCTTTAACACCACCTGGAGAATGAGTGTGCTCTTCTCCTTCATCTTTGGTCATGGTAGCAGAATTGCAGATGAAGACACATTGTCACTAAATCACCTCATGACTACACCCATGATCTGCAGACTCTCTAGCAGGGATGCTTCTGTCCCTGTGGCCCCTCTGTACTCTGGGGCAATGTGGCATGCATGCAGAAACAAAGCAAGAACCTACCTGAGAAAGCGATTGTCTGAGTCTTGCCATCTGTGTGCTATGGCCTTGATTGTGATCTTGTTCAGAAACCATCTGTTTTAGCTTTTCTTTCTCAATAGCTATGCTGTTAAAAGCTGACTTCAAAAGGGAATGCACTGAAGGGGAAGGAGAATGAAAGAAAAAAAACAAAACAGTGTTTTCAGAAAGTCCGTTTTTTATTTTTATTTTTTAGCAGTGGCTACAAATGATACATTAGCACATCTAAGGGTGTCCTGTTGCTGTGGAGAGTACAATAATTCTTAATTGCATCAAAGATTACCTGGAAATGAAATATTTCTTTTCTAGTTACTAGGAACCTTTTCTATTTCTTTTCAATAACTAATAATTTAAAATTAATACAACCTAATTAAATGTTATCCTCAAAAGTGAATGTCAGAATATCTACATTTGAGAAGAAAATGAATAACAATGATGCAAAAAAGGGTTAATCAGAGAAGAAAATTTTAAAGTTTGGCATCAGATAAACTAAAAAAAGGGGGGCTGAGTGATAACAGTAATTAACATTCAAAACTATTATTTGGGAGTGGGAAGGGGTGGCAAAAATAAAGCTTTCACTACACTATCTATGAACTGTTGTGTGGTTTTTATCATGAATTGTTGCCCAAAGTCAGTCCATTAATTAGTCAATAAGCATTAAATGCCTACTATGTGCCGAACACTGGGGATACAAAAAAGGCATAAAAGTCCCTCCTTTCAAGGAGTCTAGTGGGGGAAGACACATGCAAACTATATACAAAAATGATGTACAGAGAACAGATGAGAGAAAAGAGAGAAGTCACTAACACTGAGGAAAGGCTTTTTGTATTAGAGAAGGCTTCTTGTATGTGATGGGATTTTAGCTGGGACTTGAAGGAAGTCAAGAGGCAGAGATAAGGCATGAGGAACAGACCCTGAAAATACTGGATGGGCAGGAGAGGAGGAAGGTGTAAGAAGATGGGAAACATGGAAGAGGATGGGCTATGAAAGGTTCTGAATGTCAAATACACAATTTTATATTTGATCCTGGAGGGAAGGGACTTTAGCATTTTGTTTTGGAATAAAGAGCGTCATGCTTTCCAGTGGTGAGAAATTTGCCGTGGTTTTGTCTTAGGTAAGAGAACAAAATCAACTCTTGCCTTGCCTCAGTGATCTAGAACACAGAGGGCTTGGTGAATGGAGTGCTTGTTTTAAATCAAAATGAAGCAGAAAACTAAAAGAAATGGTAAAATCTATGGATTTTATTGATTTTGAAAAGCCAATCGTTGAAGATTTCTGTCCCTTGTGAAATCTTACTCAGACTCTGAAACTGTGTCCACTGATACCAAAACAGCATATAGATTTAATTTGCTTTAGAATTCTCAAATATTTTTCTTTTAAAAATAAAGTAGTACTTCAGCAATTTGCTCATAAAAAAAGGTGTTCTTGTTTTTTAATAACAAACCTAAGGCTGTTGTGTGTTATAAAAATGAATATAAAAACAAAAGAATACCACTTTTTAAAACGGCAGCAGCATCTTCTCATCTCTAGCCCCGCACTGGTATTTTGCATCTGTTCACAGAGGTCCTATTCCAGTAGTGATAAATCTCAGGTGAAGGAATAAGATCTGTGGGCCCTGATCCAAGAAACAGCCTTAGAAGCCAAATTCCCCCATTTATTTTTTTAAAGTGGTTATTTCTAGAGAAGTCACCTAATCATTATGAGAATGTCTTACTTTCTAGGAAGAAGGATTTATAGACTTGCGCTTCTTTCTAGAAAGAAAAATGTAGTTTCAATAGAGGCTTTAGAATTCTATTGAAGCTGCAATTTAAGAAGAGAGCCAGGATTTCAAGGAACTGGACCATGCTTGCTCAGAGCTCTAATCATTTGTCATTTTCTCTTTGCTGTTGGTAAGATGCATTAACAAGTACCCTCTCGAAGCCATGTTACCAGGTATACCTGGACTGCAAAAGGCAAAACACTGAGTGGTCAATCCATGTCACCACTATGCACAGATGTAAGGGAAGACACATTTAAGCCTCCAAAAGAAATGTCATTGAGACCATGCCAAAAAAAACTTAGATGCTTTAACCACGGCATAAGGGTCAACCCTAGGAAAAGCTGTGAAGTTGGCAAATTTGCTCCCATTTCTGCACTAATTCCTGTCCTCTGATAGAATTCTCCTCTATTCTTCACACTCCAACTTAGCTTTTGACCCTGTCACTTGTATCTTCAGGGTCTGCATCTTTGGCATTGCACCTAGGCCTACTCCTAACAGTGCCTCAGGCTTCCAAACTGTACTGACTTCCAGCCCAGCCTGAAAAAAGGAAAGTGAAAGGAAGTGATCTGGAGAGTTAATTCACAATTAGATGTTACTGATAGCATCTTAACGTTGTTCCTCAAGGGAAAACTTGTGTTTTTAAAGGAAGATGACTGGATGCCAGTAGTGTCTCCAAAGGAATGAACCTCTATAATGATTCATTTGTGTAATGGAAACATTACAAAGCTAGAGATGTATGGGATTTTGGGTATCTCCCAGGTAACCCCTAATCATACTAAAGATGTGACTGCTTACTTACAGACTTATAAAAAAAATCCTAGTTCTAGTACCTAACAGAGTATTTCGCACTTGATAGGCATTTACTACAAATGAGATGATATTTGTAAAATGTTTAGCCCAGTTCCTGGAACATAGTAGGCGCTTAATAAATGCTAGTTAGCTTCTTGTACTACTTCTTAACTGCTTGTTGAATTGAATGTTATCTGTCTTAGTATTGTATATAAATTGTATATAAATTGTAGATGAATTGTATATTAATTTCTTGTTGTTGTTTAGTCAGGTCCGATTTTTCATTACTTCATTTGGGGTTTTCTTAGCAAAGATACTAGAGTGGTTTGCCATTTTCTTCTCCAGCTCACAGATGAAGAAACTGAGGCAAACAGGGTTAAGTGACTTGCCTAGGGTCACACAGCTGGTAAGTATCTGAGGACACATTTGAACTCAGGTCTTTCTGACTCCAAGCCCAACACTCTTATCCACTGTGCCACTCGGCTGCCCTGCATATGAATTAGTACCTAATAAATAGCAACAGAGACTCATAGACTTGGCGCTAAAAAGGGGCCTTAGAAGCCATCTCGGGCAACCCCTTTATTTTTACAGATGAAGAAATCAAGGCCAAGAGAACTCTAAGTTCTCACAGATTCTAAGAGGAAGAGGCTGGATTTGTTTGTTTGTTTTCAGGCAATTGGGGTTAAGTGACTTGCCCAGGGTCACACAGTGAGTAAGTATCAAGTGTTTGGTCTGAGTCCAGGGCCAGTGCTCTATCTACTGCACCACCTAGCTGCCCCATCAGAGGCTGGATTTGAACCCAGATCTTCTGACTCCAAGCCCATATATGAAAGACACTGAGATCAGTCAGATACTGATTTTAAAGTATTTACACTGACACTTAGTTCAATCAAAACTGATTGACATTCACATTCGTAGGCCCATTTACTTCAGTGTTTTTCCCCCCTAGGGTTCCTAACAGATCTTCCTATGGTTTGGATAGTGTTCTGAACCACGTAATCAAGGCTCCTGTCCCATAAAGATGAAATACAGAGACAAAACAGATATTGTGGTTTTCCACTGTGTGTGAAAAATATCCCAAGCTAATATATAAGTATAAGAAAAAATATTTTCAACACAAGATGACTTCATCAAATACATTCCATACCAGTAGAGTAATAGCAGAATGAAATGTACTGTACACATTGTAGGCACATATATGTGACTACATACATACGGTTTCTGACATGCCCACAGGGAAAAGGCATAAAAATAAAATGTCATTTTGTAATCCAACTAATTAACATAGCCAGCATTCCTGCCTAAGATGAAAAGAGAAAATGGCAGATTTAATGGCAGAAAGGGGGCCTTTTACTGTCATAAATATGAATTAATTGCCTTTGCCATTTGTGTTCCTTACATGTGTGCCTCTATATTAGTATTCTCTATGTATAAGTACCTACTTTTGCCTCTGCTTCTCAGTGCAATTATAAAAGAGTATACTATAAGTTTGTGGAAATTTTCTGGCATTACTGTTCATGTTATGTCATTTCAGTAAATGTCTTTGCTTTGAAAAAAAAAGAGAGAGTAAATGCCTTTGCCTTGAAAAATGAGAGAGAGGAGAGAGTAAAAGAACAATGGAGAAAGAGAAAAGAGAAAAAGGAGGAGAGAAAGAGAGAGAGGGAGAATGGCCAACTCTAACCAAGAGTGCTTTCAGGGAAGATATATTACAGACCTGTAGCTTACCTTTCTGAGCAATGAGACAAAATTCTTCTTGAAGCTTTGTGTAATCTGTGGAAGTTTCTAGGGGGTCAGTCAGGTGGCTTGGGGGAGTCTGAAATTCAATATCTGCACAAAGGTTGGGGTTGGAGGAATGCAGCCGAACAGGGGACATTGTTGCACTGAAAGGAACCTGCATAGAGAATCCAAGAATTAGGAAAGACAAGCATCTCATCACGCCATCTTCTGACACGTATCAGATTGGATGGTTTTGTGCTCTATATAAAATACAAGCATTTTTTGCGGACAGCAAACTGAAGACAATTGTACTCTTCTATTTTAAGGGTCACGGTACTTTCATGGATTGTGTTTCCACTACACCTCAGCATTTTAAAAACTATGAGACTGAAAATGAAGAGTGACTGCTGGCTGACAGCAAAGGAGAGGAATATGAGCACTGATTATCATTCATAGTGCGATGCACGGAATCAAGTCAAGGACATTTGGCCAAAAGCTGAGAAAAGGAAATGTGACACACCAGACCTCTACTTATAAAATCTGAATCAACTGTCACAATATCAGGTTGTTATATGTGCTTGTTTTTCTTTAGGCCTTGAGAGAGGCCTATGCCAGACTGGGCCTGTAGACTCAGGAACATATTAACAATCTTCAAAGCACTTGCCTTATAATGATAAGACAAAAAAGAAAAAGCAAGTATTATGGTTGCCCACTGTGTGTGAACAATATCCCAAACTCATATAATATAACTACAAGGAAATATATATTTCAAACACAAGATGATTTTATCAAACATATTACACACGAATGGAATGAAATGCACTGCATTTCATACACACTGTAGCCACACATATATGACTATACATTCATGTAGTTTCACTTTGCAATAGATTTTCCCAAGGGGCTAGCAGTGCTTCCATAAACAGACTGTGTCCTTGAGTTTACTGTCTCTTGGGCTGCGCAAAAGCATACTTCCCTTCCTTTTAAGAGACCTCTTCCTATCACTACAGATGCCAATACTGCTGACTGAAGAAAAGCTTCTTCATACTTGCTAAAAATAAATCAAACCTTTTGGAAAGTTGAACCACATATTTCCCTTTTTCACCATATTATCTGTCAGTCTCTGCCTAACTCTAATTGGGCAAAGGTCTCCAAGAGTTGGATTCTTATTCTTTTCCTCATGCAGAATTTCTTTAAATATTAAAAGGGAAGATGATTCACAAAGGACTTTCATCAATGGTCTGCCAAAATGAACTTCTATTTTTCTCTCTGTTTACATTTCCATTTAGAATCTAAAAAAAGGTTTTTCTGTTTTCAATTTTTTACCAGCTTTTCAAAAAGGATGTTAAATGTTGGCCTGATGATATTTGTTGTTCGTCCTTCATTCTGGAAGAGGACCAGTGACATCACGGGTGATGTATTAACTTGCACGTGAGTATCACTAGGAATAGAAGGTTTTGGATTTGTGATTTCATTGTTACAGGGCACTCCCCATATGGAAACTCCCACTCTCCTGACGCAGATTTCCAATTCATCCGCAACTTATAGTCTAAAAGAGTTGTATGGAGGTAGTTACTAGTGGTTAAGTGACTTGCCCTCATCACACAGATAGCATGTGTTAGAGATAGGACTTGAACCAGGGCTTGTACAATGCTAAGACCAGCATTCCCTATACCATACTGATTCTTATCTTCATTATATATAAATATAATTTCTTTATTAACAAGCCAGGCAGTTTTTCAAAATTATTTTCTGATCTCTTAGAAGTACACAGTGCACTGAAGGATAATAAAGAAAGAATATGTATTTCAAAAGGACATAAAATTGAAATTTGTATTTTATACCAAATAAATCTTCTCTCTGCAGTCTTCTGAATTTTCTTACTTTATTAATGTAAAATTTATAATGTAAATTTTAAGTAATGTATTAAATTAATATGCAATATATTTTAATTTATAATTGATGTAAATTTAATTCTGTATTTGTAAATGTAAAATGTATATGCCTTATTTAAGTTAAGCTACACTGCTGGAACATTTTATTATCTTATTATCATCTACTTTACCTATTTACAAGCTTTTAGTAGATGCATCAGAGAATCACAGAATTAGAAGATGCTTCAGTAATTATGGAGTCCATCCTATACTTGACACTAGAACAAGATGTCATCAAGTGGCCATCGAGTCTTTGTCTGCAGACCTTCAATAAGGCAGGGCCTACTACCTTAGGAGTCAGGCATAGCTCATTCCATTGGGGGGGGGCGCGCACCTCTAATTGTTAGGAGGCTTTCTCCTGATACCAAGTTCAAATATGTGTCTTTCCAACCTTCACCCTTGTTCCTAGTTCCAACTTCTTGTAAAAGAAAGAACAAGACGATCCTTCTTACAGAGGAAGACTTTTTAACTACTAGAAGACAGCTATCAGGTCTTTCCAGAGCCTTTCTTCTCCAGGATAAAATGTTTAGTTCCTGTAACCAATCCTGATATGGCAAAGACTTGAGGCTCCTTGCTATTCTGGTTGTTTTCCTCTGGATACTCTCCAGTGTGTGAATGTCTTTCCTAAAATGTGGCATCCAGAATTTACTTGTCTGACTAGGGAATAATACAGCATTTGTGTGGAACATAATTATTATATGTGTGTGTGTGTAGTATATGCATACATCCGTGTATATATGTACCTGAATATTTAAGTATAAACTATATCTATACAGACAAAATTCAATTTCGTTTAATCACAGTGTTTGAGTATTCCTTTCAAGGTGAGCCCAATTAGAGGGATCATATTACTGACAGCACTTGAAATGACTATCATTTCATTAAAACAACAGGTATACATGAATTTCAAAATTATTCATTTTAATTTATTCAAGCATTTACAAAACAGATGGTGAAAAAATGTTGTCTGTCCTCTTACAATGTCCAAGAAATTGTTTAATTTAGTAACGAAATGCAAGTTTCAGCCAACTCAACTAAAAACCCAGATATGATACAGAAGACCATTACTCGATAGTTTAATTAATTATCCTCCTAATAACATCTGGGCCTTTTTTATAAATGCTAAAGGTTTTCCAAACAAAAAACTTTTCATGGGACTAGCAAGCAACTGCCTTGTCAACTCATTGTGTTTTGATGATCAAAAGCCATAAATAAGGGAATTAACCTCTAGAATATGTTACTTAATATAACTGTTATAAATTCAGTTCATAAATTTATAAACTGGGAAAATGGAAGATTTCCGCTGCTTTGGTGAAAGAAATATTCTGCTTTATATTTCATGCCTCAAACAGCTTTTGTATTAGTTAAACTATTCAATTTATCCTCACAATCTACTCCCACACAGCTTAAGAACTTACATCTTAGCTCATTATCCTAAAATCTTTAAATCCTATTTTCAATTCCAGTTTAGCAAGCTTCTCTATTTCAATATATTTACAGCTTTTATCTTGGACTTCTCTGGGCCTCATTTTAACATCTCTCCTCTAAAAAAAAAAAACTTTAAAAAAATGCCTAGAAAAATGTCTTATTTTTGCTATTTATCCTTTTTATATTTTATCTACTGATGTGGTATCTCCATTTGTTTCACATAAAATGTTTTTTTCCCTTACTAAGAGAAACTGAAGAAAGCATCTCTTTATGAAAAAAAACACAAGATTTGGACACTGAGACCCCAAGTTTGAACACAGGCTCTTCAACCTTCTAGTTACATCAAATCCTATAACCTCACTTGACCTCAGTTTCCTCATCTTGAAAATGAGGCTACTGGAGTAAACAACCTCTAAAAGACCTTCTGTTTCAAAATCTATGATGTCAATTCTTTCGTGCAATTTAGAATTCCCATCTGAATTCATCTTCTCTTTTCCTCTACCCTGTTCACAGATGTCTCAAATAGCCTTACCATAATTAAAACAAACAAAAACAGAAACCAACTAGACACATCCTAGTTATGATAATGTGGCTTTTCTCTGGAAAACAAAGTTCAAATAGAAAAGTTTTTGAAAACAATGTTATGGAAAATAATAATGTAATTTGAGGAAATGCCACTGGAGAAGGGTTGACATTCAAGTCTGTTTTTACTCCCTATGTCTGAAGGTTGGATAACAGCATTCTCCATAACATACATGCATATACACGTGTGACTACTGGCATACAAGAAGACAGACAGAGGAAGGTCATGCCCTAATTATGCTGAAGAAAAAGAATGAGTTAAGGCTGACTCCATCACATAAAGGTAGAAAGGGCAACTTCAGGGTATCCAAATTTAACACTTTGTTTATACAATTTCCCATCCTTATAAAACTATCCCTTGAGTTTTAAATCCACTCACTGTTGTAGCCACTGCCGCTGCTAGCCTCTGCCGGCGCCGTGTGGTGCTGAATTGGCCTTTCGGAGGTGGCCCTTCCTGACAGTGAATGGAAGAAGAGAAGGGAGGAGATAACAAGGAATGGGAAAGGAGGTCATGGGAGATGGAAGGATGGAAGATGATCAGACAAGGGAGACGGAGAGTCTTTAACTGAATTTTACTTTCACCAACCCTTAACATTAAGAAGTGCTTGACAGCATCCATGCTGGTGAGGATAACTTGCTTATTCTCACTGCAAGATGCCTAAATGTCTCAAGTTTATTTGCTGAATAAACCCCTTCCCCTACCCTAGGATTTGAAGCATTATGAATTGATATGTAAACTCTGGGATTAAACAAAAAAATTAAAAATAAATTTGAGCTGTTATTTTCATTCTTTAATGTGATGTTATATGAAGTTAGAAAGTAAAGATGCTATGAAGTACCTGAAGTTTCAATGGAGTTGATTTTAAAATCACACAACCTTAGAAAGCTTCAGCAACTGATTACAGTCTATCATGAATGGTTTCCTAGGAGCCTAAAGGAACTTAGAAAGTTGGGAATGGGGAGATAAAAGGACTAGTCAAGAAAGATTCTTGTTCTCTCTCTTACTACCTAAAAATAGCCAGTACTTTATAATGAGATTTTCTGCAGTAGTAGTAGTTTTTCTAGGAAGAATAGGACAGATCCTGCAACATAATAAAATCCTTAGGTGGCCTAGTAAGATGCAGAAATTTCTACATTAACTAGAGGAAAAACTGATTCACCCAAAGACTTTTCAGTGTACAAAGTCACATCATGAATTCTCCTCCATGTCAATAATTCATGCTTGAACTTCCCAGTGTGTAAAACCCTAACAGATTTCACTTGTGGGGTGACTGACCATTCCTTTTCCCCTTTCTACTTTGACCAGAAATTGACCTCCCAATTACCTATGGCCATTTCCAGCTATGAGATCTAATCTCACTCTGAATTTAAATAACCTCACTTCTTGGAATTGATCTGACAGATCATATTCTCTGGGTTTTTAACAGAAAAAAAAGATCAGTCTAACTTATTTTATGCTATGTACTGTAGAATAAAAAAGTGACTATAAAACAAGTCATAAATAAAGAATTTTAGCATAATTTTGAACCGAATTTAATTTTAAACTAAGTTCTTTTGCCTCCTTTAAGTGTTCTTTCCCCCTTGCCTTTCTCAAAAAATTCCTGCTTATATCTATGTATGTGTTTGTGTATACACACATAGTTACATATGTATACACACACACACACACACACACACACACATATATAGTGACATACACACAAAAATAATTTATTCTTCATATAAACTTCTTAATCTAGGATTCCGTCATACTTAAGGTATCAAAAAAGGAGCAAAGAAATTATTATGACCTTATTCTGACAGTGTAATTTAAGCACCTAGAAGACACAGAGGAGCTACATGTGAATCATTCACATTCAATCATTCACCTCCTATTACTCATGGCCTGCATCCATCATGACAGCATACCTTTCCCAGTTACCTATCACATCTAGATGTCCAGCATTTAATTCATGCTGCTAACGTGTCAAACATTATCAACTACATTTCACACTGGAGCTTTCTTCCAGTATTCCTATATTTCTGTGAACTATTTAAAACATCCACAAATTACAATCGTATGCCAGTCTTTAGGTTTCATTAAAACACAAAAGTCAACTGTGGGAGATAGGAAGTATTTCTCCAAAAGGCTCACTCCCACGGGACTTCCTAGGACAAATTCTGCTTTCCACTGACTCGTGCTCAGAACCATAGGGGGCCAGACTCCAAATGGCTTCTTAAAGAAATACATATATTCACATACATAACCTAACCAAAAAAGACCCCTGCACTGAAATAATTAGCATAATTTGACCCATTCAGAGATCATAATCACCTAAATCACCCATGCACACATTGCATTCAAGTCCACACTGGCCCAAGTCTATTAATTTGAAATATAATGACATGCTTCATTAATTCACTCAAAACAGCTCCTGCCACAGCTGTGCTAAATATAGTCCATTATAAATAAAGAACCTGAATATCCAGATGACCCTCAAAAAAATAACAAACAATAGTAGGAGGTGGAGGCTGCGATATGAACTACAGAATTATCTCAAACTAATGGATTTATGGAATAACATTAACCAATGTGACCTTGAAAGATAAAGGCCAGAATTTTAAGGATGAGACAGGGAAAAGGTGATAGAGACAGATTTCTCAATCCTTTAATGATTTTTACAACAGTTAATTAACAGTGTAAGATTTAATATCAACCTTAAAAACACTTGGGAAAAAAATAGGAGAAGCAGAGTAGGAAAAAATAAATGTATGCCTTTCTAGCAAACCCCAAACTCAAATTTCTGAAAATCCATATCTTTCCTTTTTCTTTTTTTTTTGCCGAGGCAATTGGGGTTAAGTGACTTGCCCAGAGTCACACAGCTAGTGAATGTTATGTGTCTGAGGCTGGATTTGAACTCAGGTCCTCCTGACTCCAGAGCCAGTGCTCTATCCACTGCACCACCTAGCTGCCCCAGAAAATCCATATCTAACAAAACAAAAAACTGATGGCTCAACTTTGTCCCTTCATTTCCTTAATTCCATCCTTTTCTTCCCATTCCCTACCCCACCCCTTCCACAATACAAACTTATATGGCCAAGAAGTAAGAATGGATCTTGAGGCTTCTAAAGGAGTTTTGTTGGTCTATGGATACCAACGAGAATATCATGGCACTGTGAAAAGGTACCCAATTCAGCAATATTTTTCCCTTAAGATATACTGGATTTTACCATACAGAGTGGAATGACATAATTGCTGGATATTGTCTAAATCCCCCTCTTTCTGATTCTACCTGAAGAGTAAAATAAAACTCTCACATTTAAATCTACATTATTTCTCCAACTCTCCCCCCCCCCGCCAATGCCCCAACCCTTTTCAGTTACTGGCATGAAATTCTTTCACCTTTTCTCTCAAGGACTACTTGACTAATTTTCAGCAACTTCCACCCAGCCCCAATCCCTTTCCCAACCATTAAGATGGCTGGATGTGAATGAAGAAACTGTCATCTCTTTGACATTGTTTCTTCTGAAGTTTTATAACCCAAAACAAATCCACAAAATTTAACTTCTCTCCTTCATTTGAAACACAGCCTGTGATTAAGAGTGAGATGTGCCTAATACAAGGATAAAACTAGGCACCTGTATTCACTTTTTTTTTTAAACAAAACCCATGAACTACAAAAGGAATGTCACTAGCCCTTCCAGCAAGGAAACCAGGCTGATTATAAAGGGCTGTCAATCGAAAATCAGCTCCATTCAGCAAACGACCTGTAAATAAGGCAGCTTGGAAAGCAAGTTTGGGGTTTTTAGAAATGTATATTAATATGGCATTTGCTTCTTTTGTTTGTTTAATGTTGATTCATAAAATGCAGCCACTTTCTCAGCCAAGTAGTAGGTACATCCACGGTTGTATTAATTTGTTTGTTTTTTGTGTTGAATCACAAAATGCTTCAAAAGCTCATGGGAAGTCAAACTGCCAGAACTCATCTTACACCATTTTCTCATGAAATTATTTGGAATATTTTTGTTTAATGGTATGAATTTTACGAATAAAAGGACAATCACACAAAAATTATACAACAAAGGGAAACGGACTTTGCTGACAAAAGAAGATGTGGCTTTTTAGTACTTCAAAACATTTATTTTCTATAAATCAGATTAGTAAGCAAGCAAAAGAATGTTAGTTATAAAATAAGAATCGGAACAAAATATTAGAGAAGGCTGATTTTGTTATTTTTAAGACAAACAATGATTTTGAAAAGGAGCACCTTTTGATTTTTTTATATTAGTAATAAAAAGGAAAAGCTAAATGACAAGCCCAATTATTCTTATAGAGTAGTGCTGAACAATGAATGTACTGACACAAGGTAGGCTGGCTGATGAGTAAATGACTCTGCAATGGTCCCTTATGATATAGAATGCTATGATTCCCTGGTGGCAAAGGTTCTTTCTATTTTAAATATCTGTAAACATTTATCTATATAAATAGATATTCAACATCTTTATTTAATGAGTAGAAAACAATCATTCAGCAATGAAAACAGGAGAAAACAATCAATCAATCAAGAGCCTCTTACCAAAAAAAAATTAAAAAACTACAAGGTTTTTGTTCTAGTTTCAACATGGCTCATAAGAGCTTAGGTATAAAGATTGGGAAGGTCTAAAAGGCCATGATGGTAGGAAAGAAAAGTCCATCCTAACTACAGATAAAAAAAATACAATCACTTTTGATAAAAGTTTGAAACAAGCTTTTATGATTAGATTAATGATGTTAAAACTAACTAAATTCACAAAAACTTTTTGGAATATATAGCAAGAAATAAAAGAACTGATTCAAGCATAATTAGTAAATATGTTCATGACAGAATGGCACCTTTTATGATGCTCTGCTGTTTCAGAAAGTCAAGGGAAAACTATTCTATAGAGAAAAATTCAGTATGTTTTGTGCTCAACATGAATTCCCAATAGGTATGTCAATGTTAATTTTCCTTTATTATATTATCCTAATAACATTTGAGATTTATATAAAATTACCAAAATGACCACATATACAAAAAAAAAATTAAAAAAACCAAACCCCACAACACCATACTTTGGTCCTAAGGCAGGAGGGAGAAGAAAGGAGTCGTGTATAATAGTACAATCAAGGACCGTGATGACTTGAAAGGAGGATGGTGGCCTTGACAGAAAAAAGAAAAGATCAAAATGGATGTGGGTGCTGGAGAAAAAGTCAAAGAATGAACCACATTATAGGGATTCAAAAATTTCAAAAAGTTTGGACCTCTGTTTCTTGGGATTATATCCTTCAAAAGGAGCTTAAATATAACTGTATGTGAGATACTTTTAAAAACCTGACATTTGTTCGGGGATACGTTGTGCTACTTTATACAACTGGGTGTCCCATAGCATTGGATATAAAGTAACAGGCTACCTCACCCAACTGTGAGTACTGGCTAACATGTTAAATTGATATCATTAGGGAGAAGGAAGGAAAGAATAACATGAATTCAGTACCTGAAGTTGTATTTTTGCATCTTTGCTGACGCTTTTTGTTCTCCATCGTCTTGTGACCCGCTTGTCTTTCTTTGAAATATCTACACAGTTAGCCTACATTACACAAATAGTTAAAAGCAACATAGTGCTATTAAGTTCACACAGATGACACAGGTATAGATAGACAAAGAGAGCATAGTAAGTTAGTAAAGAATCTTTGTGTTAGATACTTATACACAAAAAAACAAGGAGAGAATACCAACTCTGGTGCCCATTGGGCAGAAATCAGAGAGCCAAAAACTTAATGGCAAATATTTACTACTAAGCAAGCTGGACAAAATATTTATTATAGAAGGATAATAATTCTTTTTTTGCATGAAATTATAGTTACCTCTGAGATTCTTCAAATTATATTACCATATCAATCACTGCTAATATAACACAGCATAGATATTGCTTTCTACTAGATAATTTCAGTCAGTAATAGATTATTTCAACATCTAGTTCCATAGTCTAATTATCATTGAATCATATTAAGATCTAGAGGGGGTTTAAAGATTTCAGATGCCAAATTACTCCATTTTATAATTGTCTTCATATACTCATTTACCTATTAACAAAAAGACCATTGAAATACTATAAGAAATATCTATGACACATTTACCTGCATATCAGTGAAGTTTGGGGCCGACTGAGTTCTTTGTAGTATTTCCAAATTTTGAAGGAGTTTACTAAGTTCCACGAGATTTGATTGGCAGTGTGCGAGATCTAATACAAACAAGAAATCAAGATATATTAGCCCTAGATCTAATACAAACAAGAAATCAAGATATATTAACCCTGAGGAGGTGAAAGGACACGCAGGGTTTCGAGGGGAAGTCATGCCAATGGAAATGTCAAACAGCAGCATCTGAAGGGAAACTCAAGTGAGGGAGAAATATGAACTGGCAGTTTCTCTAATAAGCTACAAGAATCATAGAAACATCTATCATTGCAAACCATTCCACAATTAAAAACAACCTGGGTCATATGAGGTCATCAGGATTGAATAAAATAAATTTTTGTTGAGGTCTTTTGTTTTTCCACTATCACCTTCCCTCCTCTTCCACTCTGAGAGAGCTATCCCCTATAATAAAGAATTAAAGGAAGCAAAAAAACCCAGTTCCTCAAAAATAACCAACATATTAAAAAAAACCAAAGTCTCTTGTTATATGCAGCATTCTACACCCATGCTCCCACACTTCTTCAAAGAAGTAGGGGGAGTTGTCTCTGTCCATCTCTTTTTAGGGGACAAACTTGACTAAACTTTTCAGCATTTGATCTGGATTGTTTTTGTTCTATGTGTATCCCCTTTAATGAATAAGAAAATGGAGGAAAAACACTCATGGTTTTGGTAAAACAAATCAAGTTGGGTAATCCATGATGCTTCATCCTCCAGTAAGTCTTCTACTATTGTTATGATTGATACTGCTGCTGCTGCTGCTACTGGACCTCTTTATAGTGTGTTTCATACATTTGTGCCTCAGTAACAACTCTATCAGATGTCCAAGTGTCAATGGCTCACAAAGCATGAGAGTAGACTAGCATATGGGCGAAATAAAGGGCAGATTCATAAAAGGATGGACTAGAAGGCACAGGGTTAAGACAACCTTATTCTGACCAAGTTATGGTCTTGGAAGAAAGAAGGAAGAAAATAAGCATTTATTAACACCTATTATTTCTGGCAGGCACTGTGCTAGGTGTTTTAAAAATATTATCTTATTTGATCCTTATAACAACCCCAGGAGGTAGGTGCTATGAATGGTCCCATTTTACATCCGATGAGAGAAACAGAGGCACACAAAGGTAGTGACTTGCCTGGAGTCATACGTGTAGTAAGTGTACCAGGGCAAATCTGAACTCAAATCTTCCTGATTCAATCCACACTGCTAAGTAGCTCCCTAACAAGAATTTATTAAGTGCCTCCTATGTGCCAGGAATGGTGCTAAATGCTTTGTAAATCTCATTTGATCCTCAGAACAACCCTATGAGGTTGATGCTATGATTATCTCTATTTAACAGTTGAGGAACTGTGACAAATAGAGATTAAGTAACATGCCCAGGGTTACACACTTAACTTGGGATTTCCTGCTTTGAAAAAAAAAAGATGCTACACACACACACCACACACACACACACACAGAGTAATATGTGTGTGTGTGTATACATACTCCAAGGACATTATGCAAAGCACTACAGGAAGGATTATCTTGTGACTACTAATGATAACTCATTTAAAGGAGCAGACTCCGGGAAGGCTTTGCATCAATCACTTTTTTCTCCTTTCAGAATTAATTTTAATCTTACATGATCAACGCTGTACTGACTAAGTGAAAGGAGGCTGTTCCAGAAGAGATATCTGGTTAATTAGGTTTTAAAATACTGAAATTAGTTATTACAATGCTTTTATTGATTTGGAATCTGTTTCAGAATACTTAGGTCCACACTTCAGCTTTGTAACTTATCACTTGTATGAACTTGAGCAGTTTACTCAAACCCTATGAGTTTATTTATTTTACTCAGCTGGTAAAATGAGGGGATTGTACTCGATGGCTTCTAAGCTTCAGCTTTATATCTATGAACCTGTGATTTAAAAACCAGTGCATTCAAAAACAAACTAATATTAACCTTACTGAATTTTTAACTCAGTGATAAGATTTTTAAAATCTCATTTTTAAACAGGTAGCTTAACAATTAACTTACTTAGGCTTGTAGTCATTGTATTTTTTTCATTCCAAGAAGAGGCTTTTAAACATTAATTTTATGACATCTCAAAGCCATGACAAGTCAAGCTCTTCTCTAATCATCAACAGGTCATTTGTGTCCAGAACTGTGCTAAGTACGCGAAACTAACAGATAAAAGTTTCCTAAGATTTTACTGGACTGTTTATGAGGTCTGCTTTTAGGGTTTTCCTCTGATAGGAAGAAAATAATAAATGCGTAGGAAAGCTGAAATCTGCCCTCAAATAAACTGCTTATTTTCTTTAGTTTACATTATCTTCTCACTAATGTGAACTATAAGAATGAAGGCATGGAATAAAGAGAATGACAAAACGTTGGGAATCCCATTATTGAAATTAACATTTAAAACACAAAGGTGACTTCCAGGTGTTAGTGTATCAGGAACCAAAAAAAAAATCAAATTACGGTGGGTAAGGGAAAAAGTGTTTTTTAGGACATTGATAAGCATATGAAAATAGAATACAAAGAATTTCTTATAAAACGTGTTCACACAATTAAATACAGTCTAGCATACAGAGAAATCAGCACTGACTTACTCCATTATTAAACATTTAGAACATGCCTTCAGGCCCTAAAGTTTAAAAGTAATTACTTTTCTGCATGCAAATTATTAACAACCAACCACAGAATATGTCTATGGAAAGCCCTGTTAGCATGCAGAACTATTTTGGTTTTTCCTGGCTCGTTTGCCTAAATTATATACACATACACTATTTAAACATTGAAAAACTAACTAATTTCAATTATCTACTGAATGCCAAAGGCATCCATTTTCACACTAATCTAGAAAGCAAAAAAAAATTTTTATAGCAATGCCTAATTTTTAAAGATCTATATCTAGAATTCTAAATTGGGTCTAGTTTAGCTTGCAGAATCTGCAGGAAAGCCCTAGATACTTAATGAGAGAGAATTCAAAGGAGGACAAGGGTTTTACATTCTATCTGCATCAGGATCTCTTGATGTAGAAGATACATTCCACTTGTAAGAAATTTTGTTATCAGAAATCCTGTTTGAGTAATGATATTGGGTGAGTCTTCTAACCTCTCTGAGCTTCAGTCTCCTCACTGATTAAATGAAAGGTTAAACCTGAATCTCTACAATCCAAACTAAAGTGCTATCATCCTACTCTGAATTTTATCTTTTATTTATTTGTTGTTTAGCTAGGCTAGGTTAAGTGACTTGTCCAGGGTCACACTGCTAGTAAGTGTTGGGTGTTGGGTGTCTGTGACCAGATTTGAACTCAGGTCCTCCTGACTTCAAGGAAAGAACTCTATCCACTGCACCACCTAGCTGCCCCTATCTTATCTTTTAAAGAAACATAACAAGACCATGAAGTCCTTGTAGACTGAGATCCTATTTAATGGAGCTGAAAGGCCAGGGTTTGAGACTAGGCTTTAAAATTTACTAGCTGTGTGACCACGATCACTTAACTTCTGATCCTCAGTTTCCCTGTCTGTAAGATGTGGATACTGCTTTTCATATCTAGTTCATCAGATGGCTACTTACTGTTTGATATCCGAAATGTCCAGCACAGTGCTAGGTATATGGGAGCTATGCCATAAACACATGGTACTTAATTTAGAGATTATTCTTTAGACACAAAGTGGTGCCATGATGATAGTACAGAAATGTAGGCTGTGGCTTATAATTGCCAAAACCATAGCCAGGTTCTTCCAGAGGGTAAAGGGTGACAGATTCACATTAGAACTTCTGTTCCAGAGAAAAGTACACAGAATTTAGCACAAAAGAAATGAATGTTCCAGTCCTTGCTCTGCCATAAATTACTGGGGCAAGCAACTTCTCTGCACTGAAATTCCTCCTCAGTAAAAAGCGGGATGATACTTAGCCCAATCAAGTCATAGTGTTATTGGGATGAGGAAATTAGATAAAATGTGAAAACAGTCTGAAAAGCATAAAGTATTATTAAAATGCGTAGCATTATTAACTCGCAAAATGCAGTTATATTCAAAATTGATTCAGAGATGGTCCAAATTTAGTTACTTTGACAAAGATTCACACTGTTCTTCACTTTTACCAAATAAATTATGGAGAATTTCATGCAGAAGGAGCCAATGAAAGTGAGAGATTGAAGACTCTCCAAAGTGGATAGACTTTTGGAGTTAGAAGGAACTATAACTCCATGCCCAATGGATGAATTTCTTTTATAATATCTTTTTTTTTGGGGGGGGGTACTAGGTAATGAGGTTAAGTGACTTGCCCAAGGTCACACAGCTCGTAAGTGTCAAATGTTTGAGGCTGGACTTGAACCCAGGTCCTCCTGACTCCAGGGCCAGTGCTCTATCTACTGAGCCACCTAGCTGCCCCTCTTTTATAATATCTTTAAGCTCTGCTTGAACAACTCCAGTGACCAGAAACTCACATTATCTGTCTTGGACATAACTGCTTTTCAAATGTTAGGTGGGATGTGATCACTATAGTTAGAACAATCTTCAGATCCTTCAACTCATCACGTTATGTGAACACACTAGCAATTTCTCTCAGTTTCATGCCAGTCACAAATCTGATAAATCTACCTTTTCCCCCCTCTGATATGTATATGTTCAGGGGCATAGGGCAGAACCCTACAATGATGCAAGAGATCTTCCCTCCAAGTTGATCTCAATTCATTTATCAACAGTCTTTAGTTTAAGTTATTCAGCTAGAGATAAAGGGCATGATATGAATACTGAACTTTAGGGTATGACTCGAAAAAGTACAAAGGCCAACTTGGGAATAAAGTTCTTCCCTGAGAGAATGAATACAGAAACATCTATTTTAACATCAAAAACAGAGGAGAGGGAGTTCACATTCAGTCACCTCAGTCTTCTCAGAAAAAGAAGAAGTGAAATTATCTGCTCTGTGTGGAGGGGGTAGGATTAGGGGCTGCTTGACAACATTGGAGTAGTGAAAGTTTGAAACAGATGTTAGGATATGCCAGAGAATAAACAAGAGATGAATAAAAGGATTGCTGATGTACACTGAGGGCCTGGTTGAAATTGAAGTACAGATTTATAATATGTAAAATAGCATTAGTTCTGCCACTTTCTCCAGCAACACCCTATATGCCAGGTACAAAACAGGGAAAGCAGATGGTGAGAGTCATTTGGCATCCTAGCTTGGTAAAATGGTAGGGGGGAATATTTGATGACATGAGAAAGTCAAGAGTGTCAGTGAGGACAAATGTGATGAGGCTAATCATGGAGTTCAGCCTGCCTTTGGGTTCAAGTTCATCCAGAAGGGAGTAGATAGACTGGGCAAAATAGAAGGGCTTGAGAATGAAGGTCACAGGACAAAAGTGAAGAAGATGTGAGGGAGTGAAAGAGTTAACAAGGGGATTATGCTCAGAAAGGAGGAGTGACCAACTTGGAGATCAGATCTGTTAAGTAAAGAGAAAGAACTTGTAAGTACCCAGGGAGCAAGGATTGTTTTTCCCAGCCCTTTCAGTGGCTTATCAACAGTGAAAGTTGGTTGAAACTAGAGAGGAATTATGTAGTGGAAAAAGCACTGGATTTGGAGTCAAAGAGAAGGCCTGGATTCAGATCCTGACTTTTGTCATTTATTGCCCATATGACCTTGGGCAGGTCACTTGACCTGTCTGGGTCTCAGTTTCCTCATCTGTAAAGTAAATAAACAAAAACAAAAAAATCACTAGTCCCCAAAGTTCATTGATTTTCTATGGCTTATTATCAGAGACCACTGACCTTCTGCACATCTGTCCATTTCTTCAGAGTCCTGTAACCAAGCTGCCACTTTACTCTGGCCAGTGGTGCAAGTTGCAGGTAGGCTATTACTGCACGGTATAGGTGGCTGCCATGGGAAATTGTTCTGTGGTACCTGATGTTCATGAAACAGACAAATGTATAAGCAATGGTACTGATAAATAAACAAGAGAGGTTACTGCAGTGAGAGTTAAAGTGATATGACATATAATGGTATCTTCTATCTTTCTTTCACATTTCCAAAGTAAGACAGAACACACTTCCACAGAGGTCCTGCAATGTGTTGAGTGTATATGATGAAATCCACAAGTAACAGTATAAAGAACATCATCAAAATATGAAACATTGCCCTTTGAGGTTACCCGCAAAATGACAGTGCAGGTAAAAGAATTCAGAACCAAACTAAACTGCAAGGCCCTTAAGGGAGCAGCAGCAGGTGGGTGCCCCCCCCCCATTTCTATAAACTGGATGCCCGAATCTTAGAAACTGCATGGTACAGTGACAAGAAAACTAGAGGCTAACATCCTCTGTTAAAATTCCAGCTCTCCCACTGAATACTCCATGTGACTTGGGATTGTAGAGCTCCTCTGGAAAATAGACTAGGTGGTCTCTAAGATCCCCTTCAGACCTATGGTCTCCAAAACCTTGACCTAACTTGGTGACCACTGAAATTTTCTAGGTTTCCAGTCACAACTGGGAAATCATCTGGAGATGATGAGAGACTTGGGAGAGGGGAGAGAGAGAAAGAGAGGGGGAGAGAGAGAAAGAGAGAGAGAGAGAGAGAGAGAGAAGAGAGAGAGAGAGAGAGAGAGAGAGAGAGAGAGAGAGAGAGAGAAAGGAAGGGAGAGGGAAGACAGAGAGAAAGAAAGGGGGAGAGGAGAGAAACAGAGTGACAGAGACAGAAAGAACAAGAGAGAGGGGAAAGAAAAGGAGAGAGACACAGAAAGGAACAACAACAGAAATTGAAAATGAGAGGCAGAGAGATACAGGTGGAGAGAAAGAAACAGAACAGAGACAGAGGAAGAGACACAGAGAAAAAAAGGAAAGGCTAAGACAGAGAAAGAGGCCGAGAGGAAGAGGGCGTGTGTGTGTGTGTGTGTGTGTGTGTGTGTGTGTGTGTGAGACAGAGACAGAGAGAATTTGCGAAGTATTTTATCTACAGGCAATCTCTGCATGGCTTGTGATTTATGCACTCTAGAAAAAATATTTTAAGGGGCAGTTTTAGGAGACTATACCACTGTAAGCTACATCCAATACATTTTCCATTATCAGGATACTGCATGGAATAAATAATCTACATGAAATAACTTTTTTAAAATAAGTGCTAAGGCACCCTGTGAAAAGGACTGACCCATGTTTTCAAAAAGCTGTAGCCATTTAAAATCCATCTTTGACTCTAATATTCAATTACAACAGATCACTCTTCTTCTAAATCATCATGAACTCAACGAAGTGCATGCTTAGCAAACTCTAGTTTATTTATTATCCACAGAGGGCCACAAACCAATTATCATTTCCGAGACTCATAATTTGATACTTAGGATGCAAGCAGAGTGATAAATAGGTCTTTTACTTTTTTTTTTATTACATTCTGATAAATGTAATGGAAATATTTCACTAAGCTAAAGCATAGAGGTATTTCATTGGAAAAGTAGAATAATGAGTCTCCTATAGAAGTCATACAGTTTTCCTACTCCAAGCCAAAAAAGTAGAATGGAACTGGTTTCAAATCATTTTTCTCTTTAATCACCAGGGCAGCATCAGTAGTAGTAATGAAGGCACCCTGCCCTTGGTGTCATCCCACACCAAAGATAGAGGCAGAAGTGAAAAGAAAAATCACTGATGACACAAGTATTAAGCTTTTATATTTAGAAAAATCCATCTGTGGCTGATTTATCTTTCAGGAATTTGGGTTAAATCAGGAGGTTTATTTCAAACCTTGATCTAGAAAAAAGAAAGAGGAACATAAAGGCTTAGGGGTCCAATGCTTCTTGTGATGAATATCATTCTATTAAGTCCACGGCTCTGCCTTCCTAACATCCCTCTCATAGGATATTTTTCATCATAACAGTTCATATTAAGGTTGACCCAATACCAACATGCTTTAAAAGGGAATTAACAAAAGAAGCCCAGGTCCTAGCTGATAGTAATAACAAAGTTATATAAGGTTTGAGACACTTTGAGGAATCTGAGATATAACTTAAGGAAAATCTATTCAAGCCACAAATGTAATATGGCAATACATCTGTCCTGTGGCATGGATGGGCCTATGATTTTTCTAATAATGATGATGATGATGATAGGTAGTATTGATATACTGCTTTAGGATTTACATGTTATCTAATCAAAACTCTCAGTGATCATGGAAAGGGGCTGAGAGGAGGTAAGCGACTTGCCCAGAATCACACAGCTGATTAATGGGTATTAGCTATTAAAAGATCATTGGTAACCTTGGAGAATGCTGTTTCAGGAAGGCAGTGAGGTTAGAAAAGAAAATAGAAAATGTTAAGAAATGACTCAGATAATCAATATCACAGTGCTTGTCTTCTCAATGGGTGGGTTAGGGAAGGGAGAGAGAATTGGTAGACAAAATAAAAAAAGAAAGTATATTTAAAAAATTTTTTAATGTAAACTGTAAAATGTACATTTTAAAATATAATTAGGAAATACTTAATAAAGCAAAAATATATTTAAAAATAAAAAATATATTTTAAAAAAGCAATGAGTTAAAGGTGGGGAATTTGAGGGAATGAATGTGAATGACTCCACCTTTGACTGGGAAAGACAGCAAAGGGTTTTTAAGGACAGAAGAGGCCCAGACATGCTTTGCAGGGAATGCAAGACTGTGCTGGTAACGATCAGCTCTCTGGAAAAAAATGTATTTATGATACACTTTTAAATTTAAAATATTAATGAATTATTAATAATTTCTCTGTCACTTTCTTAAGACCAAACAATCAACTAAACAATAACTCAAGCCCTGGATTTGTAGCATTTGCTGATTTCTGAGGTTTAAATGCTCACACTGAAAACTAACAATTTGCTCTCAAGAGGCCATTTTAACTGTCTCCAGTACATCCCTGAATGAGGAATGTTTTATTAGATTTAGAAAGATCAAAGAGAGAGAAAACAAAAAAGGAAAGAGGAAGAAGAGAGTAAGACAGAGATAGGAGACGGAGAGAAGGTAGAGAGGAAAGAAAGGAAGAGAGGGGAAAAGTTAAAAGGAGAGGAGGAAAGTGAGAAAGGGAAAAGGAAAGAAGCAGAGGGAAAGTGATACAGATATAGATGGAATGTAAAAGAAAGAGGGGGACAGAGAGGAAAATAGAGAAGAGACAGAAAGAGGCATAATGGTCAAAGGGGCATGCTTCCAGGAGACAGAAAGGGATAGATACAAGAAAGTGTAGGCCTTGGTAAGAACAAGGACTACCACTCTTCAAGAGAGGAGAGAACAGGTGAAAACATGGTTTTGAAGTTTGAGTTTTGAAGTTTAGAGTAAGCAGAAAATGAAGCTCATGAGAGATGTAGGATGCCAGGTCCTCCACTGTGAGAGAGGGAGGAGGAAGTGTTGGTAAAGATTTGAAGAAACAAATCTGAACAGCTGCTACAGGGAATAGAATACATAGTTAATCAGTGAAAAATAAAACTCAGCTAGCTGCCTTGAGGGTTGAGTTGAGATTATATCACAGTTAGAACTAGTTGGTGTGATTGCATGGCTTTCTTAAGCTGTCCGCAGAAATACATATTTCAGTTTTCAATCAGACAATAAACATTTATTAAGCACCTATTATGTGCCAGGAGTTGAGTAGGCACTAGAGTGGGAGAAAATGTTGCTGATGGTGGACTATTTAGACATTATAGCTGAAGCCTAATAAAGATAAGTCATGTTTTGGAAATTACACCCACAAATGAGGGTCTTTGGGTCAAATATTTTAGGTTTTTCTGGCTTTCCTAGAATTTTGGTAAAACCACTCAAAGTTAATAGCTACCTCATTCAATTTAAAAAAAAAAAAGGAGACTATTATTATACCTCGTGTCACTTCCTAAGCAAATTTGGGGCTAGTTTCCACAAGATTAAGGCTCACCTTCCCATCCACAACTGCAACGTTAGCAGCTGGTGAAGATTCTGTTGTAGAGGTTGAAGGAAATATGTGAAAGCTTGCATCCCTCGGTGACCTTACAATTTCATTCTGACGGTATAATCGGTGGTGGCGGAGTTTGGAGACCCAACCATCAAACCAGTCCTGTGATTTCACCTAAAACAAAAGTGAAAAAAGAAGGGGTTCATTCATTCATTCATTCATTACTCCAGTTTAACCTGATGAAGATGTCCAATTTCCCAGAAGAAGTAGAAGAAAATTTTGGTTACCTTTAGATGATAGATGTGTTCTTCAGTGTCAAGATCTATCCTCCGAGCTTTCTTTTTAATTGACATAACTGACAACCCAACATCAATGCTCCCATGGACCTTGCCTTTTTGAATCTAGAAGAAAAATACATGTAAATAGAGTGGAAAAATAATCTAATTAGATATATTTCTATATCTAATTTTTTTTTAAAAAAGGAATTTGGCAGCCTTTCACACTTTTAAAGAAAATGAGAATACTATTTCTGCTCTAGGGAAAGAAAATCGAAATCTCTTTCAATCTGAGGAAATCCAAGATGGTTTCCCCATCACCTTTTTAATAAGCAAGCCAATCTATCTGCTATTAGTTTATGTGATATAACTTATACGGTCAATTCTTCATAATTACAGATCTGAAGTTGAGTGCTCTCATTTTTTTCTTTTCATATAAGAAACAAATCAATTTAACATATTGGCTTGAAGACAGGACCATCAAAGATTAATCTCCATTAATCTCCTGCTAATGAAATGGAGAGTCAAGAGCAAGATCTGATAGGTGGAACCAGGAAATACAAACAGCCTTGCCTTTTGGTTAGCATCTTCGTGATGATTTTTGCTTATTCTTCCTCTTTTCCTCCTGTTTTGTTACTTCATTTATTTAAAAACATTAAGCAACTACTGCATCCAGACTCTTTAGCTAAGGAAGATGCAAAGTTTAGATGGGGATGTTGGGAAATAAGATACAAACTGATGAAAATGACAATATCCAAATCTCTTCCCCCATATCCTCTTCTTGCCTCCGACCTCCTTCTTCCTCTCTGGAATCTGCCTCATACTTCTTTAATAATTAACGACTCTGCCTCTGAGGATAAAAATAAAATTGTCCCCCCCAAAAGAAAATGCCACAAAGGGCCATTTCTTTTCAGCATAAACCTGGTTTTTGCTCTTTTGAATTTTGAGGAAGTCTTTTATAGCTTTTAATTTTTTGCCTATTTGATCAGAAGGTCTTGAGAACAGGGATTACTTTAAACAATAAAAACTACACAAAGCATCATAGACTCTGGTTCAAATGACTTTGCTCAGTCATGTGGTAGGCCTGGTGACCTTGAAGAGGCCACTTAACCTCTATAGGGATCAGTTTTCAATATTTAAAATAGGGACACTAGCTGCCCTACCTAGCTCCATAGGTTATTGAGACACCAAAATTAGGTAGCAGATATGAAAATTCTAAAATGTTGAACAGGTATTATTAAGTAAATAAGACAATTTAATCTCACCCATGATAACATTAGGAAGATTGCATTTTTAGCATATTACACTAAAGGTCACATTGCAGTTTTCAATGGCATATCACAAAACTGAATTCAGATTTTTTCATTCATAAGTCTGAAATTTTGTACCAGCTTTTCCATAAACAGAAAACATACTTCCTATAGCACCTGGGTAGTTCAGTCACTTATTCAAATCTAAAATTATACCACAGGTGAACAAATGGATAAAGCTGGTAGCTATAGGCTGAGAACTGTAATGCAATGGTATTAAGTCACATCAAAAAGAACTCTAAAGCAATCTTTGAAAAATGTCCTATGATTTACTTACATCAAGTGGTGCTTTTGAATACTTCAACATTCCATTATCCAGGACAAAAAATCGCTGCAAGAACCAAATAATTCACTATTAGTATGTGGGAAGAACCTGAATTATAATAAATATTTACAAATGTGGATTTAGTCTTTCTTAACATTCAGCATTTTCATAATGAATTTAATCAAAATAAAACACATTCCCTCAATGTACTAGCGATGTGTTTATCACACTCAACAAATAGGAAGTTTCTGTTTTATCCTATCTTTGCACACTTGCCTACTAGGTTCATAATCTGATAATGGAGGCCACTTAACATGGTTTCTCACACCAGCTGAGAGTATCTCAGTGCCTGTCTTGCATTTAAGACTTTCCTCATTAACAGTGTTGGGATTTTTTTTTTTTTTGGATAGTGAGAAATGACAGAACAGAAAATTTCATGACATTTCTTGTTTAGTCACAACCCCTGTAAGGTATGAGGGATATTCTACATTAAGTGCCAGGAAAATTCTGCAAAGAGCTATCTTATTACATTTGAATTTTTTCTTACTCTGGCAGATTTAACTGAATTTCATAGGGAACTAGAGAAAGCATTGATGTGGACAAAGTGAAACTGATGGATGTCAATGGACTGATGAACCATTAAAAAGTAAAATATAGTGACCTGGAAAAAAATACTTCACCTCTCCATAATTTAGTTTCTTTTTTCCAGTTAAATAGGGATACTACTTCCAGATAACATTAAGAATAAAAATTTACATATTTTGGCAAAAACATAAACATGGATTGTTGGGGATTCATCCCAATCATATCCCCGCTGCTCAGTGGCCCTTGATTCTCAGTGGTCCCGTCAATTACAGCTCCACAAAAACAGGAAATCTCTGTTTATTTCCATCCCAGTACAATTCCAAGCCAAACAAATATTTCATGGTATACAGTAAAACAATGGGTCCCGTGCCTTTCTCTTGTAAGCTATCAATGCCAGGAGTCTTTCTGTTTGTAGCAAGTTCTTTCCCATGGAAAATTACTATCTGATTTAACAATAGAAAAGGCAGGTTGATTCTAATGGTCCTCAACATGCAACTCAAAAAAAGGCCAATGTAATCCCTTTGTTACAAAATATGGAGAATGTGGACCTGTGAGGCCAAGTCTGAGAAAAGATTCATGCTGAGGGGGGAAAAAAACTATTTCAAATTAAGTTTAAAAGATATTTAAGTGAGTAGCTCACAGTTCACATGCAACATGCCTTGGCTTAGGTCAGAATAAAAATATGATTTATTTAGAGCACATTAGAGAAAGAAATAATAAAACTGATTCTGGACTTCTACTATTTATGCGGAGAAATTTTCCACAGCATTCTGGAAAGAGTCACAGTTGACTCAGAGCCAGTTTGATGAAATCATAGACTTGGTAAGAAAAATTAAATTTAGTGACTCATATGTAACTTGGTTTCTGTGCCCCCTATTCTCTCATACTTTTCCATCTGGGGAACAGAAGAGGGTAGCAAGGTCACAGAAAAGGACATAAAGCCTTGTACTGGAAGACTTATGGGATGATTGAGGTGGATTGAGAGAAAAACAGGCTCCTGACAGAGTATGCCAACGGTACTATAACCCTGCAGAGAGAGGGAAGGAGAAGACACTATTGGGCCTTAGGTAGCAATGAGAATCCAGGGAAAGTGGCATGCGGAGTGGGGAAAGAACACATAGACCAAAGCCACCTTGACTTGTAGTTTAATTTGGCACCAGAGGAACTGGGTTCAAGTCTCAGGTATGAGAATTATTCATCATTTGTATAAATTCAGACAAGTCACTTCATCTGTCTATGAACTCCAAGTAGTGACAGATGTTACTCATCTGCATGCCTTTCGATTCAGAATAACACAATAAATACTCTGGCTGTAAAAGTGACAGGTTAAAAAAATATACTTTAGGAATTCCTTAAAAGCCCATTCTACAAAGCTAGCTGGGGTCCATTACAGGAATTACACTAAAGATGTTTAAAAGAAAAGTATTTTTTCCTTTTCCCCTGTAGCATGAATCACAGAGCTTAGGCAATGGCAGGAATGCTTAAGGTTACTACACAAAAATTAGAAAATTTTTTTTCCATAATAAGCACTGGAAAGTTCTCCTGTACACCTCAGTTAGCTAGATATTAACTAAAGCAGTGACTCTCAAACTTTTTGGTCTCAGGACTCCTTTACATCCTTAAAAATTACTGTAAACAAAGGGCTTTTGTTCATGTGAGTTATATTCATCAATACTGACCATATTAGAGATTAAAATTGATCATTTAAAATGACTTGTAGACATAGCATATTTTTGTAAAAAATAAACAAACCAACCTATTTTTGGGGGGGAAAAAAAAGCAAAAATGGCATTGTTTTACATATTTTCACAAATCTCTTTCATGTATGGCTTAAGACAAAGGAAGCTGGATTCTCAGATATGCTTCTGCATTTAATCTGTTGGGATACAGTGTTTCAGTATATGAAGAAAATCTGGCCTCACACTGATGTTCAGTTAAAAAGGAAGGAACATTTTGATAGGCAAATAACACCTTGGTATTATTATGAAAATAATTTTGATCTTGCCAATCCCCTGAAAGTACCTCAGGGATCCCCAGGGGCCTGCAGACTCCATGTTCAGAATGGCTGGTTTAAAGGATCCTAAATAATACATTTCATGAATATCTCTTTACCTTACTCTGTGGTTTTAGACTGTATATATTAGTAAAGAGAAGATGAGCAAAAGAAATCCTATCCAATCAATCACCTAATAAAGATTTGGATTGAATTGGGATAAAGGGAGTGCTGGTATACATACAACCAAAGCATCTGTTTGAAATCTGAAAGGTTCTGTGAATTCAGAAGGGAAAAAAAATACTTTTACTTCAATATAATTGGTTTCCCTTGTAATCTTATGCATTATATCATATGCATTTGAAAACATTATCAGAAGTCCATTGGCTTCATTTGCCTATGAAAGGGATACACACACACACACACACACACACACACACACACACACACACACACAACAGGTTAAAAACACTAGGACAAGAGCTTTTCATTTTCACTAACTACAGACATTGGGAAAGAAGGGGAAGTCCTTACTGATTAATGGTGTTTTCTATGATGGCATCCAAATATAAGGTCATTCACCAAAGTTCTCAGAATTAAATATACACAGTGATTATGACAGCCCCAATGATTAAGAATAGGCCTTAAAAATTATGTGTCTTCACACAAATGACACTCACTATTATGTGAGCATTGGAGATATCACAGTGAATAAACAACTGCCCTATTAGCAGTGATATGAACAATGTTCTACACACACAAACAATGCGGGTTTCACCTTGTGCCAGCCTTTCAAAGGCCATTTTCTTTTCTTCAGCATAAATCCTTCGTGTTTGTCTGGCTTCTGGACATTAGTCTGGCCTATTTTCAGGCCCTCTATGATTTCCCAGCTGTCAGCCTCCTGACAGAAAAACAAGAAAAAAGCAATTAGATTATGGTCAGTGTTTACAACAAAACTACACCTAATAGGACCTAATCTCTTTATGACACAATTTGAGAAGTAAAGTTCCTAAGCACAAACTGCTGAGATGGATGCTGCTTATGTATATCAGACACAGACCCTGTAGCAAAGTTGTAAGCCAACTGACACATGCGGCTAGGCGAGTCAAGTAAATAAGAATGTATTAACATATTTTCATGTAACATATTTCATAATTTTATGAATACATTTTTATGAAAATATTTTCTAAAACAAAGAAATTAGCAATAAGAGTGATATTGTTTTACATATTTTTTTTTGCAAATCTATTTAATTCTATTAAGCTAGAGCTTAATAGAAGACATCTGTATTCTCAGGTCTTCATTAAACACTTAATACTGTGGGCTAAGCCTTGGGGATACAAAGAAAGGCAAAAAGACAATCCTTGATCTTAAAGAGTTCACATTCTAAAGGGGGAGACAGCAGGCAAATAGCCATCTTGTACAAACAAGAATTCGAGAGGATACATGGAAGATAGTCAACAGAGAGGAGGATCAGGAAGGGTTTCCTGTGGAAGGTGGGATTTTAGCCCAGGAGGCCATGGAAGCCAGTAGGTAAAGATGAGGATGGAGAAAATTCCAGGCATGGGCAAGAGCTAGTGAATGAGCCTGGATTTGGCAGATGAAGTTTCTTGTCCAAGGAATATCAGTGAGGCAAGAGTCACTGGACTATAGAGTAAGTTGGATGTGCAGTGGAGAGTGGGGAGGTATAAGGTATAAGAAGACTAGATCATTGGGGTCAACATTGGGATTTATCAAAGGGAGGATTTTATTTTTAATCCTGGAGGTAATAGGGAGTCAGTGGACTTTATTAAGTAAGGGGAGTGGTTGACATGGTCAGACCTGCATTGTAGGAAGATCATTTTGGCAGCTGAGTGAAGGATGGATTGGATTGATTTGATGCAATAATCTAGGCATGAGGCGATAAGGGCCTGCACAGGGGACACAGTTGTGTGAACAGAAAAGGACATGTGGGAGAAGTGAGAAGACTTGGAAGCAGATTGTTATAGGAGGGGTGATATTTTCTAAAACAAAGAAATTAGAGAGAGAAGTAAAGGAAGAAAAAGGCAAGCCTGAGTAACTGGAAGGATTGTGGTATCCACTACGGAAGCTGGGAAGAGAGGAGGGTTTAGGAGGAAAGATAATGAGCTCAGTTTTAGACACGTCACATTTAAGGTGTCTATAGGACTTCTAATTCAAGATGGCCAATAGGCAAAGACTGGAGGTGAAGAGAGAGGTTAGGGCTGCATAAATAAATTTGAGAATCATCAGCATAAAGATTGGATTAGTGGTAATTGATGAGATCACCAAGTGAAACAGTACAGAAGAAGAGAAGATGGCCCGAGGTTAGATGACATGACCTTTATGAAGATCCATTAAAGGAGACTTAGAAGAATCAGTCAAAGAGATAGGAGGAGAACCTCAATTTTTTCAGCAAAATGTGATGTAAGGTTCTCAGTTGAGAAGGTGGGGGGAAAATTATAAGAGAAGGGATGAATAGGTTTGGAAAATCTACTGTGATGAGTAGACAATAAATTGATTGAGGAGGTGTAAAAGGATTGCCTTGCTCCATGAAGGCTCCATTGAGACACCGTAACATAATTTTGTAGCAGATACAGTTAGCATGGTTTCATGATTTTCTCCAGCATCGTTGTGCAACTTGTGTGAAGATATAAAGGCAGTACATGGTGGGAGTAATCCAAGACTGGAAAGACTGGTGACAGGATATAAGGTAAGGCATTCAAGAGAAAACAACACTGTAGAGTAGAACTGGTTCGCTACAGGTTCAGGATGAGGAAAGGAGTGCAGGGGTAATAGCCTGGGAAAGAACTAAAGGGTAAGTTATAGTGAGGATAAAGAACAGGATTTGGGATTTGGGATTGCAAGACAGAGAGAGAGGTAGAATTACAAGAGATTGTGATCAGATAAGGGAATTTCAGAGTCCATAAACATGGAAATGGAGATTTGTATGTGACAGAAAGATAAAGATATGACCATCTTTGTGTGTGGCTGAGGTGGGGTGGAGAAGTAGGTCACTGGAAATAAGCAAGTTATAGAACTGGGGATAAAATTGTTTGAGGGGGTATCAATATGTGTGCTGAAGTACTCTAGTAAGAGGGCAGGCATTGGGGGCCAGGCACTAAACTCACTGAGGAAAGAAGGGCAGTGTCCTAGAGACCAGTAGACAACAGCTACCAGAATTTTGATTGGGGTGTAGAAATGTACTGAGTGAACCTCAAAGGAGGAGAAGTTATTAAGTGTTAGAGGTAGAGGGAGACCCTGGAAGTGGCAATGAGAAAATGAAGAGTATTTCAATTCACCCACATCAACAAACGAGTCAGAAAGGATGAGTAAATATGCAACCAGTAATGGAAAAGATGACCATGAAGGCTTCATCATCAGGAACAAGACAGGTCTCAGGAAGAGCCAAAATATGAAAGGAGTGGGAAATGAAAACATTTATGATGAAAGCAAGTTTGTTAACAATGAAGCACATATTCCAGAGAACACAATGGAAGGAGTGGGTAGCTCCAGAGAATTAGAGATTTGGGTTGAAGGGCTGGGAACAAGGTAGAGAACACTGGGGGATGGAGAACAGGTTTGTACAGTAATAGCCAAGACACCAGGGTCACTGCGATGAGAAACATATAATAATTTGTTAATCACTGCTAAATGAATGCAGGATGGTTGGTTTTAGGGGAGGTCTGCTCAGTCTTAGGCAGGGGTTGGTGCGGGGAGCTGATGGGATAGTTTTCTCTCCTATGCCAGTAGGTAAATCAGGCCAGAAGATAAGCAGAAAGAGCCGTTCGGAAGGAATGGTGTGTTTCTAATCTCCTGTAGACTGAGGGTCTCTTGCAGGTAAGGAAGCCACATGGTCAGGATATGAATATATTATAATGAGACTGGTGGGAATAGGCCAGGTTATGAGGATCTTTAAAGTCAAACAGAGGATTCTATATCTGATCATGGAGGCATTAAGGAGTCTATTGGAGATGGCATGTGACCTGTTCAGACCTGTGCTTAGGAAGATCACGTTGATGGTTGGGAGAAGACTTGAGTAAGTGAGGAGAGATTTAAAGAAGGGAGACCAACCAGAAAGCTGCTGTAGTACTTCAGGCATGAAGTGATAAGGGCCTGCACCATGGTAATAGTAAGAGATTAGGGGTGCTGACATGGTTTAAGGATGAGAATGCCAAGGCAGAGTTGCCTGGAATGAATTCATACACTCAAGCTTTCTCTTAGTCCAGTGGCAAAAAGTTTTTTTGTTAACGCTTTAGCGAAAGCGGGTAAGGGTCCTTAGGAAACCTGCAAGATAGTGAGGATGGAGCTGGATTTTATATGGAAAAAGGACAAGAGAAAGGATGCCAAGGATTCTAATTGTGTAATCTAGGGGTCCAGGTGTCTTTTGGGAGCAGGAACATATGATCTATGGATGGGAAAATGCAGGAAGTCTACAGAGATAATTTTGTTGATTCCAGACATTGAGGGAGTTCTCAGAGGCATGGACCTTGGGGATCTGGCATGAGGGAGAGTCCTTGAGCCAGCCAAGGATGAAAATGCTTAGGCCAGGCACCCCTGTGTCTGTTCTGATAACAGAATGTGTTCTGCAACATGAGAAAACTTTCTCACAGACAGGGGTATACTGAGAGGTTGGGAAGTTTCCAGAGACATGATCTTAGGGCTGGGGCCTGAGCACCCAATCAGTAACAGGGTCAGAAGAGAGAAGGGCTTCTAAATGACAGATGTTGTGAAGGTAGAATTGACAATAGATTGAATGCAGATGTTAGTGGATGAGAAGAGGTGAAGAAAGTGAAGAGGTGAAGAGAGTGAGGAGTTGAAGATGACATCCCACTTTGTGTGCCTGGGTGATAGGGAAGATGGTTTTATTAAAAGTAACAGTGAAGTTAGGATGAGGGGAGGGCTTTTTCTTAAGGGGGTGGGATCCATGAGACTCACAGAAGCTAAAATGAAACACACAAGTTTAAAAAAATAGAAAAAGCAACTATGACCCACCAGAACTTCACTGGAACCAGGCCATTTCTGTCAAAGTTCAGGGCGTCTTAAAAGCCTTTGGACAGCAAGACTTTTGGGACACCCTGTGGAATGGGATTGAGACAATAGTAGAAATATATTCTCTAGGCTTCTAATCACTGTGTAGAGCTATGCCTTAAAGTTTTGATCTGGGGCTCTTTCCTAGAAGAACAATGTTCATTTGGTCCCCAGAATTTGGGTTTTGGTCTTGGAATGGAGTAAAGATATGAATACAACATATTTGAAGTGTCTGTAATGCACCTCTTTGTAGAATAAAAGGGCATCTCATTATTAGGGTGGTCATGTGCCTATGAATATAGGCAGCTAGGTGGTGTAATGGATAAAGAGCGAGGCCTGGAGTCAGGAAGACTCTTCTTCATGACTTCAAATCTGGTCCCAGACACTTACTAGCTGTGGGACCCTGGGCAAGTCAGTTAATCCTATTTGCCTCAATTTCCTCATCTATCAAATGAGCTAGAGAAGGAAATGGCAAACCACTCTATCTTTGCCAGGAAAACCTCAAATGGGGTCACAAAGAGTCAGACATGATTGAACAACAAATGTTCTGCTTATCACACACATACACACCACCCTTGTTCATAAAGCTGATTCCTAACACCTTCTAGGATGCCTATACATTTAGAACAAGCAATGTACTGGGAATCAAGAGACCAGGGTCATGAGCCCTACAAGTCATAGGAGCTTGAGCAATTAACTTACACCAATGAAATCTAAGTCCATAACTAAATATGAGGATTAATACATGAACACATCAACTATTTTTCATTTGCCATTTGTAGTAAATAGTGCTTGTTTTCAATGCTCTGTAAACTTTAAACTGCTATAGAAATATGAACTATTGCGAATGAGGAAGAGAAGAAGAGTTGGGGTCTGGACCTGTGATTTCACTGGTGTAGGGAAAAGCTAACACAGAAAATCCTTTTACGGATGCAGATCAGAAGATTATCTATAACTGTTATTGCCTGGGGTATTGAGAAGTTAAATGACTTGCCCAGAGTCATTCAGTCATTAGTCATTAACTAGTGTCAGTCTGACACTAGTTAGTGTCAGAGGTAGGATTAGAAACCAGGACTTCCTGTCTCCAAGACTGGTCCTTTATCCAATATGCCATGCTGCATCCTGAGCTACTATTAAGCAAGCTATTACTGGAGATCAGTCTTAGATATATTTCAGTTTAGCACCCTAGGGTCCGTATATTTTCTCTAACAAGGCATTAAGCCTTCCAGAGATGCTATGTGCCTGTCCAAAATTACATACCAGAAATTTCAGTTTCTATTGAGACTGTATGATAAAAACATAATATGCTGGACACGTAGTAGGAACATATGACAACTACTAATAATATATTGGCAAAAGTGCTTTGAAAAGCAAAAGGTGCCACACTGATAGAAAGTGGCTATGATCATTATTGGGCCACTTCTTGCCCAATAATTGTCTAAAAGAAATAATTTTTTTAAAAAAAATGTAAAGGAAGGAGGTTTAGCAGTACCAGATCTTAAACTATGCTATATGGCAGTAGTTATCAAAACTATCTGGTACTGGCTAAGAAATAGAAAGGTAGATCAGTGGAACAGAGTAGACATACAATTTGCAGTTGCAAATGAACATAATAACTTTTTGTTTTTGACAAGACTTAAGTTTTAGGGATAAGAATTCATTGCTTAGTAAAAAAATGTTGGGAAAACTGGAAAGCAGTGTGGCAGAAATTGGGCATACAGCAATATTTTACACTATTTACCAAGATAAGGTCAAAATGGAGATATGATCTCGATATAAAGAGAGATATTACAAGAAAATCTGAAGAACATGGATCATATCTATCAGACTTATGGATAAATGAACAATTTATGAGTAAACAAGAGCTAAAGAGCAGTGTGAGGATAATTTAGATTACATTAAATTAAAAAGGTTTTGTACAAATAAAAGAAATGTAGCCAAGATCAGAAGGAAAGCAGAAAATTAGGGGGAAAAAACTGAAAACATGGAATTTTTAAATGCTCACAGACCACAAGGAAGAGATAGATTCTTTATAAATACTCTGAACAATTCTGTCTTTGGGTTTATCTTCTATTTAACTAAATACACCCACTACTCCCTATTCTGGGATATCTTTTTGAGGTCATTCATGATCTTTTCTTTTGAACTCTGACACAATCCATTTCTATGGGCTATGTCTCCACATGTGCATCCTCAGCGACAATCTAGCTCAAGAAACAGTGACTATATTTTCTGAGTTCTTTAATTCCAACACTCTTCACTTCCAAAGATATGTATAGTATATTTCTTTTGGGGAAAAGAATATTTTTCTTTTAGGCAACATCTTTTAAGTCTGGTGGGTCACCTCTTGTCTGCCCCTTGTGTGAAGAAGCATGCTTTTTATAACTTGTACAAAATGGAAATACTTAATAATAAATAGAAATGCTTTTTAGGTTTCAGCTAATTAAACTCTGAGCATAATATCAGTATGTCCCTATAGAGCTATAGCTACTGATTTCTATCACACTGGTCTCTTCTTTACAAGGTTAGCTGCAGGGGAAAAGAAACACTTGTCTAAAAAGATGGAAGAGCTGTAACATTTTTCTTAAGATTAAATCTGTTTTATTCAAGTCATTTTGAGTCATAATATTATTCTCAATGAATGCAGAATTTCTCAAGAATAGCAAGAGAAATAACAAACAATCCAAATATAGTCTTAAGAATTAAACAAGTTGTCAATTTGACAGAAGCAAAGAATAAAACAGGACAGGAAAAGTTGGTCTTAATTTGAAATGGCTGATACTGTCACAAACACAGTTTTTAATAAAAGAGGGAAAATTCACCCAGAAGTAAGCACAGACCATGTTGTTAGGCAGAGGAGAATGACTCAGGGCTGCAGTTCTCAAACTTTTTGATCTCAGGACCCTGTCACACTTCTAAAAACTATTGAAGATCACAAAGAGTTTTTGTTTATGTGAGTTATAGTGATATATCTTTACCATAATAGAAATTAAAACTGATAAATTTTAGAATATTTATTTATTCATTTAAAACAATAAACCTATTAACATTAACAAAAGCTTTTTAAAGAAAAAAAATAACTATTTTCCAAAATAGAAAAAAATAGTGAGAAGAATGGCATTAAAGAGATTTGCAAAAATATATATCTTGCTTAATAGAAGGCAGTAGGATTCTTGTATCTGCTTCTGTCTTCAATCTATTGAAATGTTGTTTCAGTTGAAGAACATGAAGAAAATCCAGCCTCATACATATATGTAGTTGGAAAAGGGAAGAATATTTTAATAGGCAAATGATGTCAGTATTATTATGAAAATAGTTTTGATCTCCTAGACTCTTTGAAATCATCTCAGGGATATCTCAGGGCTCTCAGATCACAGTTTCAGAACTACTGGCCTAGAGAACTACTGACCTAGGTGTCCAACAGAAGGTCAGGCTTCCAAGAAGTATATTAGTTATGTACGGTATTTTTCTTGGCAGCTGACCTCGAGTTAATAAACTGATTGAGAAGATGAAAACTTGTACTTCTCCCTAGGCTCTTGTGTTAACAATGAAGCTACAAGACCAGCCCTTATTCCACTAACTTTAAAGCAGCCCTTCATAGTACCTATACCATTTTACCCTCCTTGCTATAAGTGACATCTTACAGAGCCAGAGCTAGAAGAGATCTTATAGGCTATCTGGTCCAATTTCCTCATTTTTACAGATGAGAAAACTGAGGCCCACAAAAGGAAAAGTGACTCTTTTTATTTTAGTAGCAATGATATTTGCCCTTCCAATCTCTGCAATGCAAAATGGCATGTGTCTACTGCCATTTTTTTCCTTTTGACAAAACAAAATTTAGAACCTTTCCCATAACTTTGCAAATCCCTCCAAAAAGATTTCTACTGTCTCCTGCCATTCATAACCCTCCTACACTGAGAACAGGAGGAGGTGGAAGGCTGCTCTTGCCCTGCACTTCGTAGCTTGCTTGGTTGTGACGAGTACGAAAATTCCACACATTTTGAACAATCCCCATACAAGCATGCTTTAGAAAATGACCATAGTCCCTCACCGACCTTCGAGAGTGAGACAGGTTCAGTTTCTAGCAACTGCCTGCTTGCAGATGGCTCATTACCAGCAGAAGCATTCCTCTCTAAAATGTGGACACTCTAAAAACAAAGTGAGAGCAAAGCCAAAGTTAAGGGTCCAATCTCTGATGTGCATTCCATTCATTAGAAGTAACAGAATCAATGTGCAATCATGAAGGCACAGAAGAAAAAAGTAAAGGTAAACAATTTAAAATGTGATAAATTCCCCAGCGGACCAGAGTCACCAGCATCAACCACTCAACATATTCAAACAGTGTCATTTCCCCTCCCTTTGATTGATTTAAGGCTATATTTCTGCTGTGATGCTGCAGTGATGCTTGAATTGCCAAGCTAACTTTACTTCAGATTTGCTAGGACACAAATGATGTAACAACCAGTACTAAATTATGGAAGTAATTTGGCCCAGAAATGTGTGGATTTGTTTCTGCCAGTCACAGGGAGGTACCAGGAAATGTTTTACAACTGGCTCTCTGAAGGAAAAAAATCTATGAAAAAAATGACATACACTTAAATTCAATTTGCCTAATTAACATTTTCTTCATCACTTTCTTATGTCTGGTCAAACAATAAAACAATAAACCAAGACGAGATTTGTAGCCTTCCTGGATTTCCAAGGTGAGAATGCTGACACAGAAAACTAAATAATCACTCTCTTGAGTCAGTATGAGCTGGAGCCCATCTAGCACACCTCTGAGTCCAGTCCAGAAATAACTGAGCCATGGGAGATTTTAGAAGTTTAATAAACACAAATCTCCATAGAACGTGGATGATGACTAACATTTATATAAGCACTTTAAAGTTTAAAAAGCACATAACATAAAGTATTTCATTTGATCCTCACAAGAGCTCTGTGAGCTAGGTGCTATTATTATCCCCATTTTACAGATGAAGAAACTGAGACAGAAAGAGGTTAAGTGACTTGCCCAAGGTCACACAGTTACTAAGTGTCTGAGGCAGAACTTGAACTCAGATATGATTAGCTCCAATTCCAACACTGTAGCCATTGTAATACTGAGATACAAATTTATAACAATCAAAAGAAAAGTCAAAAGGAAGAAACATTTTAATAAGCCATTTGAAGCCATCCAAAAAACCATAAGGTACCACTACCATTAATGCAGTAACAATAACACCATAATCATCAAAACAGTGTTATGCTGTGTATTGCAACAGTTTGGCACTTCCTTTCCTCAGAAATGATTTTCAGTGGTGGGCATTAAAGATATAGTTTCATATTTTTTATATTATTCATCGCATTGTGTAGCTATGCAACAAAAATTACATGTAGGCTTTAGATTACAAGGAAAATCAAAGTCATAAAACAAGGGGGATAATAAACAGTTGTTTTGGAAGGCTGCAAAAACATCAGTTATTTCTAATTGGATGATGTTTTCCATTCATATAGTTTAGCAATAAGGTGGAAATATTAAATAGAAGTTTTATGAATTGCAGGTGATTTTCATTCTCCAATTTGTCAAGGATACAAACGAAATAAGAATTAGTTGACGTTTACCCAGATTGTTGAGGGTAAAGGGATTAGGAGATGCTAATTTGGCTCCAAGGGTAACAAAAACTTCTCATCAGCTGGAGCTCCTTTTCCTTTTAAGAAGAGATGCTCACTTCCAGGTGGGTAGCCTCACTTGCAATGACAAACACCACTAGATATTATTTTAGTAAGTCTAAAACAAATGGGCACCATGGAGTGATGCATTATATATGCCTTTTTGAACCTTTATGTCGTTCAAAATCAGAAGACTACTCCTAAAAGGTTTTAGCATTATTCATTTGTCAGTTGAATACAGAATCCAAATGACATCCCTTAGCCAAAGCAAGTCAGCTGAACATAAAACTGAATCGCTTCTATTAAGGCTATATTCTCAGGAATTGGAATATGGGCCTTAAATGTAGATATGGATTTCTCCCCTTGAATGTGCAGAATGTTAGCATGGTATATATCCCAAAGGAAACATGGAGGGAGGAAAACACACCTGACATATTTAATTATATTTATTGAACATAATTCTAATTTGATTTACTGTCTTTCCAAGCCTTTTCAACCCATCTGCATCACCAACCTTATCCCTAAAGCAATGGAAAATTTTGGTGCAGAGAAAATTTAACCTATTTTTCAAATGTTAAGTTTCAGAACTACACTAAGAGAAAGTTCCAGGAAAATGTTTAAGGGTCTTAAAAATATGTTAATCTTAATATTTGAATGAAATTGTGAAAAGCAAAAAGAAACACAAAGACCACTTAAACAAGGGGTACATAATCTGGAAAAATTGGGTTTCAACCCTTTGTCTGAAATTTAAGTACTACTTTCATTGAATTAGTTTACTATTTCCAAGGTATGTTCTCACAGGGGAAAAAATGACCACAGGCTGATTTTTTTAAAGAGACAAGGATGTAATATTTTTTTCAAATCACATAGTTGACAAAAATAAATCAATTTTTTTTATTAATATCACCACTCAATAAGCTAATTATAGATAGCACGACAGAGAAACAAAAACTGACTGCCAGTGAATGGAGGGAGAGAAGTAAGCATCATCTAGTTAAAGCAACACTTGGCATTCTCTCCCTTTTTAAAAAAGTATTTAACATACACTTTTGTTGAACTTTTCTCCTTGTAAAACTTCCTGTGGCTACATCTTTCACTTATGGCCCCCCAGGCCAAGAGGTCTATTCACCAAGGGGTGAAGTTGCAGCAGACATGGATTCTGGGCAATTTCCCTTAGAGGAAAAATGTAACTTCTTTTGAGTGGTTAGATTTTGTTCACCCTAACAAGAGATCCTCTCCCACTTCCCAAATTCCTCAAGAGAAAGCACACAGTTAGAAAAAGCAAAATCTGGGAAGAAATTTTCACATTAGCAAAAGAATAGAAAGAGAAGATTATTACTCAAGAAACAAGGACATTGGTTTAGAGAAAGGAATCACTTAATGTGCAAGTCAAATCACTGAAATAATTTGCTGCAATAAAATGAATTTATGCATATCAAATGGGCTAAATGAATTTGACCTTTGGAGTGACAAATCAATATGCTTAAGAGTTGCTGGAACGGAACTGGTCAAATTAACAAACTCTTTTCACTCAAAGCTCACAGAGTATTACCAAGTGGTCTACATAAAAGAAGAATAATTTCTCATTCTATTCCTCACCCCCCACCCCCGAGATATAGCATAATACACATCCCAAATCCTAGAATGTAGTTGATTTACAATAGAAAAGCTTGAAATTCTGAATTCTTAGAATGAGAAATGAACATTTAAGATCAACATTCATAATTTAAAAACAATTAGATAAAACCCAATAAGATAAATGTAACATTAAAAAAACCAACTGTCTAAATTATTCTTAGATCCATAATACAAATCAGGAATTCTTTATGAAATTAAGAGCCTTAGAAGGTTTTAGATTCTCACTCTGTTAATTTTTAGGTTCCAAGCAGTGGGAGCAAATATTTTAAAGCAAAATTATGACATCATAAGTCAACTGTCACAAAAGGAAGTTTCCAAAAATAACCTTAATCAAAAGCCTACCTGGAGTAGTCAATAGGTACAGATACATTGTCATTCATTGTACTTTTCAAATGAAACACCATCTACTTAAAATATGTTTTCATATAAGCTGTTATCAGCTAGCTAGCTAGCTAACATTTTTTAGAATCTGGAAAGGTATATGTGGTTAACAGAAAAACTAATGGTATCGTGTTCACTACTCTCTGCCTTCCCAATTTTTAATGATGATCTAAAAGATCTAAAAGTTTATACCCAGGCCTTGGATAGGCCTTTAATAACCATACCTTCCCATTCACTTCTGATATGTTGGTTCTCTTTGCTATAAGGGATATCCTGGGGTAGAGGTGGGGGTCAGTGGGGAGGAGAGCGGGAAGAGGAGGACTAAGTTGTAAAAAATGGAAGGTTTAATTAAAACACAATGAAATTATAACAAAATAAATTACATCTCTTCAAGAGATAGCTGTGTGATAGAACGTTCATTGGAATGGGAGAAATAAGACCTGTATCATTTATGGACCTGGGTTTAAGTCTCAGATAAATGAGAAAGTCCTTTAACCGCTCGAGGACTTTCTTTACTCATCTATTAAATGATAAGGGTTGGTCTAGATGACTTCCTTTCAGTTCTAAAGTTCTATGATTCAAAGAGGTTATTATATCAATACTTTTCCAAGGAAAGAATGGAGCCGTGAATAGGAAGCAGAAATGCAGCATAAGATGAGGCATTCCATCAGTCAGCCAAGCAAGAAATAAGCATGAAAAGGTGTTTGATGGTCCAATGACACACACCTGAGGAAGAATAGAGTTGGAAATAACTGGAGAAATTCACTTTTCATGGCAATGTGACATTGATGGTGAATCCAGATAATGGTTACCTCTTATAACATCCACCACGGCACAGAATTTTGACTTGCTGCTTTGAATAATAAAAGAGAAAAATTTAAAAACCACCCCCATAATCTGTTGGGTATTGAAGAAATATTATTCCTTAAAATACTGCACTATGACTTTCCTTGTTTCTTCCTAGATAATAACAGACACTTCTTAGGCAAGTTATTTTAACCTCTTTGTGAAGAGGTTTGGGGTGGTGGGACCCTGAGAATGCCAAGGCAGTGTTGCCTGGAATGAATTCGCACACTGAAGCCTTCCCTTGGTCAAGTGGCAAAGTTCATTTAAACATGTTAGCAAAAGCAGGCAAGGGTCTTTAGCAAACCCACAAGATAGTGAAGATGGTGTTGGGGCTTACATGGAAAAGGAGTGGGGGTAAGGAATGCCAGGGATACTAACCAGGTAATCTAGCGGTCTAGGTGTCTTTTGGGAGCAGGCACCTATGATTTATGGATGGGAAAATGCAAGGAATCTACAGAGATAACTTTGTCGATAACAGACATTGAGGGAACTGTCAGAAGCATGTACCTTGGGGATCTGGTGCTGAGAGTCAGCATCCCTGTATCCGCTCCGATAAAAGAACTACAGAGTCAGGCCTGTATGTGTTCTGCAACAAGGGAAAATTTTCTCACAGGACTGGGGCCTACTGAGAAAT